TTATTTAAGCAATGGAGAAATAAAACCGAATCCACTTGATAGCATAAAGGAATAAAATCTTTAGCCTTATTACTGTTTGTAAGGCTACTGTTTATAAGATTGCATGAATTGTTGTTTGTGACTTCCCTTGTGCTTTAGACTGATACATCAATAGATCTGCCTGATGCGTTGCATCATCGACATTGTCAGGTAATTCATTGTAAATACGGATCCCCATACTAAAATCGATACCGAATTTTTGCTTTAAGCCACTAAATAAAAAACTATTTCTAAGTCGTTTTGCGTAGTCCTCGATTCCTTTTAAATCAGTATCTTGTAAGATCACTACAAATTCATCACCGCCCATACGAGCAACCACATCAGAATGGCGTGTCGCAGCTTGCAATACATGAGCGAACTCGACTAAAACATCATCACCTTTGCTATGTCCATAGGTATCATTTACCGCTTTAAAGCCATCTAAATCTATAATAGCGACAGCTAAGGTATGTTCTTTTTTGCAATATCGCTTTTTTAGTGCCTGATACTCTAAATTAAAGGCACGAGTATTATTCAGCGATGTCAGAGAATCTTTCATTGCCATTAAGGTCATTTCATTCAAATTATTTTTTATTCTCAACAATAAAAAAGCCACAACACTAAAGAAGCCAAGCCTTACACAAGCATTCCAGAAAGGGATAATCGAATTTGTATACTGGTGCCCTGCACTATAGTCAGCATATAACCAAGTAATCCCCGATAAAATAACCGCAATCATCGCGATATGCTTGTTGTCATACCAAGCAGCAATAGAAACAGGAATCAGATAAAACACTGCAAATGAGTATTCATAGCCAGTCGCCAGATCAATTGCACCTAAAATGATGATGATAAAAAGCAAACTAATACGACGTACAACCATCGAACTCATCAACAGATAGGTCTCCAATTGTTTAATCATTTAGACATCATTCCTTGACCAATAGCAGTAAGCTTTTAAAACAGCTTGAATATAAAAAACCAAAAACAACAACACCAAGAAACCGAACTAAAGCTATGTTTTAATTAATTTTAATAATAAAATTCAGACTTCATTAGTCACTTATAGTTAAAATATTCAATAAAGTAAAGTTTTGAGTATGATGATTTTTAGCTTCTTATAGATAATTTCTTAATTACTTTGTAGCTAGGTTAATTAGATCAAATAAAAGGAATTGTACAGTATAATTTTTATCGAATTTTTCAGGATGAGCGGGAAAACAACTCTGGTTTACTTCAACTATTAAAACTTTGTAAGTTTTAATCCTATTGCCTATAAACTTTTGATTTATAGCGTCCTAAGCCGAATCGAGACCTTGTGGGTAAGTACTACACTCACGTTGTACGTAACTGGTAGCAATCTACTCTTTTCGATCCCTTACATCCTTGAGATAAATATTAACGAAATCGGCTCGGGATTATTTTCCTAAGATAGATTAATTTTTTTATTTTTTAGGAAAATTTTCCTTCGAAAGTCACTTAATAAAGAAAATTTTCCAAGAAAGTATATTTAATGATTTTTTATTGCATGAATTCTAAAAAAAATGCAAATTTAATTTATAAATTTGCATTTTAGTCACTCTATTTCAATTGGCACACGCTTTAATCTGCTGAGTTAAGACGCATCTTTTAGTGAAGTTGCTTTACTGTCACGCAAGATATCTTCTAAGCCTTTGGTATCCTGATTTAAAAATGCGATTAAACTGGCTTTTACCTGTTCAAGCGTACTGTGTTTGATTGCAAATACTTCTTTATTTTTCCGCGTCATCAAGCCAAATAATTCGCGTTGTGGGAAAATCAATTTGATATTGCTTTCTATCTTAAATTCAAAATCTTCACTTTTCGCATAAGCATTTAATGTAATTTTTAAAAATGCTTCTGACGCTGGGTTCAACACTGTAAAAATAGTATTTCGACCATCCAGTTGTAATTGTAAAACACGTTGACGGCGCCAACTGATACTTTCAAATTTCGCCAATATCTCAGCAATATCTAAATCGCTCTCATGCTCCATCTCACGCTCATCTGTGTGATTAGGATACTGAATTTGAATTTCAAAATTGTTCATTATTTTATAACGCATATCTTTAAAATCTATTTGTAGTGTAACAATACTCATTGAAATTAATAGCAATTTAAACCAAATTTTTATAAATTAGTCATTGATTTTAAAGTGTAAATTGTATAATCGCTCACTATATTTAACTTTTATATGTACTAAGTGTATTTTATCCATTGGTTAAATAATCAAGCCCGTTTATTACTTTTTTACAGATCAATAAGGAAGCTCACGCTTCCTTATTTTTTTATAGAAGATGTCGACTCTCTAGTCGTTATGCCAAACGATGCTCTTGCAGCATTTTTTTATGCATTAATTGTCGATATTGTTCTGTCATCTCTTCGATTTGACCATTTAGGAATAAGCTGAGCTGTTCTGAAACTTGTGATTGGTTTAAGTTTTTATACACCACATCATATTTCTTTTTACGTGTTAAAAGCCCCAAAAATTCTTTACTTTCAACAACCAGTTGGATATTGCTATCGATCTGAAAAACAGGGTCTGCTTTACTCGAGTGTGTATTTAACTGAATATGTAAATAAAGTTCTGTCTCCGTGTCCTGTACAGCAAAGGAAATATCAGAATTTTCAACTTGTCCCTGTATCAGGAATAAACGACGCCAATTGATCGCATAAAATTTTGCACGAATTTGCTCAATGTCCTCTGCCTCAAATGACACGATATCTTGCGCAGGCAAATTGATCTCGACCTCGAACTTTCTCATTGTTCTCACCTATCCATGTGATGTTTATATTATGGGCTATTAATAGCATTTATATCTTTTTTTTAAAACAAATATTTATGTTAAATCATTAAAATTTATTACTTTTTATCAAATACACATCACAAAAATCAGATTATTTATTGATGAAGTTTTTATTATTTTTTCTATTTTTATATCAAACAGTAAAAAGTATCAGCATACTTTTAATCCCCAAGGTATTTTTAAAACGATGAGTCAGCATAAGCTTTCATCGTGACTTCAAACAATTGACGTTTAAAATATACATTTCAATTGAATAGGTATACGCTCTATCCCTTTTAATATTATGCAGTTCCACCACATAAAGATGGAACGGCAGGTAACCTTGGTGATGGTTAAAGGCTATGAGCTTCTTAACAACAGCAAACACATCCCTTAATTTTTTCACGAGGCCAATTCATCTTTGCTCGTTTAATTGCCAGCTCACTTGTCGCAAAAAATCCCAGTAGATTTTGATTTTCCGCCTTAGGTAAATGCTCACAAGCTTTGCTTGCATTGTGTACCTCATATACACCATTGGCTTGCGCATTTATATCGATAATGAACTTGTCCATCATAAAAGTTTCCCCCAATACTCTTAAAAAGACCTTGAGATTAAATCCATAAAGATGATGTTTTTATTAATCCCATAATAAAAGTATGCCTTTATGGTGCAAAAATCAATCTCTCTTTTATTGATTTATTGTTGGGGGAAATTTGTCTTTGTATTCGATTTAAAGTGAATCAACTTTCTATGTCAAAAAACAGAAAACACTTAATCCAATTTAATGACTCAACCCAATTGAATTGAGTCATTATCCTCTTTGAATCTTGATAAACACTTGTTTCACAAATGCTAAAACACACTAACTACAATGGATGAACAACGCTTTCTTGTTTTTTCTTTCTTAACCAGCGAACCGCTAGCACCATCAAAATAATGCCAACAATCACCACCAATACAGGAACGATAAGTGATAATACCGATACAACGATTGCCCCAATCCACTCACCTGTAGACACCAAAGGATTGGCTATTCCACCTGTCGTTGCAGTAGATACACCACGAACCGCAACCGTTCCCATTTGTACAGTTGTTGCTGTACCACCACCAACGATAATCGCAGCCGCCCAGCTTGCAAACTGTGACATTTCACCTGTACTGACCGCCATGGTGGTCAATGTTCCAGCTACCATGGCTGCTGGCGTGGCAATAGTATCTAAAGCATTGTCGACCCAAGGAATATAGTACGCACCAATTTCACAAATGGTTGCGACAGCTAAGCCAATACATACCGATGGTATCGCTAACCACTCAAAACCTTTCATTGGCTCAAACCAGCCCATCAGTGATGCAACACTCATCACCAATAACGGTACAAATACACGAAAACCGCAGGCGGCACTTAAACCAATGCCAATACATAAACTCAGGATTGTTTCCATAATGATTTATCTGCCTTTTTCTCGTTATCTTTTCAACTATTATTAAATTAACAAAAAGCCCTATCACTGGATAGGGCTTTTGCTTAAAACAGGGAATATCTGTTTTATCTGTGCGGCTTAGCAATCTTATTTTTTAAATTGATTGCCAAGGCATTTGGTACACTGGGGTAAACGATCTGTACCAATTTCTAAGTAAGTGCGATGTCCGCATTGGACACAAAAATAGAAGCCTGTTCCGGGTTTTTCGCCAGCAGTAACCATTTTTGTTCTCCATAGGTTTTAGAAATGGTGAATAAAGTATAACCATATTTTGATGTATGTCTACTGTCTATTTCCAAAAATGATGGTGTCATTTTTGCAAGAAATGATTTCAAGAGAGAAATTTATTGTTTTTGAGAGCTACTGCTTAATCATTAAGTATCGTAAACCATTTAAAGCTCTTCTCTTTCTTGAGGTGGCTCATCTGTTCTTTCTTCCTCATAAAAATCATCAGGCATCTGTGACAATACATTTAAAAGGCGCTCAGCTGTGATTGATTCATCAGAATTTACCGTATCACTTTGAGTTTTTCGTAATAAAGACATTTTATTCCCCAAATAAAAACCCCACTTAACAGTAGGGCTTTTTTACAACACTATCAATTACTTTTAATCCTCAATTAATCTTCTTTTTAAAAGAGCAGAACTCCCTCCTTTTCAAAGGAGGGTTGGGGAGGATTTAAAGAATAGAACTCAATCAAGCCACTTGCCCTTCCAAGAAATCCTGTGCAAAGCGTTGTAATACCCCACCCGCTTCATACACATGCACTTCTTCTTCAGTATCCAAACGACAAGTTACAGGAACTTCAATCACTTCATTCTTACCATCAACCGTGGCACGTTCAATCACCAAGGTTAAGTCTGTACGTGGTGCAATATTACCAATCACGCTATACAGCTCAGTACCATCAAGCTTTAAGGTTTTACGGTCAGTGCCCGCTTTAAACTCAAGTGGTAACACGCCCATACCAACAAGGTTAGTACGGTGGATACGCTCAAAGCCTTCTGCCACAATCGCTTCAACCCCAGCAAGACGAACACCTTTCGCAGCCCAGTCACGACTAGAGCCTTGACCATAGTCCTTACCAGCAATGATAATCAGTGGTTGCTTACGATTCATATAAATCTCAATCGCTTCCCACATACGCATCACTTCGCCTTCTGGTTCAACACGCGCTTTAGAACCTTGCTTGATGGTACCGTCTGAACGAACCACCATTTCATTAAACAGTTTTGGGTTGGCAAAAGTTGCACGTTGCGCGGTCAAATGGTCACCACGATGCGTTGCATACGAGTTAAAGTCTTCTTCAGGGACACCCATTTTATGCAGATACTCACCCGCTGCCGAATCCATCATAATTGCATTCGATGGTGACAAATGATCCGTGGTAATGTTGTCAGGTAAGATCGCAAGTGGACGCATATTTGACAATGTACGTGGTGCAGCCAAAGCCCCTTCCCAATACGGTGGACGGCGAATATAAGTACTTTGCGGGCGCCAATCGTATAACGGGCTTTCTGATTTTTCTGTCACACCCAAATCAAACATCGGGATATACACTTTACGGAACTGTTCAGGTTTTACAGATTGTTTAACCAATGCATCAATTTCAGCATCCGATGGCCAAACGTCTTTTAGGTAAATTGGATTACCGTCTTTGTCATTGCCCAATGAATCCGTTTCAATATCAAAACGAATTGTGCCCGCAATTGCATAAGCCACTACCAAAGGCGGTGAAGCCAAGAATGCTTGTTTTGCATAAGGATGGATACGACCATCAAAGTTACGATTACCTGAAAGTACCGCAGTAGCATACAAATCACGGTCAATAATTTCTTGCTGAATTTTTGGATCTAAAGCACCAGACATACCGTTACACGTCGTACATGCATAAGCCACGATACCAAAACCAAGCTTTTCTAAATCTTCCAGTACGCCAGCTTCTTCAAGATAAAGTGCAGCAGCTTTAGAACCTGGTGCAAATGATGATTTCACCCAAGGTTTACGTACTAAGCCCAATTCATTTGCTTTACGTGCCAACAAACCCGCAGCAACGGTATTACGAGGGTTTGAGGTATTGGTACAAGAGGTAATCGCGGCAATAATGATTGCACCATCAGGCATTAAACCATCAGTACGGTTTTCAACTATGCCTGCAATGCCTTTCTCTTTTAAATCTGCTGTTGATACACGTGCATGTGGGTTTGATGGACCTGCAATATTACGTGTTACGGTTGAAAGATCGAAACGAAGTACCCGAGGGTATTCTGCTTGTTGCATATCTGATGCCCAAAGACCAATTTCTTTGGCATAACTTTCTACCAATTTGATTTGGTCAGATTCACGACCAGTCAAGGTTAAATAATCAATGGTGTTCTGGTCGATATAGAACATTGCCGCAGTTGCGCCATATTCTGGAGTCATATTGGAAATCGTTGCACGATCTCCTACAGACATACTGTCCGCACCTTCACCAAAGAATTCTAAATATGCACCCACTACACGTTCTTTACGCAAGAATTCTGTCAGCGCTAAAACGATATCTGTGGCAGTGATGCCAGCTTTGCGCTGTCCCACCAATTCCACACCGATAATGTCTGGAAGGCGCATCCAAGATGCACGACCAAGCATGACATTTTCAGCTTCCAAACCACCAACACCAATAGAAATTACACCTAGCGCATCTGTATGTGGTGTATGTGAATCTGTACCGACACAAGTATCTGGAAATGCGATACCTTCACGGTTTTGAATCACTGGAGACATTTTCTCCAAGTTGATTTGGTGCATGATGCCGTTGCCTGCTGGGATTACATCGACATTTTCAAATGCTGTTTTGGTCCATTCAATAAAGTGAAAACGATCTTCATTACGACGGTCTTCTACAGCACGGTTTTTTTCAAATGCATCTGGGTCAAAGCCACCGTATTCCACTGCTAGAGAGTGGTCAACGATCAACTGCGTTGGTACAACAGGATTAACTTTAGCAGGGTCACCGCCTTGGTCTGCAATCGCATCACGCAAACCTGCAAGGTCGACTAATGCTGTTTGTCCAAGGATGTCATGACATACCACACGTGCTGGATACCAAGGGAAATCATGGTCTTGTTTACGGTTAATTAGTTCTTTTAAAGACTGTTCGAGAATGGCTGGATCACAACGGCGTACCAGCTGTTCGGCCAATACTTTTGAAGTGTATGGAAGTTTTGCATATGCGCCTTGCTGGATGTCTTCTACGGCTTGACGCACATCGAAGTATTCGAGCTGGGTACCTTGCAGTGGTTTACGATAGTTGTTATTCATTAGTTTTGTGCCTCTTGCATCATTTTGTACTGCGTGTCTAATGATTGGCATAGTACACTGTCGAAAACCCATTTCCCAAATCGTTTATATTTCATAAACTTAGATATAAAAACAGGGGTTTTGGAAATATTTAGTAACAACTTCATTAAAATATTTGCACTAAATCTGCTTTTTTTTGAAAAATAGCGGAAAATAAGATTAATTCTTTAGTATTAGATTTAAGATAAGCGAGCAATTCATGAGCGATCTAGCTTTCTCCTCATTTACCTTGATTGGTGTTGATGCAATCAAATTTCTACAAGGTCAAGTGACTGTAAACGTTGAAGCTTTGGCTGAAAATATCACCCAATACACTGCGATTTGTGATCTTAAAGGCCGTATCCATTTTGGCTTATGGCTTAAAAAAATTAATCCTGAACATTTAGAGATTGTTACGACTCGAGATCAAGCCGAAGAATTTGCCAAACATATTAAAAAATATGGCGCTTTTTCTAAAATGAAGCTTGAAGAAACTGGACAAGTTTTTCCAACATTGAATGGTTCAACGACTGATTTTTCTGCTACAGAAACCGATATTTCAGTATGGGAAATTGCTGCAATTCAAACTGGTCAGGCTTATATAAATCAAGCAATTGAACATGTATTTCAACCACAAGAATTACGCTTACACCAACGTGAAGGAATCAATTATGACAAAGGCTGTTATCTTGGTCAGGAAGTGATTGCACGCCTCTGGTTTAAGGCAAAACCAAAAGCATGGTTACATGTCATTCAAGGTACAGGTCCTGCCCCTACTCAGGCTGAACAATTGAATAAAGGTGTTCAAGTAGTAAACAGTGCAGCATTTGAAAATGGTTATATTGCGCTTGTGGTTGCCCGTCCTGATGCTTTAGAAGAGTTAAACGTGACTGTTTTAGCATTACCTGAAAGCTTAAGTGGTGATGTGGCGAGACCGTAGTAATTTCTCAAAATTGTCTACAATAATAAACCTACAACCTTGTAGGTTTATTAAGAGAATAAAATGATTGAGTCAATCACAACAACTTTAACAATAGCAATTGGTTAGCTTTATTTTCATAGATAAATACTTGCTGATCTAATACTGCTTCCAAAGATTTATCGACAATTTATATTTTTACTTTCACCTGAATTTTGTATTCTTAGCCATGCTCTTTTTACTAACTCCTAAAATTTTAGAAAAGTTCAAAATTTAGGAAGATTCTTTCTGCCGAACATAATAAATCACACCACTCTTATCATCGGAAAAATAAAATGAATTTTCATCTACCCGATAAATATCACAAGGGCGACCATAGACATTTTTGCCCACTAAAAAACCATCCATAAATGTCTGTAATTTTTGCCCTTTACGCATAATCACAATTTTATAACCATGACCAATTGCGGCATCGGTAGAACCATGTAAAGCAACTAAAAAAGAATTTTTGATGGTATCGTCTGTATCGGGATGATCAAAATAGTCAAAACCAAGTGCAGATGAATGCGCAGGGAAATAAGCATAAGGAGGCAATACATTTTTGCAACCTGATGGACGTTTAAATTTTGGATCTGCCAAAATTTTACCATTCGACGAATAACATGAAGCCCAACCATAATCTGCATCACGTTTGAGTGCATAAAAAGTTTCATCAGGCTTATTTTTACCCAAATGGTCCACACCTTGATTAGTGGCAAATAAAAAATTACCAACCCATTTCAAACCGACTGCATTGCGTAAACCTGTAGCAAAAATCTTTTGTTGCGAACCATCGGGGTTCATTTCTAAAACTGTCGCCCGGACTTTTTCTTTCTCGACACAAGCATTGCAGCTTGAGCCGACAGAAACATAAATTTTCCCGTTCCCACCCACGGCGAGTGTCCGTGTTAGATGCCAACCACCATATTTATAACTTAAACCGTAGTCAGGAAAAGTTACTAAAACTTCGGCTTTATCGGTTGGTTTAATTTCACCTTTGGTAAATTTTCGTCGGGTCAGTTGATTAGTTTCCGCTAAATACAACCAATCTTGTCCTGAAGAATCTGTATAAAATTGAACTGAATTAGGGTTCTTCAGCCCCGTCATATAAGGAATAATTTTGCCGAATTTTCCCGTTTCAGGGTTCCATTCATCCAAAATATAAACGATGCCTTTTTTATTATCAGTCAAATCGTGCATATCTGTTACAAACATTCTGCCATCAGGAGCTTTGCTAAAAAAACGAACTCGCTTTAAGCCCTCAGCCGCTGGAATAATTTCGTAATTTGCTGGAAGATTTAAAGAAAAGCGCTTCCCATTTTTTAACTTAACCTGCTGAGGCACAAGATTTGGCTGTTGAGCTAAAATCCCCATTGAACAAACTAAACTTATGAATAAGATTGACAGTACTTTCATCATAGATACGTCTCGATTAATCTTAGGAAAAACAGCCTTCTTTTTTATATTATATAACTTGAAGCACGAGTATATAGTCAAATAATTTTGCTAGAAAAATACAAAGATCATCTAGATACAAGCCATTGTTTTATATTGTTTTTAGCCAAGCTCCGAATGTATCCTTGCAGTGGATTAAAGCATTCACTCTCATTCTACGGCACACAGCGCATCAAAAAACAGAACTAAGAAAATAAACAATGACAACATCAAAAGTTATTACTTTAGAAAGCCCTAACCACCATCAATACAGAGGTAGAGGGCTCATCCAAGTGCTTAAAATATTTTTATAGCCCAATTGAACAGTTCACTAATTTTCAATGGATATTAAAACCCATGAAATAATTTATTCATGTCTTTACACAAATAATCTTTAAAGTGAAATGCCCGTGCATGTTTTGCATCAAACTTGGCCGTCTGACCATCTTTTTCAAAAATATAAACACGGTCATCCTTACTGACAAGAAACTCACCACCCAGTTTGATCAACAAAGCATCTATCTTATCTTCATCAGCAATGCTGTCATCTTGGCTGACTTTGTCATAATTACGTCTAATGCCTTTAATAAACATCGTCTACTCACACATTCTATTTAGCCAGAATTATACCCTTTTCATTGCCTTTAAAATGGCTCTAAATAAACATTATCAAAATCATTCAGCTTGTTTACCCCGATAAATACTTATAAAATAGCCCAATCATGTGTTATCGCGGCTGCTGAACCCGATCAACTCATGAGTTTTATCTATGGACATTACACAACAATATTTTGAAAATGAATTAAACCGCAATCGCGCTTGGAGACGTAAGGTAAATTATTTACACCGTGGTCGAGATTGCAGACATACTTCAACCCTTTGGAAACCAGAAAAAGTCTGGAAATTACTTTGGAACAGATCGTTGAAAAGATCTCGCTCGAAACAATTAAGAATTGAATATCCACGTATTTCTTCTGCCAAAAGACGAAAACAAGCACAATATGATTTTTGGAAGACTGCTGATTGAACACCCTTTTTATTTGTAGTCGTAACCAATGGCGTAGTCCCACTGCCGAGCGTGTCTTTGCAGTGGGCTATGGCATTTCCACACGTTCCGCTGGAACAAGTAAACACGCCAAACATCGTATTTCTGTCAAAGATATTGCTTGGGCAGATATAATTTTTGTCATGGAGCAAAAACATAAACAAAATATCAAAGAGAAATTCCCCAACCAGTTACAACATAAAAAAGTCATGGTGTTGGATATTCCAGACGATTATCACTATATGGATGAAGAGTTAATTGAAATTTTAACAGAGGCCATGCAGCCCTATTTGCCTTAAATGATAAAGACCTTGCCATCAATCAGCATGACCAATTCATCATTAAAGTGATGACAAAACAACATTAAATTGCCATAACTCAACCCGATCAATATTTAACAATAAAATAAATGATGCAGAATCCACTAAAAGTATTTTCTATCCTTAAGACCTTCACGCTTATCTTGGTGATATGCGCGCTTCTGTTCAGCTTTAGTTTTATATTTAGATTTTCTGACTCAAATTCAGATGAGATTCCTTTTACTGCGACTACAGAAAAACTTGGGATATTTGAAAAATATAACAACCAAATCTATGCCGCTGTACCCAGCAATGGTGATTATTTGATCCCTGAAGCAGATGTTCAAAGTTTTTATTTACCCAATGATAATTACCAATACCGACAACTAGGTGCAGATAAACTGCATATTTATTGTGGCAATATCCTCCTAAAAGGTGTGCAACCTCAACAGGTGAAAACTATTGGGGATGGTTATTTTACTGCTGGAAAAGACACTTGGTATTGCTCCCCCTCCACCGAACGAAATAAGGATTTAGGGGCGCTTCGAGAAGTGTGGCAAATCATGCAACAAAATTTTGCCCTAGGTTCAAAACCACAAAGTTATCTCTACCCCTATTTTAAACTTGGATCAGGCAATCTACCTTATCGTGTCAATTCTGAAAATGATACGGCAAGTAATGGGACATTCACCTATTTTCAAGGGAAATTGCTTTCTGGAGCCAATCCAGACCAACTCAAACTTGTCTTAGGCAAACGTAACTATGCCTATCGAGCGGATGGTAAAAACGTCTATTACAACCACACTTTGCTCGATTTAAAAGACAATGGAAAACTTTATAGTATTGAAATAGACGGTTTAAATAACCAATATTATTTACTCAATCCTGTCGATGGTATGGTCTATGTCAACGAATTTGCCTTTGATCCCCAATACGCGCCTTATCATCTCTTAAGCGAACATGGCGATCATATTAACCATGCTTTGTTTTATAACAACACGGGGATTTATTATTTTGATCTGAATAAGAAAAAAATGCGTCGCGCAGGTGATAGTCCATTTTTAGGCAAAGCATTTAAAGAAATCGCACCGCTGATTTTTTCTGATGGCACACAGCTTCTCTATCTACAAGCCAGTGAATATCGCAGTAATAAAGGATCAGCCTCTTCCAAATCCACCCATATTCTAAAATTAGCTGAACCACTTCATTCCACATGGCAAAAACTTGGAGATGTGAATTACAACTATGGCACTGTATGGAAAAATGGCAATGCGTTTTACTATTTTGATCAGTTAGGAAATAGCCAACTGGTTAAAGCCACGATTTATCGTATTCGCGACCCACAAACGATTCAAAATTTACTGAGAACTCAACCACGCACTGACGATATTCGACAATGGATTGAAGAGCAAAAGATGGTTGAAGCCAAACATGTAGAATTACTCGAAGTAGAGACGACTAACCGCTCAGACAAATATTGGGGCTTGTTTATTCCTATCATTTTCGTAGCATTTTTTAGTATGCTGATGTGGATATTTAAACGGTTTAATTTAAATTTTGCCCCATTTTATATACGTAACCATAAACTGATCGTCAGTAATTTGATGATGACCTCGTACCCTTTAGATCAGATCACATGCGTTGAATTTAGTACCCGTATGACTACGGCGAATGGAGGTTATCTTGGGCACTTTCAAATTTTACAGCGCAATGGGAAACGTAGCAGAATCTTTAATTTTAGTACGCAATTACGTTTACGGAGTGACTCACAAGTAGAATTAAATCAATATATCCAACAACTCGGAAATGAGTTAACACGCCATGGTATCCAGAATACAATACGAAGTTAGCGTGGTACCAACTAAATATCACATTGGCAATTACATGATCTCAATATATTTTTGATCAGTATTGAGTGCACAATATCCACATTATTATTTTGAGCTTTAACATGAAAATCTGGTTATCTCTTCTAACTTTGGGTCTTTTTACCTTTTCTTCTGCACATGCAGATATTCAAACTTTGCAGCAAAACTTAAAAACCAAATATCCTGAGATTCAGGTGAAATCGGTACAAAACTCACCAATTAAAGATGTTTATGAAGTCTATATGGGTGGGCGTATTGTTTATACCAATGAAGAAGCAAAATATTTCTTTGTCGGCAATTTAATTGATCTTAAAGAACAAAAAAACCTGACCGAAGAACGTATGCAAGCGCTAAAAAGTATTGATGTAAAATCATTACCTTTGAAACAAGCCATTAAGCATGTCAAAGGTAAAGGTGAACGTGTAATCTACGTATTTAGTGATCCTGACTGTCCATATTGCCAACATCTTGAAAAAGAATTAAAAAATATCGACAACCTAACAGTTTACTTATTTTTATACCCAATCACCCGTTTACATCCAAATGCTGAAAGTATTTCACAGCAAATCTGGTGCTCTAAAAACCAGTACCAAGCCTGGGAAGACTATTTAATTGACAAGAAACAACCGACTTCAAACAAGTCATGTACGAACCCAATTGAGAAAAATATTGCTTTAGCAAAATCACTCGAAGTCGATGGTACACCAACATTCTTCTTACAAGATGGCACCCGTATTTCAGGCGCACGTGAAGCAGGCGAAATTGAATTACTCCTCAAAGCAGTAAAATAACAGCCCACAGCCTAGAGAATAAAAAATTTCTCTAGGCTTTAATGTTGTTAAAATATCCTTAATTCTTTCTTATTTATAAATAAATTAAAATTTAAATACACTAACTTATACAATAGGCATGTTTACATTTATAATTTTCAAATTATGATAAAAACGTCCTCAACAATGTTCTCACACCATAAATGGAATTATGTTGAAATTAAAACAAGGTATATCGTCAAAATGAAAAAAATTCTATTCGCTACACTGCTCAGCTTTTCATGTATTTCTGCATTTGCAGCAGATACAGCTAAAGGTAATGTTGACCCTACATTTGCCAAAGCACAAGAGCTGATCCAAGCAAAAAACTACCCTGCGGCGTATCAAGAACTTGAACGTCTTGCAAAAGCAGGTAATGCTCAAGCGCTATATAACTTAGGCTATTTAACCCAAACGGGACAAGGCACAACCAAAGACGATAAGAAAGCTTTGAAATATTATCAAGATGCTTCAGCAAAAGGCTATCCTGTTGCAAGTTATGTCTTGGCGCAAAGCTATGCGATAGGTCAATTGGGCTTAGCCAAAGACGAAAAGAAAGTTCGGGAATACTTAGAGAAATCCTCTGCTCAAGGATTTGATGATGCTACAGTGGAACTTGCGGTTTTATTATTTGCTGAAGGCAAACCCGCATCTGACAAACTTGGCTTACAAAAACTTGATCCTTTAGTGAAAAAAGATTTTGCACCTGCGATTCATGCGAAAGCGTTGTATGACATCACCGATGGTTTAAAGAAGAAGAATGCAGCAGCAGTTAATCAAGGTTTAAAATCGATTCAGGATTTAGCTAAAAAAGGATATATCCCAGCATTAATGGCTGTCGGAAATATGCTGACCAATGGCAACATCATTGATCAAAATCTGCCAGAAGCACAAAAGATTTTCTCAGAACTGGCTAAAAATAATGTGCCTAAGGCAAAAGAGTCTTTGGATGTTGTAAACAAACTAATTGCTGAAAAAGGCAAAACACCTGCTCCCGCAGCACCAGCAAAAAAATAAGCAACGCTTAAAAAAATACTCTCACAAGAGAGTATTTTTTTACCACCAAATACCAATCAGAACACTCACCACAATAAAACTCAGTAAAGTACTTATCATCAAAGGTGTCAGTGCTTTTTCATTTAAACCATAGACTTGCCCAAAAATTCCAAATATAGAGGGCATAGGCAAAGCCGCAATCAAGGTACCTGCATAAATCATCTTTTGATCCAAATCTGTTAAATGAGTCAAACCTAAATAGACCAATATCGGCATACAGATATTTTTAGAAACCACCAAATAAATGGTTTGTAGATTAAGTGATTGAATCGTAATTCCAACCATCCCACCACCAATAATAAATAACGCTAAAGGTGAAGCAGTCTGACCTAACAAGGCAAATACTTGGTCTAATACATGTGGAATTTGAATTTCGAAGATCGCACAGCTCATGCCAATCATCACTGACAAGAACAATGGATTTTTAAATAAAGTCAGAAATGTTGTTTTTAAAATAGAGGCTAAATTGGCTTGTCTTTGCCGCCCTATTTCTGCCAAGGTTAACATCAGTGGCACAAGAAATACGCTTTCAATGATCACAATCAGTGAAATATAAATCATAGCTTCACTCCCCATCAGCAAAGTCAAAATTGCTGCACCCAATAACCCCGTATTGGACATTGACGCGCCAAGCGAAAACACAGAAGCATGGGTGAAATGGTTGTTAAAAAGCTTTTGCCCTAAAATAAAGGCCAAAATAAATAGACTAAAAGTGACGCCTGCATAAACAAAGAAATAAGCAGGATACCAAATCTCATGTAAATCTTTTGCAGCCAGTGCATGAAGTAATAAAGCAGGTAATGCAATTTTGATTACAAAAGCACCAATTGCAGTAATTTGCTCTTTAGAGATCAATTGGATTTTGACAGATATAAAACCCAAAAATAACAGGAAAAATACTGGAAAAATTACCGAAAAAATCATTCAAGCCGTTCCTTTTCCAGATCATACAAATAAAGATATATCCTAGAATATATCTTTATTCAGTTTAAATACGTTTAAAGAATAATGAGTGAATCAAAACTGTTATGCCATCAATATGCTGAGAACAAATCTTTGATTCCGTGCGGCTGACAACGTAAATATTGTGGTGCAATCGAGATTTTTGCACCCAATTTTGCGGCAGCATGCCAAGGCCAGCGTGGGTCATATAAAATCGCTCTTGCCAATGCAATTGCATCTGCTTCGCCTTGTTGAAGGATCTGTTCAGCTTGTTCAGCTTCGGTAATTAAGCCCACCGCAATGACAGGAATATTCACCTGTTTTTTAATCGCATTTGCAAAAGGCACTTGGTAATTTGCACCCACTTTAATATCTTGTTGAATATGTAATCCCGCAGAGGATACATGGATATAAGCAGCACCAAGTTGCGCTAAAGCTTTTGATAAGCCAATGCTTGATTCAACATTCCAACTATTTTCTGCATCCATCCAGTCAGTTGCAGAAATACGTACACCTACAGGATAGTCAGTTGGCACAACTGCTCGAATGGCTTGAAAAACTTCTAGTGTAAAACGAATACGATTTTCAAAACTTCCACCATATTCATCAGTTCGGTGATTAGACAACGGCGACATAAATTGATGCAGTAAATACCCATGCGCTGCATGAATTTCAATCAGTGAAAAACCAGCATCTACTGCACGAATCGCTGCTTGCGCAAAGTCTTGAATGATTGTTTTAATTTCATCAATGGTTAATTCATGCGGGGCAATATCATTCGGGCTAAAAGCAATATCACTGGCTGATACAGTTTGCCATCCGTGTGCATGATCGGGCGCAATCTGACCTTTCCCCTGCTTGACCAACCAAGGCTTTTCAGTCGAAGCTTTACGACCTGCATGCGCAAGCTGAATAGCAAAAGGTGTTGGAGCAATGCTTTTTACCTTATTGAGTAAAGCTTTGATTTGATCCCGTTGCGTATCATTCCAAAGTCCCACATCGGCATAACTGATCCGCCCTTCGGCTTGAACCGCTGTTGCTTCAATAATACATAAGCTCGCGCCTGACAAAGCGTAACTTGCCCATTGCTGTTCATGCCAATAGGTCACTTCACCCTGATCTGTTGCCGAATATTGACACATTGGCGCAATAATAATTTTATTGCTGAGGGAGAGTGAACCAAATTGAATAGATTCAAATAACTTTGGTTGAGCAGACATAAATTATTTTCCCAATGAATTAGAACTGTTTGGTGACACTGAGTCCTGCACTCCAGTTAATACCATCAGCAGGTTCAAAGAATCGACTATTACCATCATTCACAATGACTGAACCGACATAATTTTTATCGAATAAATTATCAACTCGAACAAAACTACGCACTTTCCAATCGTTGTTTTTCCAGATATAACCGACATTCATACTGGTTACTGTATAACTTGGTGCAGTATCTGTATTGAGATCGTCTACATAGATTTTATCCATATATCGAACATCGACACCCGCGTTAAAGCCCTGCTCAGGCAACCAGCCGAAAGATACAAAGGCTTGGTTTTTTGCAATTCCGGGAATGTAATTGCCACTTTGGATAACTTTTTTAGGATCAGTGTTGGGAATATCTGCATCAAATGTTGCATCAAGGAAACTATAACTGGCTTGAGCCGTTAAATTTTTCCACAACTTTTTATTCCAAGACAGCTCTACCCCTTGGCGCAGTGTTTTATCTGCATTTTGATAGGTTGCACGTCCATTGAGTGTTCCCGCAGAAACGATGTCATCTTGGGTATTACTTTGGAAAACTGCGGCGGTAAAATTACCTAGACGATTTTGTGCTTTTAAACCAAGCTCATAGTTATCACTGGTTGAAGGTTTAAGCGCAAAGTTAATCCCTGCCGTTCCTTCTGTTGGATAGGCCATTTCGGTAAAGGTTGGTGTTTCAAAGCCTTTGGCATAACTGATATAAGTACTGAGATCTGGGGTAACTTCCCAAGTAAAGGCAGCCGATGGGAGCAATTTGTTATAATCGGTTTGACCACTGTCATCGCCATTTAAACCAATGATGTAGTGATCTTTCGACTCATAATGAACATTGCTATAGCGCAATCCTGTATCTAGACGTACAGTCGGCAAAAACTGCCAAGATGCCTGAAGATAAGGATCTAAATTCCATAAAGTATTTCGTTCATCACGGCGTAAATTACCTTTTACCCCATATTCACCCTTGGCATTAAAATTCTCATATCCTTGACGATCTTCATTCATCGCATCATAAGCCAAGCCCGCACTGATCCGTGTATTCGGTAATAAGTCTTTGCCAGTCCAACGTAAATCAGCACCATAAAAATCTCGTTCGAAATCAATCACCCCACCTGCATGGCGTGGATTCTTTTGAGCAGAACTTGGAATAGACTGGTATTGAGTCACTTCACGATGACCAATATAGGCCATACTATAAAGCTCTTGTTGATCATTCAGGGGCTTAGTCCAATTGATACCTGTCTGTGTTTGGTTAATATCTTTACGAACATCATAGATATTTTTACTGTCATTGACCTGTTTAGGATTTTGCTTCCATTGCTCACGAGTCAAACCTTGTGGATCATCAGCGGAAATATCCACATGATTGATCAGCCAATTGATCTTAGAACCATCATCTAAGTCCCACGTGAGTTTGGCATTGCTCAACACTTTTCTTGCGGCACTGTGGTCACGATAACCATCGGTATCAAAATAAGAAGAACTGATCACATAGCTCGGTTCATTGGCTTTATCTGCACCACCTTGTAAGGTGATGTCAGCACGGCCTTTATTATTACTGCCACCTGAATATCCTAACTCGACCGAATCACGCCCTGTTCCTTCTTTGGTCGTGGTGAGAATAGTCCCCCCAGAGGAGTTTCCATACAGTGATGAAAAGGGCCCACCAAGTACTTCAATATGATCTAAGCTCGTTAAATCAATATTTGAAGTTTGGCCTTGTCCGTCTGGCATCGTCGCAGGAATCCCATCGACATAAAGACGAATTCCACGTACCCCAAAAGTTGAACGTGCGCCAAATCCGCGCATAGACAGTTGTAAGTCTTGGGCATAATTTTCACGATTATTGAGCTGTAAACCCGGAATTCCTTTGAGTGTTTCAGTGAGGTTTACCCCAATATTATTTTGACTTTGTTGTTGATCAACTCTATATACCGATGCTGGGGTGTTTAATATGCTGGTATCAGAACGTGTTGCTTCAATTTTGATGGTTGGAAGTTGCTGAGTAGAATCTTGCTGAATGGAATCTTGAGATTCCACTTCAGCATATAAGCTCTGTGTGATACATACCGTTAAGCAAAGTAGTGTTGTATTAATTTTTAGATGTTTCACTCTTTGCATAAAGGTGTCCTCGGGTGGTATTAAAAAATAATTTTAGACCCCAAGCCAACGACAAACGCATTGTCCACCTGATTGGTTGCACCAGGATGTACCACATACTGCACTAAAGGACGAAGCATGAACCATTTGGCAGGGTAATATGAGTAATTCAACTCAACATTATACTCTGCATCTTCATTCAACTGTCTTAAATTTGTTCCTAAACGAGCACCATTCACATAATTAGTATACCGATCGTTCAAATGTACCCGATTTACAGCCAAACCAAGAATATCGTTTGGTTGAGCATCAAACAGACCATAGTATTTTAGGCCAAGTTGCTGTGAATCATTTACGGCTGTCGTCGTACGATCATGAATGGTGAAGTTACCAAAACTGTGTAAACCGCGTTTCCCCTCTCCAGTTGAAGTCAATTGCTGTTCAAACGCAATCCAACCGCCATATGTACGATCTTCAGCCTTAGTTCCTGCTTTATAGCCCACATCATACTGATTTTTAGCCTCATCAGCAGTATTGTAAAGCGTACCAATACGATAACTGCCTGATAAATTATTCACACCCTGCTTAGGTGACCACACCACTTCAGAAAGAATATTGACACCATCGGCATGCTTTGTATCCAAATTCCAGCCTTGTCGCTCTAAAGCATTATCAGGGTTGTATTCAAACACCCCCACTTGTGCAAATAGTTCAGGATTGATGTGATATTTTAAGCGTGCGCCCCATTGTGAGACTGGTGTGTTATACCAAAGCTTGCCTTGCCATTTCCCCATCTGTGCAGCACAAAATGCATTGCCTTGGAAATCACAAGCCATGGTATTGAATTCAGTACCTAAACCCATACGACCTAAACGCAAGCTTAGTCCTTGATCCTTAAAATTCTTTTCTATATATAATTCGCTGAGACGGCTCCCTGAATTACCACGTCCCCAATTGGCTTGCGAGTTTGCCCATTGTGGTGCATCTGGTGCTTGAATACCTCTGAGTGAAGTACTTTCACCTTGACGTGCTGTAACTAAAGCACGAATAGTCACATCATTCCAACCAGCCAGTTTCCCCATATCTAAGGTTGTACCCAGTCCGAATTGTGTCGCAAATGTTGGCGCTTGATGTGCATCATAACCACCATCAGCGAGATATGAACTGTCCATGGCAATGGTGCCATCAAATTTGATTCCCTTTTCTGCAAGTTCAGTCCGACTCCCATTCCAATCACCCGTCATGGTTGAGCCGTGTAAATTAAATGCATCTTCAGCTGATGCAAAAGACATCATGCTACATGCAGAGATTGCCAATAAAGGATAAGCAATTTTTTTCATGGGAAAGCCTAATCAGGAACAAAACGAATAAAGATAAACCAGTCAACACTCAATCACTTTAACCGTCTAAATTTAATAGAAAGTTCCAGCTTTAAAATGACTATTTTTCCTGAAATATCGAGATAAAAAGAATTATTTCAGTAAACAATTCACTAGAAATTTACACATTTTTTTACATATAACTATCAGATATTTTTTATCAATTGGAAAACTTTATTTTATCAATAAACTTTATTTTAAATAACAATAACTTAACAATAATAATTCTATCTTATTCAACGATCATATCCATAATTTTAACCTAAAGTCGTAGGCTCAACACAACCGCCCTTTAACGCAATCCAATTCTTGCATACAATATTCAGTCCTCACACCAATGTGACAAGTGCATGCCTGAATTACCTGAAGTTGAAACAACAAAAACCAGTTTACTCCCCCTGATCGACCAGAAAGTTCTTCATGTTCAAGTGCGTGAGTCACGGTTACGCTGGCCTATTCCCGAAGATATTCAACAACTTCAAGGTCAAAAACTCGTTCGCTTAACACGTCGTTCAAAATACATTTTGGCAGAGTTTGAAACCCATAGCATGTTATGGCATTTGGGTATGTCTGGTAGTTTTAGAATCTGTGATGAACATGAAGCGCTTAGAAAGCATGACCATCTGATCATTCAGTTTGAAGACACACAGCTGCGCTATCATGACCCTCGACGTTTTGGTTGTATCATTTGGCTGAATGAAGAAAGCCAAACAAAATTGATTGATACTTTAGGGCCTGAACCATTGAGTGATGAATTTCATGCCGAATATTTAGCAGAAAAGTTTAAAAATAAAAATGTCGGCACAAAAGTTGCAATCATGGATAATCATATTGTTGTGGGTGTAGGCAATATTTATGCAACCGAAAGCTTATTTAATTTAGGGATTCACCCTGCACAGCCTGCTTCGAGTTTGACGAAAGCGCAAATTCAAAAATTGGTCATCGAAATTAAACGAATTTTAAAGCAAGCGATTGATTTGGGTGGTTCAACCTTAAGAGACTATAGCAACGCCATGGGTGAGAATGGCTACTTTCAGCAGACCTTATTGGCTTATGGTCGTGCGGGTGAGATGTGTATTAACTGTGAAACCACTTTAGAAAATTTAAAGTTAGGACAAAGAGCCAGTGTGTTTTGCCCACAATGCCAGCCATTAAAGATCGCGAAGAGCATCCCACAAAAACCACGAGGAAAAAGTAAATGAAAACTGCAATCGTTCGACATATTCTCGTCAAAGATAAGGACTTGGCTGAACAACTTAAGAAGAAAATCCATGATGGCGCTGATTTTGCCAAAGTGGCCAAACAGCATTCCACATGTAATTCAGCAAAACGTGGTGGTGAACTGGGTGAAGTAAAAAAAGGACAACTTGTTCCTGTGATTGATAAACTGGTATTTACCGCTGCTGAACGTGTACTTCATGGCCCAGTAAAAAGCCAATTCGGCTTTCACTTGGTTGAGATTAAATTTCGCATGGATTTTTAGTTTAAAGATTTACATTCTTTTGGAGACATTGAGAGAATGTTCCACTATTTATCAGCAATGTTCAAATTAGAGTCACAACAACCACCATCACTGAAGCTAAATTAAAATACTTTTGCTTTTCGATCATTCAGGCTTTCAAAGTGTGTCTATCACGTAGCGCAATGACAAGGATGTTAATATTTGCTTTAAACCTTATTGTTTATTAAGACAACAAAACAATAAAAATCTGAGCTGTTCTAGTCACTTTAAACCATCCTATATTTTCGAATCAATTTGCTCAGGTTTAAATTCATGAATAAACTTCGCATAATCATCAATATATGATCTAAATGCTTCTTCCCGAGTGGTAAAGTAAAATATTTCATTGCCATTTCTGACGATGGTTTCAGGAGATTTACCATTACAGTACCCTCCTGCTGAATAGACAGCAGACTTAAGCATTTGAAAACTTTGCTCAGCAAGCTGTTCATCCTTAAACGCAAAAACCAGCAAAACAAAATCTGGACGATATTGTTTTTCATCACCTAACTTAACTTTACTGATTGCCTTATAAGAGCGAATGCCCTCACCTTTTACTTGAATCACTTTATTCAGAGAACAATCATTTTCAGACCAAGAACTACCACTGTCTTTTTCTATAAACTCAAAATTGGCTTTTAATAAACGTGTTTGTAGGGCCAACAGTAATGTTTCATTTTCATCCACTGAGTCGGTTTCTATAGTGGCATAGCTGGTATCTTCATTTGGCATCTCATTAAAGGTTAAACCACTGGCAGGTCGGTTTCGATCCGCTTGTGTAGATGTTTGAGTATCAGCGGATTGCTGCTCTTTTGGATGCTCTGAACATGCATACAAACTGATAAGTATTGCCATAATCCCTATGTTTTTTTTCATCAGCCCATCCCTATTTTCTTGCTTGCATAAAAAACGGTACTTGATCGTACCGTTTCATTCAACTCTTTTACAATGATTTAATACCTTTATCAGGGTTTAGATATATTAAAATACTGTAATTTGAATCAATTTAATGAAGATTAAGCTTCAGGGCGTTTCTTTAATTCATCACGAATTTCACGCAGTAATGCAATATCTTCTGGTGTAGCAGCTGGAGCTTCTTCAGCAGGTTTACGAATTTTATTGAGGAATTTAACCAACAAGAAAACCACCCACATTAAGATCAGGAAGTTCAATACAATTGTGATGAAATTACCATAGGTTAATACATTAATTCCGGCTTTGGTTAATTCATCCAATGATGAAAGGTTATTTGGGTTATCGCCAAGTACGACAAATTTTTGGGTAAAATCAACACCACCACCCGTAATCACTGTGATTAAAGGCATAATCACGTCTTTCACTAATGAGTCGATAATTTTATTGAAAGCACCACCAATGATGACACCAATTGCCAAATCCATCATATTGCCTTTAATGGCAAATTCTCTGAACTCTGAAAGAATACTCATATTTTAACTCCACGCCGATTTTGCGTATTTTTTATGTGACGAAGTATACATTATGTTTCAACATATATTTCCGCCTAATTTACTCGCTTTTTATTAAAAACCAATATTCTTTTACATTTATATAAAAAAACCGCAATTTATTAAAAAATTGCGGTTTTTTTCTAGAAATTAAATTATTTCCAGTTTGAACGCTTAGCCACGTGAAGCACGTTTACGTTCATTTTCAGTTAAGAATTTTTTACGAATACGAACTGATTTAGGTGTTACTTCAACTAATTCGTCATCTTCAATAAATTCTAATGCTTGTTCAAGCGTGAATTTAATTGCAGGTGTTAACGTTAACGCTTCATCTGTACCAGATGCACGCATGTTGGTTAACTGCTTCGCTTTGGTTGGGTTCACAGTCATGTCGTCTGAACGAGAGTTCATACCCACGATCATACCTTCATAAACTTCTAACTGTGGTTCAGCAAATAGACGACCACGGTCTTGTAAAGTGAACAATGCAAACGCTAAGCAAGTACCGTTAACCATAGAGATCAACACACCGTTTTGACGTTTCGCAACTGCACCTTGTTTAGCTGTACCGTAATGCGAGAAGCTTGAAGTCATGATACCAGTACCAGAGGTAATGGTTAAGAATTCAGAACGGAAACCAATCAAACCACGTGATGGAACAGTTGCTTCAATACGGATACGGCCTTTACCGTCAACTTCCATATTGGTCAACTCACCTTTACGGTTACCCATTTGTTCCATAACAGAACCCTGATGTTGTTCTTCAACATCAAAAGTAACGTTTTCGTATGGTTCTTGAGTTTCGCCATCAACTTCTTTCATGATCACTTGCGGACGAGAAACACCCATCTCGAAGCCTTCACGACGCATGGTTTCAATCAATACTGAAAGGTGAAGTTCACCACGACCAGAAACTTTGAAACGGTCTGGACTGTCAGTATCTTCAACACGTAAAGCAACGTTATGGATCAATTCGCGATCTAAACGCTCACGGATATTACGTGAAGTTACAAATTTACCTTCTTTACCAGCAAACGGTGAGTTGTTTACTTGGAACGTCATCGAAACTGTAGGTTCATCTACAGACAATGCAGGTAATGCTTCAACATTTTTAGGATCACAGATTGTGTCAGAAATGTTCAAAGCATCTAAACCAGTGATACATACGATATCACCCGCTTGAGCAGAATCTACATCTACACGCTCTAAACCATGGTAACCCATAATTTTTAAGATACGACCGTTACGTGTTTTGCCATCTTTATCGATAACAGTCACTGGTGTATTGGTTTTTACTGAACCACGTTGAATACGACCAACACCAATTACACCCACGAAACTATTATAGTCAAGTGATGAAATTTGCATTTGGAATGGACCATCAATATCAACTGCTGGTGGTTCAACGATATCTACGATTGTTTCGAACAACGGCGTCATATCTTCTGCTAATTCTTCAGGAGAAGGACCAGCAACACCACGTAAGCCAGAAGCATATACGATTGGGAAGTCTAACTGTTCATCACTACCACCTAAGTTATCGAACAAATCAAATACTTGATCGATTACCCAGTCTGGACGAGCGCTTGGCTTATCTACTTTGTTGATGATAACAATTGGCTTCAAACCACGAGCAAACGCTTTTTGTGTTACAAAGCGAGTTTGTGGCATTGGGCCTTCTTGTGAATCGACAAGAAGAAGTACGCAGTCAACCATAGACATTACACGTTCAACTTCACCACCAAAGTCAGCATGTCCTGGGGTGTCGACGATGTTGATGCGGTATTCAGTATTTGTACGCTTGTCTAACCATTTGATTGCAGTGTTTTTTGCAAGAATGGTAATACCGCGTTCAGACTCAAGCGCATTCGAATCCATAACACGCTCAATCTCACCCGCGCGGTCACCGAGTGCACCTGATTGTTGTAAAAGTTTGTCGACAAGAGTCGTTTTACCATGGTCGACGTGCGCGATGATGGCAATATTACGGAGAGTTTTAATATCAGACATGTAAATTCGATACGCTTTAAATTTGAGGGCAAATTATACAGAAAAATCTTAACTTTTAGTAGTGACAGTTTATTGACAGTTACAAGTTTTTTTCACAACGGCAGGCTTTTTATTTTGTAATAGTGTGTAAAGCGATTAGAATAGCGCCATCTTGCCACTTCCAATTGCTGTGCCATGTCCAATTCTATCCCCTCTCCCAATCAGAAACAGGCTCAAATTGATCTTGTTTATGGTCTAGATGATCGCCCAAAACCACTCATCGCTTTTTTTGCGGCTTTGCAACATTTACTTGCGATTATTGTTCCAATTGTAACACCCGGTTTACTGATTTGTTTAGCTTTAGGTGTTTCTCCTCAAGATACCAACATGATTCTTTCCATGTCATTGGTGATTTCTGGGGTAGCAACATTCTTACAATGTAAAAAAATTGGACCCTTTGGTGCAGGGCTACTGATTGTTCAAGGTACAAGCTTTAACTTTATTGGTCCAATGATTGGGATTGGTTCTGCCATGGTTGCTGCGGGCACACCAGTAGAAGCGGTTATGGCATCTATTTTTGGTGTGGTCATTGCAGGCTCATTTATTGAAATGGGTGTTTCACGTATTTTACCTTGGGTAAAAAAGTTGATCACGCCCTTGGTTACAGGGATTGTGGTACTGTTGATTGGTTTAACCTTAATTAAAGAAGGTTTAATCAGCATGGGTGGTGGCTACCAAGCCATGGAAAGCCATACGTTTGCCAGCGCCGACAATCTCATCATGTCATGTACAGTGTTGGCAATTATCGTCCTTCTCAATCGCTTCAAAGTGGTTTGGGTGAAAAGTTCTGCAATTCTTATTGCTTTAGTCATTGGCTATATTCTTGCGGGCTTTATGGGCTATTTAGATTTTTCTGGTTTAAAAGATGCCCCATTGATTCAAATTCCGACACCAATGCATTTTGGAATTAGCTTCTCATGGAGCTTATTTATTCCTATGGCGTTTATTTATCTTGTCACGTCTTTAGAAGCAATTGGCGATGTCACCGCAACCTCTAAAATTTCAAATCAGCCTGTAGATGGCCCAGTGTGGATGGAACGAATTAAAGGTGGTGTACTGGTCAATGGTGCCAACTCATTTCTTGCAGGGATTTTTAATACATTCCCAAGTTCTGTCTTTGCACAAAATAACGGTGTAATTCAGTTGACGGGTGTTGCAAGTCGTTTTGTTGGGATTTGGATTGCAATCCTACTCATCATTCTGGGGTTATTCCCTGCTGTTGCTGGTATCATTCAGGCGGTACCGCAAGCGGTACTGGGTGGTGCGGTTATGGTAATGTTTGGTGCTGTTGCTGCTTCAGGCATTAACATTTTATCGGGAATTCAACTAGACCGTCGTGCGTTATTGATTATTGCTATCTCTTTGGGTCTCGGCCTAGGGGTTGCACAAGTTCCTCAAATTTTGGAACATTTACCAGAATTAGCACGTAATATTTTTAGTTCTGGTGTCGCAACTGGCGGGCTAGCTGCATTAATTTTGAATTTAGTTTTACCCGAAACTAAAAAATAATAAATCTATTCTTTATAATGCCCAGCTGAGACTGGGCATTGCTCTAATTTTTATTGATGGATGGTGAATATGGAGCCAAAAAGCGAAGTTGTCATTCGACAGCATGACTACCTTTCTGGACGCGTGCTATTTGTAAATGCAGCAACGGATGATCTACTTTCAAATTTAGCTCATAACATCGAAGCAAGCATTTGGACTTGGAATTACAATGAGTTTCAATATTTTCAGAATCAGCAGGCAACAGTACATTTTGGTACTGACCTGCCAGAAGCTGAATTTGATCAGGCTGTTGTTTTTGTTCCAAAATCAAAAGAGCTACTCAACTATATCTTACACAATTTAGTCAGTCGTTTAGCTGTTGGCGCTTCGATTTTCTTGGTTGGAGAGAAAAAAGGTGGTGTAGAACGTGCTGCAAAACAACTCCAGCCTTATGGTCAAGCCATCAAGCTTGATAGCGCACGTCATTGTCAAATGTGGCAACTCACCACAGATAAAACCGTGAAAGCAAAGCCATTAGCAGAATGGGCGCAAGTCTATAATGTTCCAACACCTGCTGGAGAACTTAGCATTTGTGCACTCCCTGGTGTGTTTAGCCAAAATCGTCTAGATATTGGAACTGCAGTGCTTTTACCTTATCTAAAACAAGTGACGTCTGGAAAAATTGCGGACTTTGGTTGTGGTGCAGGTGTCATCAGTGCTTATCTCAGTAAACTTAATCCGAAAAATCGTATTTTTGCTTTAGATGTCGATGCTTTTGCTTTAGCATCAACGCAAATGACTTTTGAAAAAAATAATTTACCTTTAGAACAACTTGAAATAAAAGCAGTCACAGGGATTGAAGATGCGCCATTGTTCTTACACGCCATCGTGAGTAACCCTCCATTTCACCAAGGTATTCAAACAGATTACAATGCCAGTGAAACGTTATGTAAAACTGCGAGACGACATTTAAAATCAGGTGGTGAATTATGGATTGTGGCAAACCGCTTCCTAAATTACCCATTACTCATTGAGCAGAGTTTTAGTCAATGTACGACTAAAGCAGATCAACAAGGCTTTAAAGTGCTGTTCGCCAACACTCAAAAAAGTAGTAAGGAATAACGATGAGCGAAACAGATCATCCTCAACTCCAGCGTAAGCTTGGAGCACGACATTTAAACATGATCGCCATTGGCGGTTCTATTGGTACAGGGTTATTCCTTGCTTCTGGTCAAACGATTGCCACTGCTGGACCTGGTGGTGCATTACTTGCTTATGTTCTGATTGGTATCATGATTTATTTCTTGATGACCAGTTTAGGTGAACTTGCAACCCACAATCCAACATCAGGTGCATTTTTTACCTATGGTAATAAGTATGTAGAAGAAGGTTTTGGTTTCGCACTCGGTTGGAACTATTGGTATAACTGGGCCATTACCGTAGCATTTGAATTGGTTGCCGTTCAATTCATCATGAAGTTTTGGTTTCCAGACATCCCCGGCTTTTGGTGGAGTGCGCTATTCCTTGCGATTATCTTCTGTATCAATGCCTTAACTGTAAAAGGCTTTGGTGAAAGTGAATTTTTATTTTCACTGGTTAAAGTCATTGCCATCATCTTCTTTATTGTCATTGGCTTATTCATGATTGGTAAAATCATGTTAGATCCAACAGATTCCATTACCAAGAATTGGACCGTTGGTGAAGCGCCATTTGTAGGTGGCTTTCAAGCCTTAGTCGGTGTTGCCATGATCGCTGGATTCTCGTTCCAAGGGACGGAGATGGTCGGTGTCGCTGCAGGTGAATCTAAGGATCCGAAAAAAACCATTCCAATCGCCATTAAACAAATCTTTTGGCGTATTCTTTTATTTTATATCTTGTGTATCTTTATCATTGGTACATTGGTTGCGTATACAGATCCAAACCTTGCACTTGCTGCGGAAGGTGATGGAAACATTACCCTGTCACCATTTACTCTGTTATATGAAAAAGCAGGTTTAGCATTTGCAGCAGGCTTAATGAATGCCGTGATTTTGACTGCAATTATGTCTGCAGGTAACTCAGGCATGTATTCATCAACACGTATGTTGTTTGATATGGCACGTGAAGGTAAAGCGCCACGAGTTTTCTCTAAACTCGATCTTCGCGGTGTACCCATGAATGCACTGTATGCAACAACGGCAATTGCGGCACTGTGTTTCTTAACCACCTTTATTGGTGAAAGTGTCGTGTTTACTTGGTTGCTAAACATGTCAGGTATGTGCGGTTTTATTGTCTGGTTAGGTATCGCAATCTCACATTATCGCTTCCGTAAAGGTTATTTAGCTCAAGGCTATAAACTTGAAGATCTCGCTTATCGTGCAAAATTCTTCCCTTTTGGTCCGTGGTTTGCCTTTATTCTTTGTGCCATCATTATTCTTGGCCAAAATGCAGAAGCTGTGCTTGATGGAAAATGGATGAGTGTGTTGTCTACGTATATTAGTATTCCGCTGTTTCTTGTTATCTGGCTTGGCTATAAGTGGAAACACAAATCTAAATTGATCGCTTATGATCAGATGGATGTACAACCCATTCAAGTCGAAAAAGAGTAAATCACTTGATGTAAATAAAGCAGCTTTTTAGCTGCTTTATTGTTTTTTTATAACAGCAATTCAACGTGAATTAAAAATTAATTTGCTATGTTTCATTGACAAAGTTTTTTTTCTTTATAGAATAACGCCCATTGGATCGTTTCCAATCAGAATTTTCACCTTTGATTTTAAATCAAAAAAGTATAGGAGTACGACATGCATCAACTTGAGAAAACTTTAAATTAAGATTAAGCAGTCGTCTACCCACGGGCACTGAATTAATCAAAGTGTCCGAATGTCAGTCAAACCTAGCATTCGCTAGGTTTTTTATTGTCTTTAAAATTTGAATCGATCATTGCTTTGACAATAGTGTTGTAACCGCCTTCGGACAATAAAAAAATTTGCTTCGAGAAAAAAAATGAGCATACAAATGATTTTAAACGCCAAAGCAGAATATGGCGTTCCTGTAAAAATTTATACAAAAGATGTGGATGAGGAAAGCCTAACCCAACTGCGAAAAATGGCACAATTGCAATTTATTCATTCACATATCGCAGTCATGCCAGATGTACATTTGGGTAAAGGCGCAACCGTGGGAAGTGTTATTCCCACCAAAAATGCCATCATTCCTGCTGCGGTTGGCGTGGATATCGGTTGTGGTATGAATGCATTAAGACTTAGTCTAAAAGCATCTCAACTGCCCGATAATTTAAGCACTTTACGCAATGCCATTGAAAGAAAAGTACCTGTCGGCTTTGAAATGCACAAACAAATCAAAGCAAAGGCTTCAACCCTTTCGCCCTTAGATAAAAAGCTCCAGCGTATTACAGACAAACACCCTGCTTTAAAACGCATGTTACGTAGTTTTGATGTTACATGGCAAAAGCAACTCGGGACTTTAGGTGGTGGTAATCACTTTATTGAACTGTGTATTGATGAAAATGATGATATCTGGGTCATGCTGCATTCAGGTAGCCGTGGCTTAGGTAACGTGATTGGCACTTACTTTATTGAACGTGCCAAGAAAGAAGCACAACATCGTTTTGGTCACGTGCCTGATAAAGACTTGAGCTACTTTGCAGAAGGTTCGACGAATTTCGATGATTATGTGGAAGCTGTAGAATGGGCACAAGAATATGCTTTTGAAAACCGACGCGAAATGATGCGTTTAATTTTAGAAGCAATTCGCCCTTTATTACCAAGTTTTCAAATGACCAAAGAAGCGATTAATTGTCATCATAATTATGTACAGAAAGAACTTCACTTTGGTGAAGACGTATTTGTTACACGTAAAGGTGCAATTCGTGCAGGACTCGATGAATATGGGATTATCCCCGGTTCAATGGGCGCGCAATCTTTTATCGTTAAAGGTAAAGGTAATCCAGATTCTTTTTGTTCATGCTCACATGGTGCAGGACGTAAAATGAGTCGTTCTAAAGCCAAGCATTTGTTTAATCAGCAAGATTTGATTGCACAAACAGTAGGCATTGAGTGCCGCAAAGATAAAGGTGTGGTTGATGAGATTCCTAGTGCCTACAAGGATATTCATCAAGTTATGGCCAATCAAAATGATTTGATTGATGTGGTCCATACACTGAAACAAGTATTGTGTATTAAAGGCTAAAGCCGAAATAGCCCTCAATTTTTATCATGAACCTCAGTAAATTTCGATTTACTGAGATTCACATTTGCAATTGAATTAACAATATCGAATCGCAGGACAATATTCACGAACCACAATCACTTGCTGACAAATTCCTTCAGCTAAACGTTGTTGTTCAAAGACAGCTTTCGGCATAGCTTCAAAATTATCATAGAAACAAATCTCCTGATCATTTATTGAATAAATCAACGAATGATTTCCAACACCTTCAAAATTATCATAAAAAACAATGATATTGCACCCTTGTTCAATATAGGCTTGAATTTCTTGATAGCTTAGCGCTGGACTAATCTGCAACCTTAACTTCTTCGCATCTTGATAACGGACGATTTCTTTTTCATGAATATTTGAGTCTTCATCTGTATAAAAAGACAGATCAAAACCTAATTTTTTTAACCCAACCGCTAGACCAATTGTAAAAGTGCCATCCTCTGCATCGTGATGACAAAGTTTAACCAGTTGTTGAATATCTAACTGAATTGAGTAATTTTGCAATAACATCCAAACAGCAAAAATACCGCAATTTGATTCGAGGTCTAATAAGGCTTTAGGCAGTTGCACACTCATTCAATTTTCAAACTTGTAGAAATCACAATCAACAATTATAACGCTGTAAGATCAAATTGAGAGGCTTTCTCAAAATTACTTAATTTTTAAAGTCACCGTTACTCGTCGATTTTTCACTCGTCCCTCAGCTGTTTTATTATCAGCAATTGGCTTGGTTGGTCCTAAACCGAGCGTAATCAATTGTTCTGGATTGACTTGATATTCATTTAAGAGAAAATCTTTGACAATATTTGCTCGCGTTAACGATACTTTATTATTTGCAGCCAAAGAGCCAGTACTGTCTGTATGGCCTTCAATGTAGAGAACAAAATTTTTATTGTCTTTCAATAATTGTGAAGCAACAGATAAAGCAGGTTTATACTCAGCTTCAATGTCTGTTGATTTCGGTTGAAAATATATGGACAGCCCATTTTTCAATGACTTCACTTCATTTGGATATTGTTTTTGGATTGAAACACGATTTGAATTTATTGGTGTCGACGTACAGGCATTTAATGCCATGACTACCAGTCCTAAAATAATATATTTCATCGTTAACCTGTAATTATTAATTTCTGATTCAATTTTATTTAGATATTCTATAATTATAAGGACTTTAAATAAAAAAGCGACTCAATTGAGTCGCTTTTTTATTCACTAAATAAAGGATTATTTAGTTACAGTACGGCTACCAGTGATTGTCGCGAATACACGACGGTTCATAGCACGACCTTCTTTAGTTTTGTTGTCAGCAATCGGTTGATCCCAAGCGAAACCTTGAGTAGACAAACGAGATGCATCAATGTTGTACTCGCTTACAAGTGCTGATTTAACAGAGTTAGCACGAGCTAAAGATAAACGTTCGTTTAACTTACGTGGACCAGTGTTATCTGTATGACCTTCAATACGAGCAGTCGCATTCGGGAATGTAGTTAACGCATCAGCAACTTTAGCAACTTCTGGCTTATATTGATCTTTGATGTTTGATTTGTTTGTATCAAAGAACACACGAAGTTCCATGTTCAAATCTTCAGTAAGAACTTGTGGAGCTGGTTCAACTGGAGTTGGAGCAACTGGAACCACTGGAGCAACTTCTACTACAGGAGCAGCAGGCTTCAAGTGACCACCAAGAACTACGTTAAGACCTGCAAGAGCAGTATAGTTCCAGAATTTTTCGTCAAAGTTATAAGTACCACGAGCTTCAGTACGAAGAGATAAAGCATCGTTTAAGCGCCAGAAAGCACCAACACCAGCATTACCTAAAGTACCTTCTTCGTTGTTATGGTAAGACATGTCATCAAGTTTGTACTTGTAATGACCAGCACCTAACAATACATACGGTTTGATTTTGCTGTCATAGTTTTTAGTGATCAAATCAGAAGTAGCATAAAAGTTACCGTTGATTTGAGTTTGCTTGTATTCAGAACCAGCTACGCCAGTACCGTCAAGATCACCTTTAACTTGGTTATATTCAGCTTCAAAACCTAACCATGGAGTAAGTTCTACACCAAGTGCAGCACCAACGAATAAATCGTCTTGTAATTCAGGACCGTTAGTTAACTCGCCTTTATCACCACCATTGTTGTGTTGAGTGTCTTGGAAAGTGTAACCAAGTAGTAAAGGTGTAACAGTTACACCAGCATTAGCAGCAGCGAATGGAGCGGCAACAAGCATAGCAAGTGCGATACGACTCAATTTCATGGATATCCTCCAGAGATAACAATTGTTGTTCAAGCTTAGCCTAAAATTTATTGGCTATCCTGAGATAAATTTTAATACCCCAGTATTATTTTTAAGCTACTCACGTTGAATCATACAAACACTTGAGGCTTTTTCCAAGTGCTTGATAACTTTAATCAAGTAAATTATTGACAAAATTACTTACAATTTCCGTTGTAATTCGGTAACATTTTACTCAATTTTTTTGCGTGGATCGCTTATCTTTTTGCTACGTGCATTTTAGCAGTAAAAGAAACTGATAGTAATAAATATTTTACTACGTTAACATTTCAATTAAATTTAATAGAAAAATCATTATTTTTCAAATAAAAAACAAGACTTAACAGAAGACCTTAAGATGTATTTTTATTGTAAAGAGCAAGGCCTAACCTTGTTCGAGCTTATCACCACTATTTGTATCCTTACAATTATCAGCCTAATCTGTTTGCCTCACTATCATAATTGGATGCAAAAACAAGAGATTAGAATCATATCTTCAGGTATCCAACAGCATGTTTCTTATGCAAGAAGTCAAGCTTTAGTCCGACATACTACTGTGGTCATTTGTTCATCCGAAGATTTAATTCGATGTGAAAAAGACAAATGGAACAAAGGATTACTTATTTTTACAGATAAAAATAAAAATAAACAAATCGATGCTGATGACCACATACTCCTAAAAGCTGAAAATAAAATTAAATATGGCAAGCTGACTTGGATCGGAAGTGCAAGCAGTAGAGATGTACTCACTTTACAAGGTGATACAGGATTACCTAGAGGTTCACCTGGAAGTTTCTATTATTGTAGCCAATATGATGAGGAAAATAATAAGCGCTACAAAATCGGACGAATGGGTGCAATAAATTTAGGACCACCACCTGAATGTTAAAAACTGTTCTCTACGGTCAGCATATATTCAATCGCTAGACTTTATTCTTATACTATTTTTTATATACTGCTTAGGTTTTGGATATATTCACAGAATAATCATTTGGAGATTAAAACAATGACTGACATCGTAATTGTGAATGGTGCGCGTACAGCTATGGGTGGTTTTCAAGGAAGCCTGACCAGTTTGACTGCGCCAGAACTAGGTGCTGCGACGATTAAAGAAGCCATTGTCCGTGCGGGCTTACAACCAAATGATGTACAAGAAGTCATTATGGGATGTGTTTTACCTGCGGGTTTAAAACAAGGCCCGGCACGCCAAGCGATGCGCAAAGCAGGTTTACCTGATTCAACCGGCGCTGTAACCATTAACAAATTGTGTGGTTCAGGCATGAAAGCAGTTATGCAGGCTGCGGATGCAATCAAAGCAGGTTCAGCAGAAGTGATTGTTGCTGGTGGTATGGAATCGATGACCAACGCACCTTATCTTTTACCAAAAGCACGTAGTGGATATCGTATGGGCCATGGCGAAGTAAAAGATCATATGTTCTTTGATGGCTTAGAAGATGCTGAAACAGGTCGTTTAATGGGTTCTTTTGCCCAAGATATGGCAAATAGCAAAGGCTATACACGTCAACAGATGGATGATTTTGCGATTCGTTCTTTACAACGTGCACAAAAAGCCATTACTGAAGGTTGGTTTAAAGATGAAATCGTTTCTGTCACAGTTTCAAGCCGTAAAGGCGATGTTGTTATAGATCAAGATGAACAACCATTTAATGCCAATATCGACAAAATTCCTAGCTTGCGCCCTGCGTTTGCCAAAGATGGAACAATCACGGCAGCCAATGCCAGTTCAATTTCAGATGGTGCATCTGCGCTGGTTTTAACCTCTGCGGATCATGCTGCAGCAAAAGGGCTTCAACCTTTAGCAAAAATTGTTGCCTATGCTTCAAACTCACAGCATCCCTCTGAATTTACCATTGCCCCTGTAGGTGCAATCCAAAAGGTACTGAATAAAGCCGGTTGGGATGTTCAAGATGTTGACTTATGGGAAATCAATGAAGCATTTGCTATGGTTACCATGTGCCCTATCGATGAATTTAAATTGGACGCTGAAAAAGTCAATATTCATGGTGGTGCATGTGCCCTCGGCCATCCTGTTGGTTCTACAGGTTCACGCATCATCCTGACCTTGATTCATGCGTTAAAACGTACTGGTGGTAAAAAAGGTATTGCTGCCCTTTGTATTGGTGGTGGTGAGGCGACTGCTGTAGCGATTGAAATTCTTTAAGCACCTCAATCCTTGAATTAAAAAGAGGCGTCTACTAGTTGGTAGACGCCTCTTTTATTTTGCTTTCACCTGAACAACTTAAATATCGCTCAATTCATAATTAAGGATTTAAATTGTTCTGCTCTGGAATCGGGGCAATATAGGCAATAATCAGCATCACAAAACCCGCACCCAAGAAAGAAATCACGCGCGTTAACGTTCCAATATGAGATAAATCAAACAGTACCAATTTTAAGGTGACAATCACCAAAATGCTCCCCCCTAAAATCCATAAAGGACGTAATAATTTACGGCTAGCAAAGCTCATCGCAATAAAGGCTAAGCTTACCCAAAGCAAGGTTAGACTCAGTTGAGCAGTGGCATCTTGCCAAAGACTCAGTTGGTTATAAGGTGTAGCAAAATACACATGTAAGGCTCTTAGAACGATATAGCTACTCAGCCATAACAAACTTAAAACACATAGTACTGCAAGTATTCCATGGTCGATTCCCGGCTTCAAAGCTTGTTTAAATTGAAGGTTCAGCATCCAGAAAAAACCAATTAACATGGCGATACTAACCAAATCAAAGGGATTTAAGATTGGTAATAAATATCCTTGAAATGCTTGCTGTGAAAATAGCTGAGAACAAATCATCCAAATCAACATCAGTAACAAACTGCTGCGCGTTTGCCAAAACATTGTCCATTCTGAGTTTTTCTGAAAGAAGCACCATCCACAAAACACTAAAGGTAAAATGACCATGCTGATATAAGGCATCGTTGCAATTAAGCTAAGACTGCTTAGACTTAAACTGATTAAAACACCTAAACTGAGCCATTCACTTTCAAACTGTAGCCCTTTTGAAGGTCTTAACCAGACTGTCGCTAGCACTAAACCTGAAACTGCGATACCCCATCGTTCAATATCACTGGTCCATAGCAACATGCCATTTTTACTAATATCCAGCAATAAAATGAGTGTAAATACATAGACGGGAATTACCCCAATCCATTTTGGAATCAACCATGTTGATCTGGCCTTTAGCCATAACATCAATTCATTCATCAACAGATAAGCAATAACCACAATCAATACACTGTATATATATCGATTCTCTCCCTCTAAGAGATCAAGCAATAATGCAAGAATCATCGTGGTTGCAGAAATCATCAGTAGGCTTAAAAACAAGGTCGTTACTGAACTGATCTGTTTGCGAAAATCATCACGGCTATTTGCCAATAACACCACGGCGATATAGCTTAAACATAAGTACCAATACATCGTGGTTGGAAAATCAGGCAATTCAAACAAGTAATAAAGGCTTGAACAGCCTGCAACAATCAACAAGGCAATCGCCATATAACGACTGATCACCGATTGTCGATATAAAGCAAAGCCAAAAATACAGAGACCTTCAACAGCCCAACCCACCACACTCCACTGACCATGCAGAAGAATCGGTGGAATTAAAGCAAGAAAGATCAATGCCAAACTAAAATAACTTTGAGAAATCAGTTGAATAGATTGATTACGTTTTGAAAGCTGATAAATCCCAGCAAACACCACAGCAAAACCAAGGCTAAAACCAGCAAGAATCAGTTCTTGGTGAAAATACATTAAATATAAAAATAAATAGCCAATAATCGGTGCGCCAAAAATCAACGCAACATCTAAACTGGGTTTAAGTTTAAATTGCTCAAGATCCTGTTTGGCGATCAATTGACTGAATCGAAAACCAAGCCAAATGAATACTGCAAGATGTGCAAGAATAAGTATCGTGAGTGATTGTTTTTCTTGACTATAGCCATGATAGAACGCATAACCACCACCAATGATTACAGTCACTAAAAATCCGATCTGATTTAAATATTTCCAAGGTCTTAAGGTACTCAGTACAGCAATCGCAATGTTAATCACTAAATAATAAGCCATCAGTTCTGCTACCGTTGCATTTCGCACAGGCAACGTAAATGGTGCAATATAAGCGATAAGCACTGCCATCAATGCCAATTCCACGCTTTGCTGCTTTAAGCTTAAACTCAATGTCAGCGCCATAATTACAGCAAAACACAAACTTGCCAGATAAAGACTCGGAATCACCTGATTGTAATAAGCAAAGAATAAGGTTAAAAATAATCCCGCAAGCCCCAAGCCCTCTATTGCTAAAGCAAAACTACGATTTTTATTTTGTAGTACTACACCCAACGCAGTGATTGCACCACTGGACAAAGCAACAATTGAAAGTTTGACTGCTAAACTTAATTGCCAATGCTCTGTCGCAAAACGCAGCAGCAACACAATACCAATCACCAAAACCAAGATCGCAACTTTCAAAACAGGGTTGCCTTGAAAAATCCATTGGCGAATTTGCCCCATTAAGTTTAGCGACGAATCTTGTGGCCTGCCGATGCTTTGTTGTATAGATGATGGATGGTTTAAATCTGGAGATCGCTGTTCTGACAAATTCAAGTGTTGAATTTGCAATTGAACTTGGCTCAAATAGCGCTCTAAACGGCGTAACCAGCGTAAAAAAAAGAAAATCCAAGCAGTTAACCCTAAACCCACCATCCAGCTCAAATGCAGTGTTAAACCCACAACGGCGATAATCGAGGAGATATATAATGGCACTTTCGAGGTGCTTTGCAGTGGAACCCGTGTCTGTTGCGCGATCTGTTGCAATGGATCTTGAATCGCATCCACATACTGCATCACACTCATGACAAATGCCAAACCACAGATATAGGTCAATATCCGTGCATCTAAAAACCATGCACTGACTGCGATAATGATCAGCATCATTAACCAAATGATGCGAATTTCACTCTGCCCTTTGAGCATATTTCATCTTTCTCGATCCTGAGTAACTCGATGATACAACAGCCTTGCCTGATGATTATGTGAATTCATCAGATATTCAGTAACACAAGGATGACTGTTGCATCTTCGCAAGCGCAAAAAATCACGTACAATAAAGCGGTTATTTGAATTAGGAAAATATCAATGCCACCATTTGTATTGGTCGATGGGTCATACTTTTTATTTCGTGCTTTTCATGCACTCCCACCTTTAACCACATCAACTGGATTACAGACCAATGCGATTCGTGGGGCAATTTCTGCAATTCAAAAACTGATGCGTCGTGTGCAACCGACACATATGGCGGTTATTTTTGATACGCCTGAACCGACTTTTCGCCATGTACTGTCACCAATATATAAAGGTGACCGCCCAAGCATGCCAGAAGAATTGTCACAACAAATCCCTTATTTGCATGCCTTGATTCGAGCTTTAGGTATTCCATTACATACGCTTCCAGGTGCTGAAGCGGATGACATCATTGGAACCTTGGCAAAACGTGCTGAAAAAGCCGGTCATCAAGTTTTGATTTCTACGGGTGATAAAGACATGGCTCAGTTGGTCACGGATAAAGTGACCCTCGAAGACAGTTTTAAAGACAAACCGATGGATGTCGATGGTGTAATCGAAAAATTTGGCGTCCGTCCAGATCAAATTATTGATTATTTAACCTTGATGGGTGATGCCTCTGATGGTATTCGTGGTGTACCTGGTGTTGGTGCAAAAACGGCCGCTAAGCTGTTAAATGAATATGGTACGATTGCTGGCATTTTAGAAAATGTTGACAATATCAAAGGTAAAGTTGGACAAAGTTTAAAAGACAATGTTGAAGGGATTGCACTTGATCATCAATTGGCAAGTATTGTTATCGATCTCGATTTAAGCTTGAGCTATGATGATTTAAAGCTGTGTGAACCTGATGTTGAAGCATTACGCAACTTGTATACTGAACTTGAATTCCGTAATCAATTACAATCGCTAGATCATCCCAATAATCCAAATAGCTCAGCCTATAAACAAACAACACAAAGTATTAGCAAAACTGAGCAGCCTGTTGAAAATGAAATTACAGATCAAGCAACAAGCTCGAGTGTTGATGACCGTCTTGGTGAAGCCACTTATCATACTGTTTTAAGTCAAGAAGCATGGGATAAGCTCTTCCAGCGCTTAAGCACAGAAAAACGTTTTGCAATTGACACTGAAACCACAAGTTTAGATTACCGTATCGCTGAAATGGTTGGTTTTTCAGTGGCTTTTGATGCCAACGATGCTTATTACATCCCTTTGGCACATGATTATGAAGGTGCACCTGAGCAACTCAATCGTGATGCAATTATTCAGCAGATCAAACCGATTCTTGAAGATCCAAGTGTTGAAAAAATTGGACATCATTTAAAATACGATGCGCATATTTTTGAAAATCACGGTATCCATTTACAAGGCTGGTACTTTGACACCATGCTGGCCTCTTATGTCTTGAATGCAGTAACAACACGCCATGGTATGGATGATGTTGCGCGCGTTTATCTGAGCCATTTGACCACAACTTTTGAACAAGTTGCTGGTAAAGGTGCAAAACAAAAGACCTTTAATCAAATCGAGATTGAAACCGCTGGACATTATGCAGCAGAAGATGCGCATGTCACTTACCGTCTTTATGAAGTTTTAGAACGTAAGCTGAAAGAAATTCCTGAACTGATCAATATCTTACATCACATTGAAATGCCAGTAGCCAGTGTTTTGGCGACCATGGAAGAAAATGGGATTGAACTTGATCTAAGTTTCTTGGATCAGCTCAGTGTGGACTTTGCCAATACCATTCAAAATCTTGAAAATCAAATTATCGAAATCGCTGGTGAATCTTTTAATGTCGGCTCACCCAAACAAGTCGGTGAAGTTTTATTTGAAAAATTAGGTTTAAAAGGTGGCAAAAAAACTGCAACTGGACAATACAGTACCTCTGAAGCGGTTTTAGAAAAAATCGATCATCCAATTACTGAACTGATCATTGAGTATCGTGGTTTAACCAAGCTTAGAAGTACCTATACCGAAGCCTTAGTCAAACAAGCCAATCCCGATACCCACCGCGTACATACCAGTTACCATCAAGCCTTAACAGCAACAGGTCGTTTGTCTTCAACCGATCCAAATCTACAGAACATTCCGATACGTGAAGAAATTGGTCGTCAGATTCGTAAAGCCTTTATTGCACCTCAAGGGCGTGTACTTTTGGCAGCCGATTATTCACAAATTGAATTACGTTTAATGGCGCATTTCTCACAAGATGATGCTTTGGTTGACGCCTTTCAAAATGGGCAAGATGTACACCGTCGTACAGCATCTGAGGTCTTGGGTGTCGCGCTGGAAAATGTAACCTCTGATCAACGCCGCCAAGCCAAAGCCGTTAACTTTGGTTTATTGTACGGTATGTCTGAGTTTGGTTTGATTCGTCAACTGGGCTTTACTCGTGAAGAATCGCAAAACTATATTAAACAATACTTCCACCGTTATCCGGGTATTTATGAGTATATGCAACGTACCCGCCAAGTCGCATTAGAACAAGGCTTTGTAGAAACCATTACAGGCCGTCGTTTATATACACCAGATATTGATGCTCGAAATATGATGGTGCGTAAAGGTGCGGAACGTGCTGCGATTAATGCACCACTTCAAGGCTCTGCGGCTGAAATCATTAAAATGGCGATGATTGAAGTCAATAAAATCCTCCCCCAAGATCAGGCCAAACTTTTACTTCAAGTACACGATGAATTGGTGTTTGAAGTTGATGAGGCTATTGCAGATCAATTGGCTGCACAGATTAAAGATGTGATGCAAAAAGTCGTTACCTTATCAGTACCGTTAGTTGTTGAAGTCGGTCAAGGCAAGAATTGGGGTGAAGCACATTAAGCCTTTAAAAAACTCCCTAACTTTCTAGAACAGGGTTAGGGAGTGATCATCTTTTGTTGAAAATATACTCAATGTTATATTTTTTAACATGCATAAAAAAAGGACTCGATTGAGTCCTTTTGCTATTTAAACTGGTAAATTAAAGACCTGTTAACAATGCAATCGCAGCATAATCCATAACTTTTTCAGCAATGATCAATGCCAAAATCGCTAAAATTGGAGAAAGATCAATCATTCCCATATTTGGCATGATACGGCGGAACGGCGCCAATAACGGTTCAGCAAGCTCTTGAATCACTTCAATATAAGGTGATCTTGACTGAGTAAACATCACCACCCAACTGAGGATAATGGTCGCAAAAATTAAATAGCGACAAAAACGAATCAGGTCTTGGATCATGGTCACAAAAGTTAAAATGATCAAATGTACAGGACTATTGGGTATTGCACCTTGCAAGTACATCATTCCAAAAATTTTAAGCAGATATAACACCACCAGCAAAACTAATGCAGCTGTATTTACTCGCCCTTTGGCCAAAGGCGGAAAAATTCGCCCAAACATATCCACAATTTTTGTCGCTTTAACTGTCGACATCACCACTGGATTGTATGGACTCACCATGGCCAATTGCATTAAAAAACGAAAGAATACGAGCAAAATCGCTACGTTAATAATAATGCCAAAAATTTGCGCAGAATTTGCACCCATACTGGAACGTTCCTAAAAATCAATAATTATTTAATGCTGTCACTTAATTCTTGAGCCAGTTCCTGACTACGCTTCTGCGCAGCAGCTAAAGCTGTCTGAATATTTTGAGAAATTTGAGCACGATCAAATACTTCTAAAGCAGCTTGAGTAGTGCCGTTTGGAGAAGTCACATTTTTACGCAATTCTGATGGCGCATTTGAGCTGGTAATTGCCATTTGTGCTGCACCAAGTGCTGTCTGTAAAGTTAAAGCAGTCGCAACTTTTTCATCTAGACCCATATTTTTTCCAGCACGAATCATGCTTTCCATCATATAGAAGAAATATGCAGGACCAGAACCAGAAACAGCAGTTACAGCATCAATCTGTGCTTCAGAACTCACCCAAAGCGTTAAACCTGTCGCAGCAAGTACTTGTGTTGCCAATTCGCGGTCTTTAGCACTGACCTGTGGTTTCGCAAACATACCATGTGCACCAGTTTGAACCAAAGCAGGGGTATTCGGCATAACACGAACAACACGCTCACTGCCGGTTAAGTCTGAAATCGTTTTAATTTCAGCACCAGCAACGATTGAGATCAATAATTTATCTTCGAGTAAACCTTTTAAAGGTTTAAGCACCCCACCCAAAACTTGAGGTTTTACAGCAAAAACAACAATATCGGCATTTTTAATTGCTGCGATATTATCATCAGTCACATGAACATCTTTTTCTTGTAGCAATTGTCGAATGTTTTCAAAGGGGTCAGAAACTGTAATACGTGTTGCAGGTAATCCACGACTCAACAAGCCACCGATTAGGGCTTGTGCCATATTCCCACCACCAATGAAAGTAATATTACAATTTAACGCTGCACTCATGAATCACGCTCGACCTTAGTTTTTAACTCAGAGATTAAATTTGGTTGCCATCCACCCACTTCACAATATTCAGATTGCGCCAACCAAAAACCATTTGGTGTAAACACCCCAAGCATAACATTATCTACACTTAATATTTGAATTGTATGACGCATCCACGGAAAAATATGTGCTTCTTGAATGGCTTTTTTTAAGGGCCAAGCACCTACTCTGCCATAAAGGTGAATTTTTTCACCACCCAAACGTGGCTTTAATGTTAGCTTATGATTGAATAATGCAAAAGACAGACCCATTTTAGAGCTTTCGATCTGAAACACACCAGATGTGAATTGTAGTTGTTGATGAAGCTGAAATTGAACTTCTTGTTCTTGAGGCAATTGTTTAGATTTTGATGCTAAATATTGGTTTTGTTCAATTCGATACAACTGATTTTGATAACGTAAATAATAGAAATGATTCCAATGTAAAGCAGCTTGCGCATCTGTTTTAGACTCAATTACTTCATCTTGTAGCCTTTGCACCATGTCCAAGGCTGGGCGATATGTCCCCTCACCTTTCATCCATACCGATAGAAGTTGCCGCTGTCTAGCAGGGGAAAGTGATGCCAATTTGGCTAAATCCAATTGTGTAGGATGACCACAGAACTTTAAATCTTGTTGTACCACCTCATTGAGAATTTCATCAGCATCTTGCATTAAATAGCTGGTACGTGCCAATGCTTGCTGCATTTTAGGATAACGGCTTTGCAAAATATGCCAAAGTTCATGTCTACACCATGCACGGTCATAATGTATATCTAAATTGGAAGGGTCATCCACATAATCGATTTTCAGTTGCTCAACCCATTGGCAAATCTGCTCACGGGAAGTATCGAGTAAAGGCCGCCAAATCAGCAATTGATCGCGCTGATCGATGGATTGCATCGCAGATAGACCTGTAACCCCCGCACCTGATAGCAAACGCAGCATCAACGTTTCAGCTTGATCTTGCTGATGATGTGCAAGAACCAATACCTCATTTTCATCGATATGCTGTAGATAGGCTTGATAACGCGCTTGACGTGCTTGATTCTCAAGATTACCTTGAGCGACTTGAACCGACTGAAGAATATAAGGAATATTCAGCACTGTGCATTGTTGAGCAACAAAATCAGCCCACGCATCACTGACTTTTTGCAGGTGATGATTAACATAAATTGCACGAATTTGCTTGGGGAAAAGTTGTACCATCAGATGTAGCAACAGCATGGAATCCATACCACCACTACATCCGATTAAGAAACGGGTATTTTCAGGAAATTGAGAATACTGTTTTAAGAAGCAAGACCTAAATTGTCGCTGCCAAACTTCATTAAACGTTGATAACGTGCTTCGCATCGTTCTTCCGCAGTCATTGGCTGTAATTCATCAAGCGCTTGTTTTAACACATCCTTGAGTTTTTCCATAACCTCAAAAGGATGTAAATGAGCACCCTCGCCTTCATCAACCACATATTCAACAATACCAATTTCTTTGAGCTTGTCAGCAGTTAATGCAAGTGCTTCACTGGCTTGTTCTGCTTTATCTGCAGTTTTCCATAGAATAGAAGCACAACCTTCAGGTGAAATCACAGAGTAAATACTGTGTGACAGCATAATAACGCGATCTGCAACACCGATGCCCAACGCACCACCAGAACCACCTTCACCTAAAACAGTTGCAATGACTGGGACTTTAAGGCTTGAAAGTTGCGCTAAGCTGGTTGCAATTGCTTCTGCTTGACCACGCTCTTCAGCACCAATACCCGGGTATGCTCCCATGGTGTCAACAAAGGTAAACACTGGAAGATTAAAGCGTTCCGCCATATCCAGTAAGCGTTGAGACTTTCTGTATCCTTCAGGATTACACATCCCAAAGTTATGCTGTAATTTTTCACGCGTACTACGACCACGGTGTTGACCCACAACCATTACTGGCTGACCGTTAAAACGGGCCAATCCACCCACCATTGCACCATCATCACCGTATAGACGATCACCATGCAAGGTATCAAATTCAGTAAAGATTTCGCCTACGTAATCCAAAAATTGCGGACGCTCAGGGTGACGTGCAATTTGAACCGTTTTCCAAGCTTGAGATTGAGCAGCTTTATTTTTCATAAGTCGAGTATTATCCCTAATTCACCGATGGATTACGCATCGGAAGTTTAGGTTTAAGTGATATGAAATGATTGATCATTCCATCATCACCAAACCTTTAAGTTAATCGATAAACTGTTCCGACTGAATATTCAATTCAATGTCCCAATGCTTAAATTGCACTTGCTCATCATGCAAATCTGCAACCAGCAATGGCCATTGTTTGGCATCACCAGAAACGCTGAGTTGCCATTGTTGCTCATTCTCTATCGTCAATTCAATGGCAGGAAGCATCTCATCGCTACGACTATGATTTAGTAAAACGGCAAGACGAAGCAACAAGCACAAGTACACAAGCTTGTTACCGCCCACTTTTAACACGTCTAATTTGGCATCTACGCGTAATTTACGACGGTGATGAGCGACCAAATGTGACAAATGGTTTTGATCAATTTGTGAAAAACCAGGGATGTCCGAATGTTGTAATAAGTAAGCACTGTGCTTTTGATAACCACTATGACTAATGGCTAAACCGATCTCATGCAAATAAGCAGCTCGACGCAACAGATCACTATCATCACTGTTTAAGTTGAGTGTAGTGGCAACAGCATTAAACAAATGTTGTGCAGTTTCAACCACACGCTCAGCTTGTTTTGCATCTGCGCCATAGCGTCCCATCATCGCCTGTACACTACGATCGCGAATATCTTCATGTTGGAAACGGCCGAGCAAGTCATACATTACACCTTCACGTAATGCCCCATCCGAATACACCAATTTATCAATATTCAAGACTTCAAACACAGCGTAAAGGATCGCTAAACCCGCAGGTAATACTGCTCGGCGATCTTCTTTTAATCCATCAAATTCCATATCTGAAATATTTTTAAATTTCAGCAACTTATCTTTTAATTTTTCTAAACCTTCACGGGTCAGATTCTCTTGCTCATCACTCCAGCCCATATTGACTGCAATTTGGCGACACGCTTTGATGGTTCCACTAGAACCCACCACAGTATCCCAGCCAGCAGCTTTATAGGTATTTGCAATCGAAGATAATTCTTTTCGTGCAGCAACCACAGCTTTATCAAAAGCTTTGTTGTTAATATCACCATCAGCAAAATAGGCTTTAGTAAAGGCAACACAGCCCATTTGTAAAGATTCGGTATGAATCGGCTCGAACTCTTCACCAATAATCAGTTCAGTAGATCCACCGCCAATATCGATCACCAGACGTCGACCACTATTGGCCATGGTATGTGAAACACCCAAGTAAATGAGTCGGGCTTCTTCTCGTCCCGCAATAATTTCAATGGGTTTTGGCAAGATCTCCGCTGCTTTTTGAATAAATTCATGCCCATTTTTCGCTTGACGCAGCGCATTTGTCGCAACAATTCTGAGTCGAGTCGGCTGTACTGAACTTAAACGCCCAACAAAACGCGCTAAGCAAGCCAAGCCTCGTTGCTGTGCAGCTTCAGTTAAGTTTTTATTTTCATCTAATCCAGCCGCAAGCTGAACCTTTTCTGACATAGAAGCAACTTTCTTAACTTCACCATGATCCACACGAGCAATTGCCAAATGGAAACTATTTGACCCCATATCAATCGCAGCAAGTAATTCTTCATCAATCAAAAAATCAGACATTATTTATACAAACTCATACTGAATTGCTGCTTAGATTAATTCACATACACGCTTTTTAAAAGCCATTTATTTAGACAATTTGATGAGTCATTATTTTTTCAGCATATATGACAATTATGTGACAGTTTCACTGGTTTTTCTAAAGATCCGATTGTAAATATCGTGAGCATCAATTGGACAAACTCACAAATTAGAATGAAAATTTAAGTATCCCCCTACATTGTTAAAGATGACTATGTAATACTTATATCCATAGATAGATTCATCTTTAAAATATTTTGGAGCAAAATCCATGTCTGGCAATATCGTAAATACCACTGATGACAACTTTGATGCAGATGTACTTCAATCTGATATCCCTGTAATCGTAGATTTCTGGGCAGGCTGGTGTGCACCGTGTAAAGCGATTGCACCAGTGCTTGAAGTACTTTCAACTGAATTTGAAGGTAAAGTTAAAATCGTTAAAGTTGATGTAACTGCGTGTGAAGCAACTGCGGTCAATTACAACATTCGTAACATTCCAGCATTATTGATGTTTAAAAACGGTGAAGTTGTTGCCCAACAAATTGGTGCAGTGCCAAAATCTAAACTAACTGCATTTATTGAAGAAAATATTTAATTTGCTGAATTTATACATTATTTGTATAAATCTAGGAAAATGAGAAATACGCTTGATTTTCTAGCGTATTTTTTTTCGACTATAATTTGACAAACTTGTTGATCTAACTTATATTCCATGCTCAAGGAACATTAGGATTCTCTTCCTGTTTCTTAAAGGACAACACATAAGATCGCCGTTCGGCAACAGAAATTGTTTTACATATTTCTCCTCGAAAGAACTACATAGATTCTGAGTTTGTTTTTGTGTCTATACAATTTCAACTCACCTATTACACTGCTGGCGACTTTTGCTTCTTTTCTCTTTATCTGTGTTCCACACATCCTTATTCAATCTGACCATTTATGAATTTAACTGAACTCAAGAAAAAACCGATCGGCGAACTCATTAAAATTGCTGAGTTTATGGGCCTTGAAGGAATGGCTCGTAACCGTAAGCAAGACATCATTTTTGCCATCCTCAAACGCCATGCAATGAATGGCGAAGAAATTTTTGGTGATGGTGTTCTTGAAATTTTGTCTGATGGTTTCGGCTTTTTACGCTCCGCTGCAGGTTCTTATCTTGCAGGTCCGGATGATATCTATGTTAGTCCTTCACAAATTCGTCGTTTTAATCTACGAACTGGTGATACGATTACAGGTACGATTCGCCCACCTAAAGAAGGTGAACGTTACTTTGCATTATTAAAAGTTAATCAAATTAACTATGACACCCCTGAAAACTCACGCAATAAAATTTTATTTGAAAACCTCACACCACTTTTCCCAACTGAGCAATTGGTTATGGAACTGGGTAATGGTTCTTCTGAAGATTTGACAGCGCGTGTCGTGGACTTGGTTGCACCCATCGGTAAAGGCCAACGTTCAATTATCGTAGCACCGCCAAAAGCGGGTAAAACGATGTTATTACAGAACATTGCCCAATCTATTGTGCGTAACAATCCGGAATGTTTCCTGATTGTCCTTCTGATCGACGAACGTCCTGAAGAAGTGACCGAAATGGAACGTACTGTGCGTGGTGAAGTTGTTGCATCAACATTTGATGAATCTCCAGCTCGCCATGTCCAAGTTGCTGAAATGGTGATTGAAAAAGCCAAACGTCTGGTAGAGCACAAAAAAGATGTTGTGATCTTACTTGACTCCATCACGCGTTTAGCCCGTGCTTATAACACTGTTGTTCCTTCATCTGGCAAAGTACTTACCGGTGGTGTTGATGCACATGCCTTAGAACGCCCTAAACGTTTCTTTGGTGCTGCACGTAATATCGAAGAAGGCGGTTCTCTCACCATTATTTCGACTGCATTGATTGAAACAGGCAGTAAAATGGATGAAGTGATCTACGAAGAATTCAAAGGTACAGGTAACCAAGAAATCATCCTTGATCGCCGTATTGCTGAAAAACGCGTCTTCCCAGCAATGAATATCAAAAAGTCAGGTACGCGTCGTGAAGAGCGTCTCATGAGCGAAGAAAACCTACGTAAAGTATGGATTCTTCGTAAACTTCTTCATCCTATGGATGAATTAGTGGCGATGGAATTCTTGTTGGATCGCATGAAAGAAACCAAAACAAATGATGATTTCTTTGATCAAATGAAGCGCAAAGCTGCCAACTAATTCAATAAACACTTAAAAAGGCTACTCTTAGAGTAGCCTTTTTATTTGGTTGACATTATTTACATAAATATACAATCATCGAGTTTCAACGTTACACGATATTGCAAATATTTGAATATAAAAATTATTCATCAATATTTTTTATATTTATTAATAACTTATTTATCAATAAACCAATCTAAAAACGCAACTTGATTGTAAAATACTGTTAAAAAAACATCATTTTTTCATCAATTTGGTCGGTTTTTTTAAGATAAACAGTAGCAATTCAAAATGCGCAGTGATAGCATATTCGCATACCAGTTAGACTGCCCATGCAAAAAGCAAAAAACAGGCTAACTTGGGTTTTTTGTCTCAATTAAATTTATGAGAGTGATGCCATGTTATTCAAAAAAATCGCTATTGCTGCTGCAGTTGCTACTACTTTAGCTTTCGTTGGTTGTGCTAAAAAAACTGAAGAAGCTGCTGCTGATGCAAACGCTGCTGCTTCTCAAGCTGTAGCTGCTGCTTCTGAAGCTACTGCTGCTGTTGACGCTGCTGCTGCATCTGCTACTGATGCTGCTGCTGACGCTACTGCTGCTGCTTCTAATGCTACTGCTGCTGCTGCAGATGCTTCTGCTGCTGCTTCAGCTGCTCACTAATAATCGCTTAGATTATTATTAAGAAAAGAGAACCTTTTAGGTTCTCTTTTTTTTGCTTTCTTTTTACCTTAAAGTTTAAATCATCATAAATAAGCTGTATCGCCCTTCACTACAGAACCTTTAGATCCAATAAGTACAAAATCTCTCCCTACCCTATTGTTAATTAAAACCGTATCTAGGTAAACCATTTGATCTTTTGATGCAAGGATAAAAATCAATATATGACCTTGCCACGGTTATTTCAGCAAAGTTGGTTTATACCAATCCAAATGATGTTTATTTCTGGCAATAAAAAACCCCAAGCAGATTACTCAGGGTTTTTATCTTACAAAACTTTTAAATTACAGAGCTTTCATCTTACGACACACAAATTGCCGATTAATCTTCTTGTTCTGTACCCACACGTTGTCTAAATTTTTGACCTGCACGGAAAGTTACAACTCGACGTGCTGAGATTGGAATCTCTTCTCCAGTTTTAGGATTTCGACCTGGACGTTGACGTTTGTCACGTAGTTCAAAATTTCCGAAACCTGAAAGTTTGACTTGTTCGCCAGCAATTAATGCTTGGCTAATCTCGTCAAAGAACAACTCGACCATTTGTTTTGCTTCACGACGGTTTAAACTCGTAAGCTCACTTAAATGATCAGCCATTTCTGCTTTTGTTAATGCTGTCATGAGGCCCTCAATGTCGCTTGATAAGTGTCTTCTAACACTTGAATAATATGATCCATACCGGATTTAATCTCAGCATCTTCGAGTGTACGTGATGGATGTTGCCATAACAATGCAAATGCCAAAGAGCGCTTACCTTGTTCAACACCTTGCCCTGTATACACATCAAATAACCAAGTAGAGTCCAAAAGCTCTCCACCCGTTTTTTCGATAAGTTGCTGAATTTCACTAACATTAATCTTATCACTAATTACAAGCGCAATATCACGTCTAACCGATGGAAATCGTGATAATTCTGTAAAATTAGATACATAAGTTTGCAAAACAGCCGATTGGTCGAGCTCTGCGATCCAAGTTGTGCTCAAATCCAGTGCATTTTCCAAAGATGGATGTAGACGACCTAAATAGCCTACTGATTTCCCATCCACGAGAATTTCCGCAGACTGACCTGGATGTAACCATTCACGATCAGAACGAACATATTCAACGTGAACACGTCCAGCTGCTAAAATTTCTTCGACCTCGCCTTTGAGATCAAAGAAATCCATAACTTGAGCTTTTCCATGCCAAGATTCAATTTGTTTTGATCCTACAGCAATCATAGCCAAAGTTGGAATCTGTTTCAAATCTTCTATACTTTTCGCGTTTTGATAATCAAAACGTAGCCCTAGCTCAAAGAAACGCACACGACTTTGTTGACGATTGATATTGTACTGAACACACGGAATTAAGCTTGAAAGTAAAGTTGAACGCATGACCGCCAAATCACTTGAAATCGGATTTGCAAGCGCCAATGGATTTACTTGTGAATTCAATTGTTTTTCAAGTTTTAAATCTGCAAAACTAAAACTAATCGCCTCTTGATAACCCAGTGTTACTAAAGTTTGACGTAACTGAGTCAGTTCAAATTGATCCTGATGTTTAGCAAGTTTTACATCAATCACTGGCAGACTAATTTGAATATTGTCATAACCATGTATACGCGCAACTTCTTCAATTAAATCTTGATAAATTGCCATATCGTAACGATGTGATGGTGGTACAACAGTCCATTCACCTTCAGCTTTTACAGTCACATCACAACCTAAACGTTGCAGCGCATTTGTAATAAATGCAGTAGGAACTTGATAACCCAGCAATTGATCCACTTGCGCTTGATTCAACTCAATTGCTTCACGTTTAGGCAACAATTCAGTTTTTTCAGATACGGTAATTGGACCGAAATCACCACCTGCAAGAGTTTGAATCAATTGTGAAGCGCGTTGCATTGCGATCATAGGCAATTCAAAGTCCACACCACGTTCATAACGTTGTGACGCATCTGTATGCAAACCATAACGACGTGCGCGCCCTGCGATATGTAATGGTGCAAAGAATGCAGATTCAAGGAAAATCTCAGTGGTTTCATCTGTTACAGATGAGGACAAACCACCCATGATGCCTGCGATCGCCAATGCTTTTACATCATCTGCAATCACCATAACATCTTCGGTCAATTCAATTTCTTGTTCATTTAACAAAACAAGCTTTTCATTTGCACTTGCCTGACGCACATGCACTGAACCTTGAACCTGACCACCATCAAACGCATGTAACGGTTGACCAAGTTCCATAAGCACATAGTTGGTAATATCAACAAGAATACTGTGTTGACGAATACCTGAACGTGCTAGAGCTTGCTCCATCCATGCAGGTGTAGCTGCTTTGGTATTTACATTTTTAATTACACGTCCTAAGTAACGAGGGCAACCATCCGTTGTCACAACAACTTGCTTCTGATCAGCAATCGTAGCCGCAAGCTCTTGAATTTCAGGTGCGGTTACAGGCAATTGGTTAATTACCCCAATTTCACGCGCCACCCCACGAATACTAAAACAGTCACCACGGTTTGGCGTGATGCTGATATCAATCACATGATCATCAAGATTTAAATATTCTCGAATATTTGTGCCTACAGGCGCATCAGTAGGAAGTTCTAACAGACCGTCAATTTTATCTTCAAGGTCAATTTCTGAAGCGCCGCAGAGCATCCCTTGTGATTCAACACCACGAAGTTTGCCTTTTTTAATTTTAAAATCGCCCGGAAGCACTGCACCAATGGTTGCAACTGGCACTTTCATTCCAGCACGTACATTTGGTGCACCACATACGATTTGCAAAGGTTCACCCGAACCAATATTCACTGTGGTGACACGTAAACGATCTGCATCAGGATGCTGTACAACAGTTAAAACTTCACCAATCACCACACCTGTAAATGGTTTAGCTGCGGGAACCAGTTCATCCACCTCAAGTCCCAACATGGTCAGTTGATCAGACAAGGTATCGCTATCAATTGCTGGGTTGACCCATGTGCGAAGCCAATTTTCGCTAATTTTCATTTCTAAAACCTATATTCAATATCTATGAATTCCTCTCTGACTCTCTTTTAAAAAGAGGCAGAACCCTTCGTCTCATTATCTTAGACATCCCCTCTCCTTTTAGGAGAGGTCAGGGAGAGGTATAAATTTGTTAAGCAAATTGGCGTAAAAAACGCACATCGTTTTGGTAGAACATACGCAAATCATTGATGCCATAACGCAACATTGCGAAACGCTCTACACCAAGACCAAATGCAAAGCCTTTATATTTTTCAGGATCAATACCCGCAGCTTGTAGAACATTTGGATGCACCATACCGCAACCCAAAACCTCTAACCAACGACCACGCTCATCCATAATATCCACCTCAGCACTTGGCTCAGTGAATGGGAAATAAGATGGGCGGAAGCGTACTTTCAAATCTTTCTCAAAAAATTCATTTAGCAAATTAATCAACAAACCTTTTAATTCTGCGAAGCTGGTATTTTCAGCAACGTATAAACCTTCGATTTGATGGAACATTGGAGAATGGGTTTGATCTGAATCACAGCGATAAACACGCCCCGGACAAACGATACGAATCGGTGGTTGCGAGTTTTCCATTGTGCGTACTTGTACACCTGAGGTATGGGTGCGTAGCAAATGGTTTGCATCAAAGTAAAAAGTATCATGCATCGCACGTGCAGGATGATGTCCTGGAATATTCAATGCTTCAAAGTTGTGATAATCATCTTCAACTTCTGGCCCTGTCGCAACAGTAAAACCCGCTTTGGTAAAGAATTGACAAATACGTTCTTGAACCTGAGTAACGGGATGAATACTTCCTACAGCTTGCCCACGTCCAGGCAAAGTAATATCGATTGTTTCACTTGCTAGCTTTAATTCTAATTCAGCTTTCTGTAATTCAGTTTGGCGTTCAGTCAACGCTGCACTGATCGCTTCACGTACTGCATGAATTGCAGCACCCTGAACTTTACGCTCTTCAGGGTCCATTTTGCCAAGTGCCTTAGATTGTTCCGCAAGCTGGCTTTTTTTCCCTGTAAATTGCACTCGTACTTGGTCGAGTGTAGTCAGGTCTTGAGCTGCTGCAATCGCAGCGAGCGCTTCAGTGGTCAGGGCTTCCAGTGACATAGTAACTCTCAAAGCAATATTTTAGAAAAATAATATAACTCTATATTCTAACAGTTTTTATGCAGTTGAATGAAGTTTCCGCTTTACAAAAAATACGATTAGTCACAACTTATTCTAAATAATTTGTATATTTCCCTGTTTGATTCCTGTTGAAATGCTAGAACTTTGATTTATAAAAAGTATAAAATGGATTTAATGTCGCTGAGATCTATAAAAAATGGCACTCGATCAAATCTGGAAACGTCAACTTACACTCGTCACTTATGGCAATGAGTATCTCACTCAAGGGATCAGTTTTTCTCGTTGGGTCAATCATGCCATTTTTAATCAGCATGCTTTTGGCTTCCGTGATTTAACCAACCAGCACCTACTGGCACAGCATTTTCAGATTTGGCTTGAAGGGCTAAAAAAACAAGGCGTGTATCGACTCAGCTTACATAGCGCGAGCATTTTAAATGATGAACAAAATCCAAATGCCAATGTTGAACTGTTAGCCATTCCCCACTTTATTGTTAGCCATGATCAACAAAAGAAAACCGCATGGATTTTTGGTAAAGAATTGGCAGAATGGTATAGCGCAGACAATGATTATGAAGCGCCTGAACAACAACGCCCCAATTTACGTACCGAGATTTTTTGGCGCTATGATCTCAATGCAAAATTGATTAAACGGATTGAACAAGATTTAGTCCAACCGAATTGGGATGATATTCAAGTTTATACAGACAATGAATTGTTCGATACTCAATATGCCAAAGGTTTTCCAGAACCTGTAAATAAAGATTTACCGTATTATGGATTAGATGAAGCGCTATACACTACTGAGGATTCAATTCTTAAACTTGCACTGTTACCCACTGATTATCAAGCTGATTACGCACACGAAACCTTCTGTCGTATCGATGCATTAGAGGGTTTTATTTCTGCAAAATTAAAGCATCCCTATGATGAAAATGAGCAAATCATGAGCCCTGAAGAACAAATGAATTTGCGCCATTTCCTGCAAAAAGTTGAAGATTTAAAATCAAAATTTATCGTTAAAGTTGCAAATCATTATAAATCTGCACGCTTAACGCCAAAACAAATTGCCTCGCCCTTTGACACGCATGACAATATCAAAACCGAGCAGCGTCAAGCGTTTAACAGCAAGGCAAATCCTGAGCATAAACCAGGTAAAACAGGTGTTTTTGCATTAATTATTGTGACCATTTTAATCTGCCTTGCGGCTTATTATTTTGGACTATAATGTCTTATCTATTTGATAAAATGAATCTTAAAAAGAAAGCAACATTAAAGTTGCTTTCTTACTTCCATTAAGGCAAAACCCAAAAGATTTAAACCTTGCCATGCGTTTGGATTTGTCGCATTAACATGATCTGCTGCAAGTCCAATCCCCCAAATTTGATCTACAGGCGAGGCTTCAACAATGATTTGATCTGAGGTACTCAGTAGAAATGCTTTAAGATCACTGTCTTGAGAAAACTTAGCCAAATTACCTTGAACCACAATTTCATAACGATGAGCAATCCAAATCTCATCTTGATAATTTTTGACCAAACGACCTAATGCTTTTATTTTCTTGGGATCATCTGTTTGTAAAATTTTCTGAAAGATATCTTCGTCATTAAATAGTTTGGCTTTCTGCGCCATCATATACTGTTCTGTACTTTGATAATTGACACCATCAATTTCAAATTTTGCAGGAAACCATTGACTTAAACAGCTCTTGTCTATTTTTCCAGAAGTCTTTTGACTATGCCCCCAAAAACACAAATAACTATACTTTTGCCCGTTCTTTACCTGTTCTTGTAAAGTTGTTAAAAATTGAGAATCACTCATTTTATTGTCCTATGATTAATATCCCACTGATACAATACTTCTGTTATGCCATCACCATCATTAGCATGAACCTCTTATTCAATCACGATTCTACTTAATTTTTCATAAAAATATTCGACACGTATTGTTATATTTTTTCAAAATTTATCCTAACTTATAAAGGACTTAAATTAAACTCAAAAATTGATCAGCAGCTTTTCGCGATTTTAAATGGATAAATCGAATATGTGAATATTGAGGATCATTTATCATTGTTATATATTGCTGACGATTTTTTTGATGCGTTTTAATCATCCACCAAATAATCGAATCACGACTAAACATTTTACTAAAACTTTCACGATTATTTGAACTCTCCCAAAGTCTGTGTCTAAAAATAGCACGACGAACAGCTCTCTGTATGGATTGGTAAAGATTGATATAAAAAGGAATATCCAACCAAATTACAGTATCAATATCTCGCCATTTGATCTGCGTAGTTCGCGTATAATTACCATCTATGACAAAACCAGATTTAGCTTGATCTAGTTTGGCCTGAATTTTCTGAAAAAATGCAGTATCGGTAGACTCTTGCCAATCATCCAGCCAGAATAAATCATCCAATTCAATGTAGGTGAGCTTTAATTTTTGAGCTAATCTTATTGAAAATGTTTTTTTTCCTGATGCAGAAGTCCCCACAACATTGATGCGTTTCATAAATTTAAGAACTCTCTAAAAATAAAAAGTAGCCAAATAAGCTACTTTAAATCACGTAACAACCCAATCATGATTCAATCATTTTAGCTGATCTATATCAAAATACGGGTCGTATGCTGAGTATCACTTTATGTTCATTTGCATGCTGATTAATATAGTGCTCAACTGCTGTTACTTCACCTTTAACTTCCGCATCTGCACCATACATCACTTTTAAAACTTCCCCAACTCTGGGTAGTAGTTGCAACTCAACTTCAATTGCACCTTGTTGTAAACCTTCAATCTCAACACGCATACCCACTCCATCATTTTCTATTATTCGTTGTTCTACTCTATGCGAGCTATTTCTAAAACAATAATGCTTTCACGTTGATATTGTGTAATGTGTATGCAAAGTTATTTGAATATTTAAATCATTCGGATGGCCTACTCAATCAGCATAATCCAAATCATCCTCGTCAATATTGATAAAATTTGCTGGTGGTGTAATTTCAAACCTGACGGCTTTAATCGTAAGATGATCGAGTAATTTTGCTTTTGCCGCACGATGCATACCATCCATCACCCTGCCATCAGCAGATAGAATAATTGGATAACTTAGATCTGCCTGTTGCATCAGTTGAAAATGTTCAATCATTTGCTGTGTTGTTGGATGTGTATCTGGAAACCAATACGCTTCATTGAGTTCTTGTATATCGGATAATAGAACTTCATGGATTGGGAAGTCTTGGCTTAGTTCAACCAGATGATGCACATCCCAAATATAAGTGTCTTCACCAACTTGGCGAAAGTGATATTGTTTACGCATAAGACTAGATTCTATAATTTGGTCAATTCAATGCCATAACAAAATAGTTAGAGCAACCATAATGACAGATTTTACTTCAACACAAATTTTACTGATTAGTGCTGTATTCGAACAATCAAACTCAATAGAAACTCATCTCGAAAAGTTCCGGCAAGAGTTTGAAAATAAATTTTTAGGCATAAAAAAGACCGCTATAAAAGCGGTCTTTTTTAATCATCGAAGATGATTAAGCAGCTAATGCGCCTTTAGCTTTTTCAGCTAAAGCAGCAAATGCAACTGAGTCATGCATAGCGATGTCAGCAAGTACGCGACGGTCGATGATCACTTGAGCTTTTTTCAAGCCATCGATCATACGGCTGTACGACAAACCATTTTGACGAGCACCAGCATTGATACGCGCAATCCATAAAGCACGGAATTGACGTTTCTTTTGACGACGGTCACGGTAAGCGTATTGACCTGCTTTAATTACTGCTTGGAACGCTACACGATAAACACGTGAACGCGCGCCATAGTAACCTTTAGCACGAGCAAGAATTTTTTTATGACGGCGATGAGCCTGTACACCACGTTTTACACGAGCCATTTATAATCTCCTTAGATGTATGGGCACATACGACGAACTGAATTCATGTCACTTACGTGAACCATGACACAACCGCGCAATTGACGAATACGTTTAGCAGATTTTTTGGTCAAAATGTGGCGTTTGAACGCTTGTTTACGCTTGAAACCGTTAGCAGTCGCTTTGAAACGCTTAGCTGCACCACGGCGAGTTTTTAACTTAGCCATAACAACCTCTTTAAACACCTGTTCGGTACGTTCGCACCATTGCGACAACGACCTGCAGGTAAGGGAGGCAATATTCTAAATCATCTCTGTACAAAACAAAAGCAAAACATCCAACAATTTCACAATTCTCCAATGTAATTTTCGATGTAAATTTCACCTAGTTTTATAAGAAAAATCAAGATTAAATCTTTATAATCATCACATCATGATAAAACTGGACAGTTATGACCCCTGCACAGGATGCTTTTGCTGCGCTTCGCTATCGAGATTTCTCAATTGTTACCATCAATCAATTTTGTTTAACACTCGCAATTTTAATTCAAGAAATTATTGTTGCCTATTCACTCTATCAAATTACCAAAGATCCGCTTACCTTGGGTTTGATTGGACTAGCAGAAGCAATCCCGTTTATTGCGCTGTCGCTTTGGGGCGGTTATTTTGCAGATAAGCTGAATAAACAAACCATAATGAAAGTTTGCTTATTCTTCTCCTTCCCTTTGCCATTGGTGCTTTGGAGGTTATTTCACAGTTATGATCATGGCCAAATTGGTGTTACTACACTGTCTTGGGGGATTTATGCGGTTATTTTTGGTTTGGGTACCATCCGAGGTTTCTACAATCCATCAGCAACCTCATTAAAACCATTTTTAATTCCTCGTGAACTATATGCCAATGGTGCAACATGGACCACGATTGGATGGCAAAGTGGTGTCATTATTGGCCCAATGCTGGGTGGTTTTATGCTGGCAGGAATCGGTCGTGAAAACAGCTTACTCTCGGTAGCAGTACTTTTATTTATTTGCTTCTGTCTGATTAACTTATTAAAGAAGCGTACTTTTCCAACTATGGAACAAGACAATCTTTGGGACAGTTTAAGTGAAGGTTTTCGCTTTATCTGGAAAACTAAAATTGTACTGTGGGCCATATCTTTAGATTTGGTTTCAGTGCTGTTTGGTGGTGTGATTGCCCTACTGCCAATTTTTGCAGAAGATATTCTAAAAGTTGGACCTGAAGGTTTAGGTTATTTACGTGCGGCCCCCTCTATTGGTGCATTAATAACCATGATCGCTTTAACCAAATTTCCACCTACACATCATGCTTGGCGAAATATGCTGATTGCTGTTGCTGGTTTTGGGGTATTTACCATTATTTTTGCATTCTCAAACAACGTCTGGCTCTCTTTATTTGCTTTGGCTATGACTGGTGCTTGTGACAGTATCTCTGTGGTTGTACGCCAAACCATTTTGCAAGTTTACCCACCTGAAAATATGCGTGGCCGTGTCGCTGCGGTGAATGGGATGTTTGTTTCATCGAGTAATGAATTGGGCGCATTTGAATCTGGGCTGGCTGCAAAATATTTAGGAACGATCACTGCCACCGTATTTGGTGGATGTATGACCTTGGCAGTTGTCGCAATAAGTTGGGTAAAAACCTCTGATTTATTCAAAGTAGACATTACCAAAGGTCAAGAATAATGCCTTTTACAGAATAAAAAACAGTAAAAAAATGCACCTTCGGGTGCATTTTCTATTGCGAGAATACAAAATTCGATAAATACTTTGCGCAATTAAACTACTCTCATGCGTATTAAACCGCATGGATTGCCAAACCTATGAATAAAGCTCTTTTTACCACTTGTTTATTGTGCCTTTCAACCTATAGCTATAGTGCGGATAAACTTCCAACAATAAAGGTCAAAGGGGAGCAATCTGAACAAAATGATCCTCAACATTTGACTACACGTATACAATGGGTCAAATTTCCTCAAATTCACTATCAAATCACTGAATTAAAAGATCAAGATCGTTCAGCAATCATTCGAGTAAAAGCCAATAACGCTGGTGAAGTCACAGAGGCCGATATCCAAGAGAGTACAGGCATCCGTGCATTGGATCAGAAACTTGTAGATGCTGTGGAAAATGCAAAAGTAAAACCCTATTCAAAAAATGGAAAAGCCATTGCTTTAGTCGGTTATCAAACATTTACCTTAACGCTAGAGAATGCAACGGATCATGTTCAGCGCGCTAAGCAATGTACATATAGCTTTAATTCAAAAAATTGGAATAAACAACAACTCGATAAGTCGGTTGCTTTTGTTTATTTAAAACAACCACAACTTGCACTGGATCAATCGCTATTAAAAAATAAAGATCGCACAGTAAAGTTTAAATTTAAAGCCAATAAGCAAGGTGAAATTACCCAAGTTAAGCTAACTCAACGTTCTGGTATTAATGCACTTGATCAACAAGTACTTGCAGCCGTAGAGCATGCATCAATCAATGTAAAACGTTCTTACCGTACTTTATGGATCTATAAACAATCCAGCTTCAATGATACGATTCAATTTAAAATCAATGAATGTAAATAAATTCATCAAGATGCGTCTTTTAAGGTTAAAGATAGTTTTGTGTCTTTAGGGTCCGTTGACATTTCATAAATGGCTTGTCAACAGCCCCTAACCTTTTTATTAAAATAATCCGATATACACCAAATAAATAAAAACATACCGACCACCTTTTGCTATGGTCACAATCAATAGAAAACGCCAAAAGTTCTCTTTCATTAGCCCTGCAATAAGTGTGATTGGATCTCCAATAATTGGGGTCCAGCTTAACAACAAAGACCAAAAGCCATACTTTTGATATATTTTTTCTGCTTTGAGCATATTCTTTTCAGAGACAGGAAACCATTTCTTATCTTTAAACTGCTCGATTTTGAGTCCCAAATACCAATTCACGCATGAACCTAAAACATTGCCAATCGTTGCAACAATAAGCAATAAATATGCAGAATGCTGGGTTTGTACCAGCAATCCAAGCAATACTGCTTCAGACTGTAAAGGTAATAGCGTCGCTGCACCAAATGCGGAAAAAAATAAGAGAAGATAAGCCATAAAGTTAGCTAAAGTTGGGTTTAGGTTTTAAGGTATAAGTCAAGAATGACAGTATAAAAGGAGCCAGAAAAGCCAACCAAAATGAAAGATCTGATTTAAAAAATTTCTGCAACAATGTGAGTTGAGCTTTACCCTCTGAAATCGCTTGCCAATCAATTTTGATATGAATAAAGCCGTAGAATAAAACAATAAAATAAAGCGAAAGCAAAACGAGTAAGATCGTGGTATTCAAAAGACTTTGCTGTAATTTACTTTGAAAAATGCCAAAGACCATAGCAAAAACCAAGCCTGAAACACTCACGATGCTAAAAATAATAAACCAGAAGTAATCATATGCGGAGTGATACTGCAAGATGCTACAAAGCATTGCTGTGATTAGCATCACGGCAAAAGAGATAAGGAAGTGCCAAACAAAGTTTTGCTTCATACTCCCCCCTGTTGAATGTACTACTAACAGTTCAATCACCCTAAATTTAGCATTTTTTTGGTTTTACGATACTGAAAATGTGCCCAAATGATTGCCAACAACATAAAGATAATCCGAGACCATTGATAACGTTGCGCAATCGGGTCGATCACGCTTCTAATCAGTGCTGACGCTTGACCATTTAATTGCTCTAAAATATTTTGGATATGCACAATTTCCGCAATATAGAGCATTAAACAACCGGCAATACCGACAATAATACTCCAGTAGATTTTTGGATTTGTTTCTAATATTTTCGTAAAGTTCAAAAAGAAATCTTTCATGACTAAAGCCTGCCAACCATCCAAAAATCGATTATTTAAAAAATAAAAAACCACGTACCGTGGTTTCTCATCTTAACATAAAATACATTTTACACTTTGATTGATAGCGCTCTTTGTATCGCTGGGCGCGCAGTTAAACGCTCAATATATTCTTTAACATAAGGATAATCATCTAGCTCTATTTGCTGCCACTCATAGCGTAATACCCACGGTAAAATGGCCATATCTGCAATCGAATATTCACCAGCCACATATTTTTGTCCAATGAGCTGCTTATTCAAAACACCATACAAACGTTGAGTTTCAGTAACATAACGATCAATTGCATAAGGAATTTTTTCTTTAGCAAATTTACCAAAATGATGGTTTTGCCCTAACATCGGCCCTAGCCCACCCATTTGCCACATTAACCATTGTTCGACTTCAACACGATCTTGCTCATCGCTTGGATAATACAGTCCTGTTTTACGGCCAAGATATTGCAAGATTGCGCCTGATTCAAACACTGAAATCGGCTCACCATTTGGGCCATCTTGATCCACAATCGCGGGGATTTTATTGTTCGGTGAGATACGAAGAAAATCGGGCTGGAACTGGTCATTCTCTAAGATGTTGATGGGAAAAATCTGATAATCCAAACCCATTTCTTCAAGTGCAATGGTAATTTTATGACCATTGGGAGTACCCCAATAATAGAGATCAATCATATTTCATCCTTCTTCGTTTTCACGTATTTTCTGAATTTTATTGCGTTAATCGTTTACTTTTATAACATGAATTGGCTTGATTCAGTATGCTATAAAAAGAGATTATTCTAATAATCTATTCTAAAATTATGTTATTGCATTTTATTAAATACAGCACGTTCTCATATTATGATATTAATTTCAAATATCTACTTCAGCAATTGCATCTATATATGCTTTAGCCTTCTCCCCCACAAATTTACGACCAGCATTGTTTCCCAATATCCATTCATCTGGATTAAATAAGTCAAATAAACCAACTTTCACTAAGGTGGGGATCGCGAGGATCAGTTCTTGCTCAATCTCTCCACGTACACCTGAGTTATACAGATTGATATTATGCAACATGGTTGCCACTGTACCCGTTTGTACAGCGCTACCATCCTTTAACTTAACCACAGGCAACACCTCACCTGCTTGAATAATTTTTTGGTTAATACTCGATAGCGCATTTGAATTTTGAATAGATGACATATCAACTCCACTCGATTCAGATTAATTTACCCGCATTTTAACGTAAAAAAGCACTGCTTAATGCAGTGCTTTTTAACAGATGAGTAATTACTTTTTCTTTTTAGGTCCAAGTAACATACCCATTTGACGGCCTTCCATTTTTGGTGCTTGTTCAACAATACCAAACTCTGCTACGTCTGCTTCAATTTTTTGCAATTGTGCAAGACCCAACTGTTGGTGAGCCATTTCACGACCACGGAAACGTAGAGTAATTTTGACTTTGTTGCCTTCTTCAAGAAACTTCAGAATAGCACGCAACTTAACATTGTAATCACCAACGTCTGTACCAGGGCGCAACTTAATTTCTTTCACTTGAACTTGATGCTGTTTCTTTTTCGCATCTTTTTGCTTTTGCTTCAAGTCAAATAAATGTTTGTTGAAATCCATGATTTTACAAACAGGTGGCTCTGCATTCGCCACGATCTCAACAAGATCAAGATCAACTTCTTCAGCAGCACGCAAAGCTTCAGCAAGTGAAACGATGCCTTTTTGCTCTCCATCTGCAGCAACGAGACGCACATCTTTCGCTTTGATCTCATCATTTAATGCAGGACGATTACTTTTAGCACCTTGTTGTTGGTTACGGTCAGGCTGTTTAATCTTTCTTACTCCACAATATACCGGCCGCGTTCGGCTACGGCTGCTTTCACTAGGTCAATAAATGCGTCTATTGACATAGTACCTAAATTTTTTCCAGAGCGAGTACGAACATTCACAGTCCCTTCCTCTACTTCTCGATCTCCAAGTACCAATAGGTATGGAATACGCTCTAGTGTACGCTCACGAATCTTAAAGCCGATTTTCTCATTTCTCAAGTCTGAAATTGCTCGAATTCCATTTTCTTTGAGTTTTGCGACGACTTGCTCACAAGCTTCCGCTTGAGAATCCGTAATATTCATGACACATGTTTGGATTGGAGCCAACCATGGTGGCATAAAGCCTGCGTAGTGTTCAATTAGTATACCAATAAAACGTTCAAAACTGCCAAGAATTGCACGATGTAACATCACAGGATGGTCACGATCGTTATCTTCTGTTACATATGAAGCGTCTAAACGTAACGGTAAGTTAAAATCACACTGAATTGTACCGCACTGCCAGATACGTCCTAAACAGTCTTTTAATGAAAATTCAATCTTCGGACCGTAGAAAGCACCTTCTCCAGGTTGTTCTTCCCATTTAAGATTTGCAGCATCTAAAGCATCTGCTAAAGATTTTTCTGCAACATCCCAAAGTTCATCAGCACCCACACGTTTTTCAGGACGTGTAGACAATTTCATTTGAACTTCTTCAAAGCCAAAATCTTTATAAACATCTAAAGTCAGTTTAATAAAGTCTGCAACTTCTTTACCAATTTGTTCAGTTGTACAGAAAATATGTGCATCATCTTGAGTAAAGCCACGTACACGCATAATCCCGTGTAACGAACCTGATGGCTCATTACGATGGCATGAACCAAACTCTGCCAAACGAATTGGAAGATCACGATAAGATTTTAAACCTTGGTTAAACACTTGAACGTGACATGGGCAGTTCATTGGTTTTACCGCATAGTTACGACTTTCTGAATGTGTCGTAAACATATTTTCTGCATAGTTGGCAGCATGACCCGATTTTTCCCACAAAGTGAAGTCTACAATTTGTGGTGTTTTAATCTCTTGGTAGCCGTTGTCCTGTTGAACTTTACGCATGTATTGTTCAAGCACTTGGTAGATCGTCCAACCATTGGCATGCCAAAACACCATACCTGGTGCTTCTTCTTGCATATGGAACAAATCTAAAGCTTTACCAATTTTACGATGGTCACGCTTTTCAGCTTCTTCAATACGCTTGATATATGCTGCTAATTCTTTTTTGTCTGCCCAAGCAGTACCATAAATACGCTGTAATTGTTCATTCTTGGCATCACCGCGCCAGTAAGCGCCAGAGATTTTAGTCAATTTGAATGACTTTAAAAATTTAGTATTCGGTACGTGTGGACCACGACACATATCTAAATAATCTTGATGATAGTACAAGCCCATTTGAGTTTCTTCAGGCATGTCAGCAATCAAACGTAACTTATAATCTTCACCACGTGCAGTGAACTCAGCAATCACATCATCACGAGGTGTCATTTTTTTAATGACGTCATAATCTTGATCGATGAGCTTTTTCATACGCGCTTCGATTGCAGCCATATCATCTAAAGTAAATGGACGAGGCATCCAGATGTCATAGTAGAAACCTTCTTCAATGACAGGGCCAATCACCATTTTTGCTTCAGGGAAGAGTTGTTTTACCGCATGACCCACCAAGTGTGCACAAGAGTGACGAATAATTTCTACACCGTCTTGATCTTTTGGAGTGATGATTTGTAAGGTTGAGTCTTCGGTAATTAAATCACTTGCATCGACTAAGCGACCATTTACTTTCCCAGCAACTGTATTTTTAGCTAGTCCAGGTCCAATACTTTGAGCAACTTCCATAACGGAAACGGCTTGATCAAAACTTTTTTGATCGCCATTTGGCAATGTGATAATAGGCATATTTAAAAATCCTTAAGGAGTGATGCCCCGTACAATGGAGCATGTCACCGCGAGATTATGATCGAGGAAGATCCTCAAGATAAAATCGGTGGAACAAAATAAAAGTGTGTCGAATTTTACACCTTTACAGCATATTTATAAACCTTTGTCTTAAAATTATTCTTTATTCTGATTTAAATTGTACTTTTGATTATCCATCAACTTCCTCTTTTTGGCGCATTACTCTCTAAAGGTTTCCCATGCTTCAAAATCTCGATTTTTATAACAATATAATTTATGAAATTGAGGAATAATCGCTTCGCTTTGTGTGGGTCTTAAAAATACAAAATCATCAACAGCTATTTCAGTGTTTTTAGGCACATTAACCATTTCCTGATTGGTACTCCGCCCATAAAGTGCATGCGGATGAATCCCTCGCGGATAAACATAATGCGCCATCCAATATCCACCATAAACAAATAAAGCTTTAGAGCTATGGGGTAATTTATCTAAAACTTCTAATCCAGGTAACTGGGTAAATGGCAGCACTTTTAAAACAGGGGTTGAAATCCATAGCGCAGCTTGTAAAACACTTAAACCATCACTGTCAAAGTCACTTGGTTTAAGCAACATCGAACCAAAAGAAAGATCATTACACACACTTTGCTCCACGTGGAGATAAAATGTAGGGCTACCACCACCATTAAAACAAAGATCAGCTCGCCATAAATGTGGAAATTGCTGTTGAATAATATTTTTATAATTTTGATAAATGTCTTGTGACTCTCGATACGCGACATCAATCTTTTTAATCACTGAAGGTAGCTTCGTCACATGGGCATCATAGCCCATCAAGCCAGCAAGTACTAAATGCTCAGGATTTTGTTCAATCAATCTTAATATTTCGATGAGTGCAAAATCGGAACGAACACCACCGCGATGCAAACCCACATCAATTTCAATATTGATTTTAAGCTTTAAACTAAACTGTTTTGCGACCTCAAGGTACTGTAATAAACGTGCTTTAGAATCAATTAACCATTGTATATCGACTTGTCTGCAATTTTGATTCATCGCATAAAAATGCTGAACTATACTCACAGGCATCGGTTTCCCAAACAACACATCTACATCCGAAAAGTTCTCAAGGATTGGTAAAAGCTGTGGCATATGAAACACCATAAACCGTTGAGTCGAAAGCTTTAGACTAATGGTTTTTAATAATGCTAAGCATGCCAAAGACTTTACCACGATACGTGGTTGCAAATGGCTTCCATATTTAAGCTTTTTGGCAACGTACTGTAGATTTTGTTCAAGCGCCTGATCATCAACAATTAATCGAGGTAATGTACCATTTGACTGTTTTAAATCACGATTTAATTGCTCAAAAAAGTTGTTCATAGTCTACCTTTATGGTCTATTTTAATTTTACCCACTCACTCAACTTTACCCATTACTCAGATAAGAATAACTTTTCTAAATAAGGGTTTAAAAACTTTCTGCTTGGATCAAGTCGTTCTCTCAACTGCATAAACGCATCCCACTTAGGGTATAGGGTTTTAAGTTGTGTTGCTGTCATACTATGCATTTTCCCCCAATGTGGTCGCCCCTGATAACGTTGTAAAATCGACTCAACTTCATCAAATAATTGTCTAGGTGCTTGCTTATAATATTGGTGTACTGAGATGGAAATAGAGTCCCGCTGATAAAACGGACTTAACCAAATATCATCACCTTTGACAAATCGAAACTCCACAGGGAAAAAGGTTTGTGCTCTTGAGTTTTTTAGCGCAGCTAGAACAGCTTGCAAACATTCCACACCCAATTCAACTGGAACCTGATATTCCATTTCATTAAATTTCGTTTCACGTGGTGTAGGGAAAATATTGCCTGACCAATCAACAAATGTGCTTGGCTTAATAAAAACGCCTAAGAGCTTTTGTAGTTTTGGATTCAATGCTGGAAAAGATTTGGTTAACTCACAACATAAGGTTAATAACGTATCCTCAGATGGCCATGATTCAGTGCGTGGTTGAATCTCATCTTCAGTAATATCTAAGGTTTTTAAAATCAATTTATCTGCATGCGAAAATGCAAAACACTCGATATGCCGATGTTGTGCTTTCCATTGGTCAATATTTTGAATAAAGTCTTTGACCGCACACAGTCTAACTTGCTCTTTAAGTTTATAGCGTGGTTTATTCTGCATAGTGATTTTAGTCAAAACCCCTAAGCTCCCTAAAGACACTCGCCCAGCAGTAAAAATATCTGGATTTTCATGGCGATTACAATGAAGAATTTCTCCTGATGCTGTGAGTAATTCAAATGCTTGTACATAACCTGAAATACAATGTAAGCCCACACCTGTACCATGTGTTCCCGTTGAAACAGCACCAGCTAAACTTTGCTGGTCAATATCACCCTGTTGCATTAAAGACTGCTGCATCGGTTCTAAATATTGCCCTAAATTAAATAATCGTGTTCCTGCCCAAATACTGGCTTGGGCAAATTCAGTATTGACTTGATCCACACCACAAAGACCATCCAAAGACAGCATTGTTGCATCGGTACTCACCAAAGGTGTAAATGAATGCCCTGCTCCCACCACTCGAATCTTTGCTTGGGTTTGGACAATGTGTTTTAACTCATCAAGACTTTCAGGCTTTAAAATCTGCTCAGGGTGAGACTGTTGATAGCCCGACCAATTGTTCCATTTTTGCTGATTTAATTTGTGCTTGTTCGGTGCTTGATTAATCAATTGATTCATAATGCTCATCCTTTAGCGTACAGCAGTTTTTAAATTGCCATGATTTGTTCTTTTTTCTATTTCGTGTGGTGGAATCGCTACGGGCCGTGTGATTTGGTCATATTCGCGTTGAGATTTATCTAGATTCAGTTGCGTTGCCAATTGCTGAAATTTGTACTGAATTGCCGCATGTGTCCATTGACCATATAAGGTATGTGCACCTTCATAAGCTTGTTGCTGATATTCTTCATTGGTGGTGATATAGCCCATATAATCATTGCAATAAGACACTAAACCAACCTTTGAAATACCACGATGCTTTGAGAACTGTTTTGCCACAGTCTGAATTACACGTTGCCCTGCTGTTGTGGTAATTTCTCCGGGACAACAAATCAAAGCCAATTGACCAATTTGGATAATCTGTAGCGGAATAACACTTGGAACCAGTGGGCTGTCTTGAATGGCACCTGCTTTAACTTGGCGATTCATTTCTGCAATTAAAGGATCAAAAATGCTTGGTGAAAAATCTAAACCTTTACCCAGCAACTGATTATCCGGACTTTCTAAAACAATCTCTTTCGGGAATTGTGAGTCATAGAGTGCTTTATATTTGCTGTACTGCAGAGAATTCGAGTTTGCTAAACGTTGCTTACGTACTCGCTTAGCAAGTAAAGACATCACTTTAAGAATCGCTGTAGGTGTCCCCTTACCATCTATAGGCGTTCCCCCGAAGAAGCCGACGCCATGGCAAGCTGCACTGGTTTTAGCGCCTTGTATCCCCTGACTAAATTCACTCGGCACATCGACTTGACTCAGATCTACATAAGATAAAACAGCATCGATACTGCCTTGGAGTAAACATGCTTCCATCGCATTGTTAGTGGTTTTTTCAAGCGGTGTAGTCAGTGCTTTAATCGCAATTTCACTTTGATAACGCCCATTTTGCTCAGCATATTGATATTCTCTTTCGCCCTTAATTTTATTGCGAATCGCATCTTGTTTGGGGCCATGAAAATGTGGAGAGACATCTCCTGCTGTTGCTTGTGCGAAAATGGCAACAGGGTTTGGAATACCTTGTGTTAATAGATAATGTTCACTTAACGCAGCAGCATAGCCTTTATTGTCACCATCATGTGCTTTGAGTTGACTACTCAAACAGGTTGCATGCACTCCAAATAATGAAATAAAGGAACATAATTGATCATCACGATAAAAACCGATTAATTGCATTTCACGGTTTAAGGCGAGATTGGTTTCTGCTTCGGTTCTTTGAATCACATCGGGGTTACGATTATATGCCTGCAATGATCGATTCCATGCCACTGGAATATCATCAGGAAATTGGCAACTTTGATAACGAAGTTCAGTTTCTTTTTCAGTGTCTAAGGCATTGAAAATACTGAGCATGACCGCATTTACTACAGCTTCGACATGCTCTGGAACAAAACCTGGGGTCGGCATATTGTATAGAGCTTCATAAGCACAACCGCCAGGACCAGAATGAGTATGGGTTGCCATCAAGACCAAATACTGTTCATTAAATTGCTCAGCTAATTGTTGTTTTAAGCGCTCAACAACACCACTACGGATCGCATAAGTAATACAACCAAAATCCAGACAACAAAAAATAATGGGGTGTTCTAAAGCTAAACGACGGATAGTGAATGTACGAGCAAACAATGCTGTACGTTTTTGATAAGCACGATGCGACCACATACCATAACCAAACATGGCATAACCTTGTGGCTGAATGTTTATTTCTTGTTTATCCCAACCCACCATAAACATATGCAGTCATCCTTTATCTTTTTTATGTCAGCGAATTTATATCAGCGAATACCAGAAGTAGATTGAATCTTAATCAAAAATATGCGATACCAACTAGGGTAAAAGCAACAATAATATGGGGGGCGAAGCGGACTTTATGAGCTTGCAGCAAAAGGAAATTGCCAATACTCAATTTTATATTCCACCAATGATACTGACGAGTTTGGTTCATTATGCAGAACAACAACACTGGCAATATGACAATTGGTTCGCAGCACAAAATTTAGACTTGGAACAAATTCGCCAAGGGCATGGTTTTGTTGCTTTTTCAGAACTCTGTGAGGTTATTCATCTCGCAGTTAAAGATACCCAGCAACAAAATTTAGGCTTATTGCTGGGCAGTAGTGAAGGTCAGATTTCAATTGGTATTTTGGGCTTTGCCATGCAAGCCTGTAAAACGGTGGCTGAAGCATTGGAGACCGCACTGCACTATCATCCCATTTCAGGCAGTGTCTTAGATTTAACCGTCAATCTTGTTGATGATTATTGTGAAATTGAACTTTCTGAGCGAAGTAACTGTGGTGAGCTAAAAGCCTTTTTCTGTGATGAAGTTTTTGCCAGTATTATTACCTGTGTCAATATGATGCTAGACCATAGCTATGAGTTAATCAGCTTAGAACTGAGCTATGATCATTCAGCATATATCAATGATTATCAAAGAATTTTCAATTGTCCAATTTATTTTAAAACGGCTAAAAATGTCATCCGATTTAACAAAACACTCTTGTCGAGAAGCCTCAAAAACTATAGTCCTGTCAATTATCAAAGTGCAATTCTGATTTGTGATCAAGCTTTAAAACAATTTGATCAAATGAATCAACACAGTTTGGCAAAAGTGTTAGCACATTTGGTTGAAAGCCATCTACCTGAACGCTTTGATATGCAGCAAGCAGCGCAATATTTTCATTTTAGCGAACGCCATTTACGGCGTTTACTACTCAATGAAGGACTAAATTTTCAGTTATTAAAGCAACAGGTGTTAGAAAAAAAAGCCAAACAGTGGATTGAAGAAAATCAATCGATGAGTGAAATCAGTTTCAATCTTGGTTTTAGTGAGTTAAGGGAATTTCGTCGTGCGTTTAAAAAATGGACTGGATCTTCGCCAACGGAATACAAAAAAGCGAAACTGTTGGGTTCAGTTATTCGTATTTGAATGACGTGGTTTGAAATAAGATTCTGCATAAAATCAGGGTTAATATTTATATTAAGCTTACAAAATATTAATTTAATTCAATAAATTAAATATTCCAAAAAATATTTAAATAAGGGTAAAGATGTATAACGATGCATATTTAGCTGGAGTACTCGACTAAAGCCTAAATGAATTCTGACAGGCTTATGCATATCTTTTAAACACGGAAATTAGAACAAATATAGATGGAGCTAAACATGGTCAGTGCCTATGATCAATTACCACGAACCCCTGCAAACTTTGTAGCATTATCACCTTTACGTTATCTAGAGCGTGCAGCCTACATTTATCCAAATCAAGATGCGATTGTACATGGTGCTCGTCATATCTCTTGGCGTGACACCTATACCCGTTGTCGTCAATTTGCCCATCAATTACAAAATCTGGGGATTCAAAAAAACGATACCGTTTCTGTTCTTTTACCCAATATCCCTGCGATGGTCGAAGCGCATTTTGCAGTCCCTATGGCTGGTGCTGTTTTAAATACGCTGAATACTCGTTTAGATGCCAAAACCATTGCGTTTATGTTAGAGCATGCTGAAACCAAAGTTCTTTTGGTTGACCCTGAGTTTGCGGCTTTGGCTAAAGAAGCGGTAGCGCTTATTGCTCAACAGATCTATATCATTGATGTTGCAGATGAGGAATACGAAAACAATGATGCTACAGCACGTATTGGTCAAATTGAATATGAGGATTGGCTGAAAAGTGGTGATGCAGATTTTGAGTGGCATTTACCTCAGGATGAATGGGATGCGATTAGTCTAAATTATACCTCTGGCACTACAGGCAATCCGAAAGGTGTGGTTTATCACCATCGTGGTGCTTATATCAATGCAGCCAGTAATATCATCGCCTGTGGTATGACACCACGTTGTAAATATTTATGGACACTTCCGCTATTCCATTGCAATGGTTGGTGTTTTGCTTGGACTGTTGCAGCCAATGGCGGTACCAATATCTGCTTACGTAAAATTGATCCTGAGTTGGTTTATCAACTTATTGATCAATACAAAGTTGACTATTTCTGTGGTGCACCGATTGTCTTATCGATGTTGATCAACACCCCGAAAGAACAACAAATTAAATTTGAACATCATGTAGAAGTAATGGTGGCTGGTGCTGCACCGCCTGCAGCAATTATTGAAGGAATGCATCATATTGGTATTCAAGTCAATCATGTCTATGGTCTCACTGAAACTTATGGCCCTTCTGCATTATGTGCATCTCAAGCAGGTTGGAGTGACCTGTCTATTCAAGAGCAAGCACAATTACACTCGCGCCAAGGTGTACCTTATCCATTACAAGATGGTATGCGTGTGTTGGATGCTGAAACGATGCAACCTGTGCCTAATGATGGCAAGACCATGGGAGAAATTATGTTCCGTGGCAACATTGTCATGAAAGGTTATTTAAAAAATACCAAAGCCACAGAAGAAGCCTTTAAAGGTGGCTGGTTTCATACTGGTGATTTAGCGGTTTGCCAGCCCGATGGTTATGCAAAAATTATGGACCGTTCAAAAGACATCATTATTTCAGGTGGTGAAAATATCTCATCTTTAGAAGTTGAAGAGGTTCTTTATACTCATCCTGCAATTATGACTGCGGCAGTGGTTGCGCAACCCGATCCACGTTGGCAAGAAGTTCCTTGTGCCTTTATAGAACTTAAACAAGGTGCAGAAACCACACCTGAAGAGGTGATTGAATTCTGCAAACAGCATTTGGCACGCTTTAAAGTCCCTAAAAGTGTAGTGATTTGTGAGATTCCAAAAACATCGACAGGTAAATTACAAAAATTTATCTTACGTGACTGGGCAAAAGAGCGCTCAGTGGGTGAATTTAATTAGTCTACCTGTTTGAATGATCCAATTTACCTTCCTCTTCCCAGTAAAAATAAATGACTGTTTTTATTTAGAAGGTCATACTGGCTAGTAAGGTAAATTGATGAAAGAGTGAGATAAATTGGTGAAAGAGAGCGGTAAATGGGTGAAAATAGGCTTAAAACGTTAATTTCTCATTTCTCGACTTCATTTTAGAAATTATGCTTTTCTTGTCGCTTATTGATAGCACCATTAAAACTTTTTGATCATTTAAACATAGCAAACGATGAATAAACTTCGTACAGAAATAGAACCCGATTTTGAAACAGCACAACAACTTTATCCAACTGTGCTCGAATTGATTGCCAATTACACCGACTATTGCGATGAGTTTGGTGATGAAGATTCGCTTGAATATCAAAAACTCAGTGAAAAGCTCACAGAAATTACCAGTAAAGACATTTCTCAATATGATCTTTGGGAGTGGTGGGAAGCCGAAGGCATCGAAAATTTAAGCTTTGATATTTGCCTACCTGAGCCTAAAATCATCCACAATATTTCAAAACAAGAACTTACTGAAATCGTCCAGCGGATTAAAAGCTCAGATTTTAATACTCAACATGCAAATGAATTCATCAATGCTTTTTACCTCCGCACCATTTTCTCAGGCGGGTATTTCTATAACTTTTTAAAACTCAACTTTAAAGCATTTAAGCATCAATTGTTTCAACGCAATAAAGATCAAACAGGACGATACTTTGAATATTCGGTAGAAGACATTGTGGATCGGCTTTGGGGCGAGTGATTGCCATAAAAATATCACCGCACATCTGTATCAGAAGAAAATAAAACACCTATACCTGATCTAATGGAAAATTCACAAATACCAGTACTCAAATATATCAAGTCTCAACTGAAGATTCCTGAGTCAATCTTCTTAGCGAATGGATAAGAGGATTGTTTATTAAAACTAACCAAAAAATAAAAATAATTGAAAATAAAAATGAATAATAAATAAAAAACACTTAATTAAATCAATATAGGTTACAAATCCGTATTAACCACATTGCAATTAATTTAGAAAAACTTAACAATATGTAAACCAATATCTATACTAAAAATTCAAAGTCATATAATCTATAGAACAAATATTAATCAGCTTACGATAATGACTTATTTAAAAAATATATTCTTAGTATTGATATCTATATTCATTCTACAAACCACTGCACATGCTAAAGCAGACGAAGTTTGCCGAGCATGGTTTGGGACATTAGGAATCAGTAAAGGTGATAAACGGTGTGGGATAAAATGCACAATTGGCGATGTAGGGATGGCAACCTATAGCTGCCCTAATCAATGTGATGATCTTTGTACAGAATCAAATGATTGCCCAGCTGGAACAAAAGCTATTTTTGGTCAACGTACGACTGCAACTTGCTTACCTATTTATGAAACAAAAAAAGACAAAGGTAAAAGCTGCGATGGATTGGGAAACCCTTGTTCTGTCAGTACAGGCAATAAATTTCAGGTAGAAACAGACTGGAAAGCACCAGTTGGGCCATTAGAAGTTACTCGGGTTTATAATAGTTTATTTTCAGACAATGTCTTATCAGATAATACACCTTTTGGTTCAACACGTGCTTGGACTCATAATTATGCAATGCGCTTATATTTTACATTATCGGGTACGAATATCACGTCTATAACCCTATGGCGTGAAGATGGTAAGGAAATAATTGCAACACCCAGACAAGGTCGCACAACCCCATTACTTGGTACCACTGACTGGTATGTTGACCCAGATACAAGCTTAATTCTAAACCAGTTAAGCAGTGGCTGGGAAATTAAAAACCTCAAGAACAGTCAAGTTGAAACTTATGACTCAAAAGGACGATTAATACGAATTGCTTACATAGGCAATCAGTTTGTGACTATCAGTTATTCCAATACAACAACCTTCAAAGCAAATACTATCACAGATCAATTTGGTCGAAAACTGACCTTGACCTATGATAGAGCTGGTTATCTTACTAGCATTAAATTACCTAATGCTCAGAGTGTTCAATATTCTTATAGTGGGAACATATTATGGGCTGTTAACCGACCATCTTCAGGCACAAAATATTATAACTATAATGAAAATACTTTGGTTGCACCTTCAAAAAATCCTTATTTACTCACAGGAATAAGTAATGAATTAGGCAATCGTTTTGCTAATTATGCCTATGATGAATTTGATCGAGGTATTTTGACGGAACATGCTGGTAATACACAACAATTCCGTTTTAATTATTCAGAAAACAATACACAAGTTACCGACCCTTATGGTACTCAACGAGAATATAGCCGTTCACGTATTTCAGGCACTCAATATATTGGAACGGTGAAACGAGGGACTACAACAGAAAGTCGTTCAGAATATGATAGCTCTGGAAATTTAGTTCGTTATGAACAATTTGGACAAGTAACCACTTATGAATATGATCTAAGCCGAAATCTTGAAACAAAACGAATTGAAGCGGCTGGAACTACTGAAGAAAGAATTACAACAACACAATGGCATGCAACATTAGCATTACCTATCGAAATACAAGAATCATTACGCAAAATAAATCTAACTTATGATAATGCAGGAAATCTCTTAACCCGAACCATTACAGACTTAACCACAAAAAAAAAGAGAACATGGACATACACTTATAATAATTTAGGTCAAATCCTCACGCTGACAGAACCAACATCTGAAAAAACAATATATAGCTATGACAATACTGGCAATTTACTCACAGTGACTGATTCAGCGGGTTTAGTTACCAGTTACAGTAACTACAATACCTTGGGACAACCCCAAATTATTACTTTTCCAAGTGGGCATAAAATTACTTATACCTATGACAATTTGGGAAGAGTGTTAAAAACGGTAGAAACTCGTTTAAATCCAAATTTTGAAACAAGCTACAACAGCACAAGTAAAGTTGTTCAGTGGGCACAATGGATCACTGATTTAATCAACCAATGGTCCCAATCTGTTGGATTGGGAACACCATTTTCGGAAACAGGAACAAGCAGTCAAACATCCAGCACCATTAGTTTAAGTAGTAGCCAAAGTGCGACTACAACTTATGTTTATGATCATGCTGGACAACTTACTCAGGTGATCTTTCCTGATGGTGAAATACTGAATTATGAATATGATAGAGCACAGCGTTTGGCTTTAATCAGAGATAATACGGGTAATACCGTAAATTACACTCGCAATAATGCAGGTGCTATTACCCACACTGCAATCACTGATAATTACAGCAATATTCTATTCAAAACAGAAACGGTATATGACACATTAGGTCGAGTCAGCCGACAGCAAGGTGATCATCAACAAAATGAGCAATTTAGTTATGATGATTTTAACCAACTGACAGAACAAAAAAATGCACTCAATCAAACTTCAGGCTACCAATATGATGCTTTAGGTAGACCAAAACGACAAAGAAATCCAGCACAAGGGTCGATCCAATATCAATATGACAGTTTAGATCAATTAAAAACGATCACAGATGCACGTGGTAATACAACCACATATCACTACAATGCATTTGGTGATTTAGAAAGTGTAAATAGCCCTGATACTGGATTAACAACATATCAGTATGATGATACAGGTCGTCTTACGCAGTACACAGACAGTCAAAATAATGTTCATGCCTACACATATGACAATGCACAAAGAGTTCGTCAAAAAACAGATGGCAGTGGTTCAAATCAACTCACTACAAGTTTTGATTATGATGGGGGGCAATATGGGCAAGGCGAGCTAACACAGACCAGTAATGCCAATAGCAGTATCCGCTATATTCGTGACAGTGCTGGGAATGTCATTGAAAAGGCCATAGCATTAAAGCCGAACCTACCATTACGAGTTCAGTACAATTATACCGCTGGAGGGAAACTCGCTAATATTCTCTATCCAAGTGGACTTCAAATTACTTATACCTATAACCAGGGTCTACTCAATAATATTAGTTCGAGTACTGGAGGTAAATTACTTCAAAATGTTCGTTATACCCCAATGGGAATCAGTGGTTGGGATTGGGGAACAGGTTATGACCAGTTTCATCTTCTTATAGATACAGATGGGCGGATCAATGACGTAACTTCAACAGGTATTTTGACACGACATTATAACTTTGATGTTGCAGATCGCATCACCAACATCAGTGACAGTAATAGTACGCTAAATTCAGGTTTTAACTATGATGTAATGGATCGCTTAATCCAGCAAAATATCCAGTTTGGCGATAAAAATTCTGTACTTAGTTATAGCTATGATGCCAATGGCAATCGAACACAACAAAACAAAGCTGAAGATGGCATCTCGACAGATACAGCATTTTCAATTGCAAACACAAGCAACCGTATCAATAGCTACAGCTATTTAGCGACAGGTCAAGTCACTCAAGATAATATCCGAAGCTATCAATATGATGCAGCTGGACGTAGCAGCCGAATCCAAAAAAATTCGAGCAGTATTGAAAATCGCTATGATCCACTTGGACAACGTGTCATCAAGTACATTTCAAATACTGGGGTACAGAGTGTAGTTTACTTTGTATATAACGAATCTGGACAATTGTTAGGTGAATACGATCAAAATCGTAATCGCATCCGTGAGTATATTTGGCTAGGTGATCGTTTGGTCGGAATGCTCAGTCAGGAACGTCCAAATGTTTTATTGAGAGTACATACAGATCATTTAATGACGCCGAGAGCAGTAAGTGAAGGTGATGGCGATAGCCGTAAGGTTTTATGGCGTTGGGATGGAGACCAGTTTGGGGATGTATTACCGAACGAAGATGTTGATGCAAATAATATTAAATTCACCATGCCTTTACGTCATGCTGGACAATATTATGATAGTGAAGTCGGAACATTCTATAACTACTTCCGTGATTATAATCCAGCAACGGGACGTTATGTCCAAAGTGATCCTTTAGGTCTATTTGATGGTCCTAACACCTATGCATATGCCTACAGCAATCCAGTTTCTTATAATGATCCAACTGGCCAGTTTGTACCAATATTAGCTGGAGTTGCAATAGGAGCAGGAACTGATCTAGGCATTCAACTGGTATTGAATGGTGGGAATTTCCAGTGTGTGAGTTGGGCGCAAGTTGGGGTTTCTGGAGCTTTAGGGGCTATTGGAGGTGGTTGGTGGTCTGGTTCCTTTAAACACGCGAAATCAAGTGCAAGCTGGTTTAAATTAAGTACAAAATGGAAGAATGTCAGCCCAAGAGCCAGAAAGGCTCAGGACACACCTAAAGGCTATGAACTACATCATTGGTTAATTGAAAGAAATAGTTGGGTAGGTAAAAAAGTGCCAGATGTAATTAAAAATCATCCGTGGAATTTAAAAGCTGTTGAACGCTCTGTACATCAGCGTATTCATGGGAATGATCCAGCTGGAGAAACTTTTAATTTTATTGAAAAATTATGGTATGGAAGTCCTACTTGGGCTAAAGGTGCGGCTGGATCAGTTGGTTCTGGAATAAGTGCTGATTCAATAGTAGGTGAAGAATAATGAATCTAAACTACCCAATTTTAATGCATACCTCTTTATTTATTAAAGGTAATTTAGAGAGTGAAGATCGAATAAGCTATATAAGCGAAAAAGCATTTGATACAGGCTATTTGTCTGGTGCAATTATATTTGATTCATATGGTATGAAATATGAGATTACACAGACAAAAAAAATACCATTACATGACTTACCATTTCCAAAATTTTTAAAGATTATTCTCAAACATTTTGGCGGACATTATGTAGCGTCAAAAAAAAATAGATCAATATGGGTTGTATTTGAAGTAAATCCTATCAGAAAATTTAATTTAGATGAGATAAAAAAAGAACTCACAGAATTATTTTTAAATAATCCAAAATGGTTTAAAAACAGTGATTTTAGTCAAAAACAAGCCATTGAACTATTTATCAATGAAGCCAGAACAGTGAAAGAGTTGATCAAAAATATATCTGTTTGGTCATAGATATTTCATTATTACTTTTGGTCGAAGTGTTGGTGCGACAGCAGGTGGAGCTATCGGTTCTACATTGGATCTTGGAGAATAAAGTGGATCAAGTGAAAGCAATAAATTCTTATAATAATAGTTAAAAATAAGATTGAAAGTATATTTTTATCATTTGATAAATTACATCGAGGAATAGCATCAACCCATCCTGATTATAAAAATGGTCTTAAAGAAGTTGTCCAAAATAACATTTCCGTCATATTTTGACTGGCATTTTATTGGACACAAGTTTTTACGATTTTGACTATTTGTATCCTTATTTTTCAATGAAAAGTGTTTACACTCAATGCACTTACAGCTTTCAAGCCTTTTTTCTTTGACTTTACAGTCACAGAGAAATAACCATGAAATACTTGTACGTCACTATAAGATGTTGCACGATGTAGCGGAACAAATATGTGTCATAGAAGACACACGTCGTATTTATGAAGATTATAAATCTGGTTTAACCAGTATTGAGGAAACCGATATGCCACAATACAAAGCACCCTTACGTGATATGCACTTCGTTTTGCATGAGTTATTAAATGCTGAAGAACATTACGCGAAACTCCCTGCATTCCAAGAAACCGTAAGCCGTGAATTGATTGATCAATATTTAGAAGCTGGCGCGGATTTCTGTGAAAATGAATTATCTCCACTTAACCAAATCGGTGACAGTGAAGGCTGTAAATGGAATGATGGTGTAGTGACTACGCCTACAGGCTTTAAAGCAGCGTATGACAAATATGTAGAATTAGGCTTCCCTTCTCTTTCAGTTCCAGAAGAACATGGCGGTCAAGGTTTACCAGGTTCTTTAGCAACGGCTATTTCTGAAATGGTTGGTTCTGCAAACTGGGCGTGGGGTATGTACCCAGGTCTTTCACATGGTGCGGTTCGTACAATTGAGCATCATGGTTCTGCTGAGCAAAAAGCAACATATTTACCTAAACTTGTTTCAGGTGAATGGACTGGTACCATGTGTTTAACAGAATCTCATGCAGGTTCTGACTTAGGCATTATCCGTTCTAAAGCTGAGCCACAAGCAGATGGTAGCTATGCAATTTCTGGCGAGAAAATCTTTATCTCTGCTGGTGAACACGATATGGCGGACAACATCGTTCACATCGTTTTGGCTCGTCTACCAGGCGCACCTAAAGGCACTAAAGGGATCTCGTTATTCATCGTACCTAAGTTCAATGTAAATGCAGATGGCTCTATTGCAGACCGTAATGCAGTACGTTGTGGTTCAATTGAACACAAAATGGGTATCCACGGTAATGCAACTTGTGTGATCAATTTTGATAACGCAAAAGGTTTCTTGATTGGACCTGAAAACCGTGGTTTACATGCAATGTTTACCTTTATGAACACTGCACGTATTGGTACTGCTGTTCAAGGTTTAACAGCATCTGAATCTTCTTTCCAAGGTGCACTTGCATATGCGAAAGACCGTTTGGCAATGCGTTCACTTTCTGGTCCTAAAGCACCAGAGAAAGAAGCTGATCCAATCATTGTTCACCCAGCTGTACGTAACATGTTGATGACACAAAAAGCCTTTGCTGAAGGTGGTCGTGCATTGGTTTACTTCTTATCTCAATATGCAGATATCGTAGAGCAAGGTGTTACTGAAGAAGATCGTAAATTTGCCGACAATATCTTGTCATTATTGACACCGATTGCGAAAGCATTCTTAACTGAAACAGGTTCTGAATCAGCGAAGCATGGTGTACAAGTATTTGGTGGTCACGGCTTTATTTCTGAACACGGTATGGAGCAAATTGTACGTGATACGCGTATCTCTTGCTTATACGAAGGGACAACTGAAATCCAAGCACTTGATTTGTTAGGTCGTAAAGTATTGGGTACGCAAGGTGCAATGTTGAAAGACTTCACCAAGATCATCCATAAATTTGCAGAAGCAAACAAAGACAATGCTGACCTGAAAGAATTTGTTGAACCACTTGCTGCTCTTAACAAAGAGTGGGGTGATTTAACCATGCAAATCGGTATGAAAGCTATGCAAAATCCAGATGAAGTAGGCGCAGCTGCGGTTGACTACCTATACTTCTCTGGTTATGTAACGCTTGCATTCTTATGGGCTCGTATGGCGCTTGTTGCTCAACAAAAACTTGCTGAAGGCTCTACTGAAACTGGCTTCTATAATGCAAAAATTAAGACTGCTCGTTTCTACTTCAAGAAAATCTTACCACGCGTTCGTTCACATGTTGACGTGATCGCGGGTGGCTTAGATCCATTGATGTCATTAGATGCTGAAGACTTTGCATTCTAAGTAGAATGCCGAGCTAGGTATTTAGAAAACTGTACTCAAGAGTGCAGAAATAGAGAAAGGACGGTCATAGCTTTGGCAGTCCTTTTTCTTTATAAATAGAGCGTTATTTACTTAGACCATCTAACAACATACAAGCTTGTTGGTTAAACTGATCTAAGTCTACAGATTCAAACAATAAACAGGTGAACGAACATGCCAATTTATAATGCGCCACTTGCAGATATGAAATTCATTCTGAATGACGTTTTCAATGCAGAGAAATTCTGGCAAGCCAACGAAAAGCTTGCACATGTTGATGCGGCAACGGCTGAAGCAATTTTAGAAGAAATGGCTAAATTTGCACAAAATGTTACGCTTCCTTTAAACCGTACAGGTGATGAAGAAGGCGCTCATTATGAAAATGGCAAAGTCACGACACCTGCTGGTTTTAAAGAAGCATTCCAACAATACGCTGAAGGCGGTTGGATTGGCCTAGGTGCTGATGAGGAATGGGGCGGTCAGGCAATGCCAAAAATGCTGACCGTACTTGCAGATGAAATGTTATTTGCAACTAACCCATCATTCATGCTCTACCCGCTTCTCTCTGTCGGTGCTGGTATGGCTTTAAATAGCTATGCATCTCAAGAACAGAAAGAAACCTATTTACCTAAAATCTATTCAGGTGAATGGTCTGGTACGATGTGTTTAACTGAACCTCATGCAGGTACAGATTTAGGGATTATCAAAACTAAAGCTGAACCTAACCAAGATGGTACATATAACATCACTGGTACTAAAATCTTCATTACTGGTGGTGACCACGATCTTGCTGACAACATCATTCACCTTGTTTTAGCAAAAACACCTGATGCACCTGCGGGTTCACGTGGTATCTCACTCTTTATCGTGCCTAAATTCCTCGTCAATGCTGATGGTTCATTGGGCGAACGTAATACAGCTGGTCCCGGTTCAATTGAACACAAAATGGGGATCAAAGCGTCTGCAACATGTGTCATGAACTTTGATGCAGCCAAAGGTTTCCTTGTTGGTAAAGAAAATGAAGGGCTTGCAGCAATGTTCGTGATGATGAATTACGAACGCTTGTCTATGGGTATTCAAGGCCTAGGCGCTTCTGAATATGCATACCAAAATGCAGCACAATATGCGACTGATCGCGTACAAGGCCGTAGTGCGACAGGTGTTAAATCTCCAAACAAACCTGCTGACAGCATCCTTGTACATGGTGATGTACGTCGTATGTTACTCAATGCACGTGCCAACAATGAAGCTTCTCGTGCATTTGCAGTCTATGTTGGTCAACAACTCGACATTACTAAATTTTCAACCGATCCTGAAGCTGTAGCGAAGGCAAATAATCGTGTTGCATTATTGACGCCAATTGCCAAAGCCTATTTAACAGACACCGCGTTTAATGCTGCAATCGATGCGCAAATGGTGTTTGGTGGTCATGGCTATATTCGTGAATGGGGCATGGAACAATGTGTGCGTGACTTACGTATCGCGCAAATCTATGAAGGTACCAACGGCGTTCAGTCACAAGATTTAATTGGTCGTAAAACAATTAAATGTAATGGTGAATTCATTGCTGAATATATTGAAGAGATCCGTGATTTTGCCAATGGTCTAGATACTGACTTAAACTTCATTAAAGATGCGACTTTAGATATTGCAACTGAAGTAGATATGATTACGCAGCATATTTTAGAACGTGCAAAAGAAAATGCTGATTTCGCAAATGCTGCGGCAGTAGAGTATCTGCATGTTGTTGGCTTATTAAGCTTCTCTTATATGTTTGCTCGTATTGCCAATGCTGCAAAAAATAAGCAAGGTCAATTCTACCAAGACAAACTTGCATTGACTCATTATTTCATCCAACGCCTCTTGCCTGATTTAAATGCACGTGTTGCTAAAATCAAAGCAGGTGCAGAAGTTATTATGAATTTCAGCGAAGATTATTTTACTAATCAGGCTTAATTTCATCATCAATTAAAATAAGACATAAAACGCCCGATGATTCGGGCGTTTTTTATTTACAACTGATGCTTTTTTTTAGAACATCTACTGATCTATATCTCTTGAATGTCATAAAGCCGTTAGGTTTGCTTTTCTATGCATCTTAAAATCAAGGATGGTGCAATTATATCGTGTGGCTATAAAAGTTGATCGCAACATAAATCAAGTTACATCAGAAAATCTTACTTTGGATAAAACTTCCGAATTGATTCAGCCATCTCTGGAGATTGGTTTTGTAAAGCATTTGCCGCACTTGCCGCATCGATCTGAGAACGGTTTTGACTGACTTTAAATTTCCCTACAATTGAATCTATTTCGATTTCAATCGCCACAATTTCCTGCAATAAAGCAGCGATATAATCATTGGGCGCATCCCCCATTTTCCAAGGTACCGCCTGTGGTGCTTCATGCTGACGAGTCAATCGCGCCAAAATACCCCGCAAATATTTTTCATCATCTATTTTTCGAATTGTTCCCTTCACATGCACAACACGATAATTCCAGGTCGGTACTTCCCGATGATGCTCAAATTTCCCTGGATACCAATTCGGTGAAATATAACTTTGCTCAGCATGAAAAATCACATAAGCCGATTGAACTTCTTCTAACAAGGTAAATAATGGATTGGCTTTGGCGATATGTCCACGTAACAATCCAGAGTTGCCAGCTGACCGATCCAATTCAAAAGGAATATGGTTCGCTTCAATTTCACCGTCATAAGTAACCATCAAACTTCCCAATGGATTTTTTTCAATTAAATCGAAAAGTTCAGGGAGATTCTCTTGTTTAAAATGAGTAGGAAGATACATGTTTTATTTCCTAATACTCTTTCGAGCCATCTGGACTAGTTTTAAATATTTCAGGTAATTCAGCATCTTCAGTAAAAGCTTCACCTTTAAAAATATTAACCACTTCAATTTTCCCTATAATTTGCTGATTAAACTCGTCTAGTCGCTCAGCTGGAATCCATAACTCCTGGCAAAAATCATCACCAACCGTATGTATTTCAAACTGAGCCAGATACTCATCATTCAGTTCAAACCGTGTGACATAGCCAATATAACCACTTGCTTGATCTTTGGTATTCCAATCTAAAGCAATTTTTTCAGCATACTTCTGATTTAAAACAGGATAGAAAATAGGTTGCCAATACAATCTTGGTGGGAAATTTTTAAAGCCACTCTTTGCAATCAATTGATATTCAAAAAGCCCAATTGGTCGGTACAAATACATTGTTATTCCTTTAATTGTATTGAAAATAATCTATCTATAGACTAATCAGATGAAATGATCAATTTCTTAATGAAATAGTTGTTATTTATTCGCCATAAACATTTCACTTCGCTTTTCATGTGCATGAAATTTGCATGGTGTTTAATCATAGATAGCATAGGCAAATGGAGGATGTTATGAATAAAGATCCACGTATAGAAAAAATAGAAAACCTCCTCGATAAATTGGGCAATATTGCAGTAGAAGCATTTCATTATATTGCGCTGTTTATCATTGGCTGCATGATCGCTTGGTCAGCGGTACATACAATTATTGAAATTTTAACCGTGAAACAATACGCCAGCATTGACGATATTTTATTGTTATTCATCTATTTGGAATTAGGTGCAATGGTGGGGATCTATTTTAAGACCAACCACATGCCTGTACGTTTCTTAATTTATATCGCAATCACCGCACTCACGCGATTACTAATTTCAGATATTCAGCATGACCATAAAGCAGATATGGATTTAGTGATTATTACGGGATCGGTTTTAATTTTAGCCATTGCAATTTTGATCGTGAGATATGCATCTTGGACATATCCTTCTGTCATTCGTGATAAACATACTGAAAAATCATTACCTCATGGCAAAACACCACGACCAGAAGATGATGAACTAGCTTAGTCTCTTGTCTTGATTCATACGCTTACCCTTCTCTCTAAACAAAATTAAAGAAATTCCTTATGCAAGCGCAAGACATAGAGGAGAAGGGACTTTTTTATTGTGTTGAAAATTTAATACATTGCTATTGATCATGATGCTGCGTTTAAATCACGCTCAGCGATCATTGGGCACTTGTAAATAACGACCATTCTGGAAAACCCAATGCATACCAACCTGTGGGTCAGGTAATCCATAACGGCGCCAATCACTAATTAAGGTATGTTGTGAGCTTTCTATATGCCCCCCCTCACCATTTACATAACCATAACTGCTACCTGAATACTCCGTGCGTGTTGGAAACTGATGATTATAAATAATCGTCACACCATTTTGTGGTGGGTAACTTGGGTATGGGCCATTTGGATGCGGATAGGGGCGACTCGGATAGCTTGGGTATGTCGGATAAGGATGCTGGTATTGAGGTCGAACAGGAATCTCCTGTGACATTTGGCGGCCATATTGATCTGTATATTTATAGGTCGTTGTTGGATATTTCTTTTGAGGCCTCTCAACACTGCGATAATTCGCCCAATCTTTAGCATCTGCCCATGTCATTGTTGAAGTCACTGAAAGCATCAACATCAAGACACTTAAACTGAGTATCTGTTTCATTTCAACCTCCAAACTTGAACGTATACACAACAGCTTAATCCATCATTCAAGATAAATAATGGATGAATTACAGTCGAAATTTAATCTTCTTTATTGTTTATACATCAACTTGGGTAAATTCTGACATCAATCTGATAAAATATAATTTTAATCTGATGAGTGCTGTATTGTGGCTGAACTGAGCTTTGACCGTTTACATCAATTTTTTTGCAAAATCCCAAGTGTGCAAGAGGCATTTATTGATAGCTATGGTTCAGATGGCAAACAAGCATGGTGGTTTAAATTTCAAATCAATATTGACCACCCTTTAGCATGGCAAACTGTGCAAGAACTGGGTCACGTTCTAAATTATATTTCTAAAAATGAACGTCTTCCGACTCAGTTTTTACCTGTTTCTCCTCCTCCTTATATGAATGGTGAAGCGAAACAATTTTTAGCTTGGGTGATTCAATGTAACCATGCAGATTTTTCACCCGATGTGGTGTGTGACTGGTTAGAGGCACGTTTACCAAAACCTGTAGATGATGAAAGCAAATGGAAAATCAAAACTGATTTACATGAGTTAGATCATATTTCAAATAAAGATTTGGATGAGTTAGTGCCACCAAATCCAAAAAACTAAATAGAAAGCGACAGCTAAGCACACATTTCAATTCGTTAACCGTCCCCTTCGCAGCGACAAGCATAGCTTACTTTGAAGGGGGAGGTTTTAAAAATGCTTAACTGATCAACACTAAGGTTGAAGAACTGAGTTTATCTTTTTCGGTTCTTAGATTCAGTTTCAGTACGCTCAGCATCATTATTGATGCTTTCAATCAAGCCACCTAAATTATTGTTGAACTGGGCTCGCATTTGAATATATGTTTTTAGATTTCTCGCTTTGATCGGATCCTTTATTGTGCCCTTGCCTGTTTGATACGCTTCTAGGGCTTTACTTTGCGTATCTTCTTCAGATGATCCATTTTCATAAGCCAAAACAGCCCAACGATAATCTTCTGGTTCATCTTCGATGCGTGCCAAATTATCCATTGCATTGACAGACCCTAGTTGAGCAGCTTGTTTAAAATATTTTTGCGCAAGTGCTTCATCATAGCCTTCATTTTCTTCGTTATAGTACCAAACACCGAGATAATTTATTGCATCAGGATCGTTTTGTGCTGCAGCTTGTTTTAAATAAATTAGACCTTTATTAATATCTATTTGTTTTTCTTCATCTGACCATAAATAGTCAGATCCAAGTTCTGTTAATGCCACATGATTATTTAATTGCGCAGCTTTTAGATACAAATTCTGCTTATCTTTATCCGCATCTTTTTTTAATGCAAGCATCAAATACGCATCACTCGCACCTTGAGATGCTTGTTTTTGATAATGCGTTAAAACCTCATTTTCGAGCTGTTTAATATCCTTTTCTGACAAGTATGAGTCAGCAGCATAATCTTCAAGTAATTTTATTTTTGCTCCAATATCACCTTGATTCGAACGTTGCTGAAGCATTTGAAAATGAGCTAAATCACTATCTTTATGATCTTTTTCATAAGCAGCTTTCGTCTTGGCACCCAGTTTTTTTAGAATGTTTTCTGGACAATTCTGGATACTAGATCCCGCCCACAATAAATCCCCCTGCTGTACTGCTTTATATAACCATTTACACTGTTCATCACTGTAATCATCATTCCCATTGTCTAATGCAAGCACGAATGTACGTATGGCTTCAACATCACCTTGTTCAGCAAGTTTTAAAATTTGTGGACGAATTTTTATTAGTTTTTGCCTGATATCATTAGAAATACCAAAACCTTCAGTTATACCCGCTTCTAAATCTAATGATAAATATGCGTCAAAATTACCACGTTGAGCAGCTTCCAAACGCAGCTGTTTATATAAATGACTATTTTCAGGTAAAAAACGATAATCTGCTGAATTAGAATAATATTTTGAAAGTAGAAAATAAGCCTCTGCATCACCTTGATCTGCAGCTTGTCTGAATAATTGAATGGCTTTGTCAATATTGATTAAGACCGTTGGACTACCTGTTTGCAATGTTTTTGCTTGAACTACTAAAGCATTCTCTGCAAAACTAAGTGGTGAAATAAACAGACTCAGTGTAAGTAATGATTTTAAAAATGATGTTTGTAATGTTTTCATTTAAAGCTCAGCTTTGTTATTAAAAAATCTACCAAGCTTTAAATTATGTACCGAAATCTCTTCATTTCGATACATATTTTTTTGAATAAATCAAAACGTCGACAAACCACTCCATTCCATAAAACGGTAAACCCCGTATTTAAGTTTTGATTCATCAGCATATTTACTGTAATCCACACTCATTTGACGACCATTTAAGTTTGACCAAGCCGTATTAAAGTACTGTTCAGCATCGATAAAGACTTGTTGTTGTGGATTGCCAACCACACGTAAATCAGTTTCCAAATTATAATTTTTTAAATTACGTGCGGTAAAGTTGGCAGAACCTAAAATCATTTCCGCAGATTGCGCATTATGCTTTACGATCATCTTACTATGGCACTGCTCACCTTGAGTATTACACCAACGTACATCAATCCCTGCGTCATTTAACTCTGAAGCCACTTGACGGTTTGGGATACCATTTTTTTGACGACCAAATGCATCTTTATTCGGATCAAGCAAAATACGTAATTTCACTCCACGTTGCTTGGCAGCTACTAAACCTTTAACAATTTGGCGCTCTGACAAATAGAACATGGCTAAATCAATTTGATCATTGGCTTTTGCTGACGCCAACATGTTTAAAACTGCATCATAAATTGCTTTTTCAGTGAGTACTTGAACCTGAGGATCATTTGGATTTTTAGGTAGTTTGCCAAATGCAACAAAAGGCGTATCACCTCCCGACATATGCGCGACGGTTTGTTCAGTATTTAAAATATCTGTCGCAGTTGCACCGTCAACCATTAATGCAATATTGGAGTGACGTGAACTACCATCATGAGGATTGGCAGATGTGACGATGGTTTTCCAACCTTCTGCGGTATCAACCACAATGGTTTTACGATGATTGGCTTTAAAATTAAATAAATTTAAATAACTACGGACTGTAATTTTTTCTTCGCCAAATGGATTATTCAGCCAGCCTTTATTTGGGTTATTGCCAATATCCTGACAGCATAAATACCATATCCCAGACCAAGTAGGATTAGATGCGCGGAGTGGTGTTAAATTCGTTTCAATCACGTCAATACCACCTAAACGTAATTGACGATATTGTTCAGGCTGAATTCCACCATAAACAGAATTGATTGGATCGGTAATAAACTTAATTTCTAAGCTTGGGTTTACAATTTTTTCATTAATCAAGGCTTGGGTTAATTGCTTGGTTAATTCTCGTTGCTGAACTTTAGAATCGCCGACTTCACTGTTAAATAGAAACATATCGATCACAATGGTGGTCTTGGCTTGCTTAATCAGCTGTAACACCTGATCAAAGATATGTTGATCAAGTTGCTGCTTCCCTTGCGCATCAATATAGGTTTCATCGGCAATAAATTTTACATTGGCGTGACGCAATGGTCCGGTAAAATTTAGCCCTTTAGGAAGCGGTTTATAAACATGATAAATCGCAGATGAGAGATATCCTAAGGCTAATATGCCGATAATAATGCCGAAATAGCGACGTTTTGACCAATTCAGTTTGTTTTGAATTTTATTGAAGATACGCATAAGAAAAGACCTAGACCAATTTAGGGTCTGTCAACATTTCATATATAACTTGCGTTGTCGGCTAAAATTGAGCAAACGAGGCATGAAATGAAGAGAATAGCGAGACTATTTTCAAGTTTCATAACGATGTTTGAGATAATTTTAACCACAACCCTGAGCAAAAAACAAAGCACTGCTTTGTTTGCAGCGCAAGGCGCAGCAGAAACGACTAGAGTGTTTTTGATGCTACATCGTTATGACCTACTCATTTAGATCACTAAATTTCATAGTTCATGCCTTGTACCTTCTAAAACACTCGTTGTCGCAAATACAGATGAAGTATTGGCAGACCCTTAGAGCCTAGGTCGAATTCCTTTATTTTTCAATAACGATTTGGTGAATGATTGCAAATAATTAGAACTTATAGTCCATACCTATGACAAAGTTACGTCCAATTTGCGGAATATTCGATAAGAAAGAAGTGTGTTCATAAATCTTCTCGTCCAACAGGTTGTTGGCTTTAAAGAATACTTTCGCTTCTTGTTTGTTGGCCAAAGGATACTGATAAGCAACGCCTAGGTTCACCATGTTATAACCTTTGGTTTCTTGTTCATAAGACGCAAATTTATCTTGATTAAACACATGTGAATATTCTGCTGAACCAGACCAACGCTCATCAAACTCAGCATTTACACGAGCACCTAAACGACCAGCAGGAACACGCGGTGCATTTTCATCTTCAATTTTACCGCGTACATAGTCGCCAAACAGACTGGTTTTATACACATCATTCCACTGATAAGCGACTTCACCTTCTGTCCCATAGAACTTGGCTTTATCTTGACTATATTTGATCAGACGGAAGTTTTCGTATTGATCCAAAGTTTTGGCATAAATGTAGTTATCAAACCAATTTTGATAGACATGTACATGATAGCTCAACTTGTCATTATCATAATGGAGACCTAATTCCACATTATTTGACTTCTCTTTATTTAAATCTTGATTGCCCAACTCATAAGTGTTGGTCGCATAATGCTTTCCATCAGCATAAAGTTCTTGTGCTAAAGGCAATCGTTCTTGATGAGAACCCGTTAAAGAGAGCGTGTAATTTGGTGCAAATGCCCAATTCACAGCACCAGAATATGAGAATGCATTGCCATCAAAGTCTTTTTGATCTGAGTCGACATCCACTGTTTGATGATCAAAACGAGTCCCTAATTCCACATGAAAATCACCAAATTGGCGATGCTCTAAGCCAAATACACTATATTTTTGGGTTTTATTTGGTGCAAGAACCGCTTCTTCACCTGTGATATCTAATTTTTGCTGGCTGGCTTGGACACCCCACACGCCTTCCCAAGCAGCAATCGGATTGTGTAACAACTCAACACGACCTTCATAACCTTTGCTCTTGAAGGTTGTCATTGCTGTACTTCCTTCAATTTCATCATGTTGATAGTCGGTATAACTTGCTTGTGCACGAAGTTTTTTAAAGCCTGCAAAAGGTTCATTGAGCTCAGAACGGAAATCATAACGTTCTGTTTTCATATCAATCCATGGCCCAGCTTCAGCGTGATCATGGTCTTCTTCACCATGATCATGGTCATGACCCGCATGGTCGTCATCATCGTGCCCACCACAATGAAGTGATAAGCCATGTAAATGGCATGACTCATATTCATGGCTATGCCCAGGTAAACCGTATTGATCTTGGCGATTGCTATAAGACACGCCAGCAAAACCACGCTCGCCGATCCAAGATAAGCCAACATTTACATTTTCAGACTCTGAAAATGTATTGCCAACTCGACGCTCTTTCGTACTATGAGCATGATCACCATGCTCTTCTGTTACGATATAGTTCGGGGTAATGTAATCATTGGCGTCACGTTTTAAGCCTTCTACACGTAATGCAACATTTGAACCTAATCCAACAGTCACCCCAGCATGTGCCATTTTTTCGTCGTTGCCTGTGTTATAACGCAGACCAACATTGCCTTCATAACCATTTTCAGGCATTGCTGTCGGAATCTTACTGTCAACCACATTGACTAAACCACCCACAGACCCAGCCCCATATAATAATGTTGATGGTCCACGAATGACTTCAATTTTTTGTGCCAGCTGCGGATCTACAGTGACGGCATGATCGGGTGATAAGCTTGAAACATCCATTGTCTCTGTTGCATTCTGAGTCACTTTAACCCGTGCACCCTCTTGCCCACGAATTACAGGGCGACTAGAACCCGCCCCAAAGGTATTGGAATAGACCCCTAATTCATCTTTGAGTGCTTCACCTAAAGTCGTGCCAGCCTGTTGTAGTTTTTCACGTGAAACAGTTTCATCTGCAACACCAAAATCTTGACTTGAACGGACCAAGGGATGTCCAACAACGGTAATGGTTTCTAATTGTTGTGGATTTTTTTCAGTATTGGTTTGATTTTCCGCCCAAATAGAAGTAGAAATAACTGCAGAAATGGAAAGTGTTAGGGCACTTTTGGTAAAGGACATGCGATTGCTCTCAAAGCTCAATATTCTTGAATTATGTTATATTATAACATTTCAATATTTTTGCAATAAAAAACATTCGTTCTTTGGTTTTTATATAGAATCAGATCAAAACCATTGCTTAACTTTTTAATATTCTAATGCCCTTTACACTTTCACATGCTGTTTTAGCGCCACCTTTGTCCAAACTTTCAGGAAATCGCTTGCCGATTGCAGCACTTGCGATTGGCACAATGACACCAGATTTGTATAGAGTGTTGGTTAAAACTGAAATTTATTTAAATCATCAATTTAAAGGAATTATCTATCCAGATTTATTGGTGGGATTACTGTTCTGCTTAGTTTGGTATAGCTTATATCGCCCATTATTATTTAAGTTTTTAGGCATTCAAAAACCATTAAATATTGCTTGTTTTTCAACTTTTTTTCAATTTCTAATTTGGATGGTATTGGCGATTATCTTAGGTACAGCAACCCATATTATTTGGGATGGTTTAACCCATTTAGATTTTCGAACTTTCGCTTTTAAAGAATTTTTAGCGCAACCCGTCAGTATGTTTGATCGTATTTACCCGATGCATAAAGTCCTACAAATCGGCTGTTCTGCTGCGGCTTTACCGTTTTTAATGTGGATGGGTTTGCATTACTTTTTTAAATATAGCGTCAGTCAAATACGAAATCCTAAAGTAAATTTTTTCTGTATAAGTTTATTTGTAACTGCGTTTTTTAGTGGTTGCTTGTATTATGTTTATATTGCCAAAAGTACAGGCTTCATTCCACAGGATACTGATTTATATGTACTGATTGGCTTTTTTATGAAAGCCTTTACCCAAGGTTCAATCCTTTGTTTCACTTTAGGTTGTCTTTTGTTTCATTATTTAAATGATAAAAAATATTTTCAATGATGCTCTATTTGCCGTTTCAGTCACTGAAACTTTCTCGAAATCAGCTTAAATTTATTCGGCAACATGTTAGTTTTTGCCCCAAGTCCTTGTGACTCACCGCTCAAAGAGGCATAATCTCACATTACATTTTTAGGCGATGCGCTGTTTACGTACTCGCTTCCTTAACCCATATAGTTGGATTTTTAACGCTATGATGCGAACTCATTATTGCGGTTCTTTAACCGAAGCTCAAATTGACCAGACTGTAACACTTTGCGGCTGGGTACATCGTCGCCGTGACCACGGTGGGGTGATTTTCCTTGATATGCGTGATCGTGATGGTCTCGTTCAAGTCGTCATCGATCCAGATACCCCAGAAGCATTTGCAACTGCAGATAAAGCACGTTCAGAATATGTATTAAAAATTGTAGGACGTGTACGTCGTCGCTATGAAGGCACCGAAAATGCCAATATGGTGAGTGGTCAAATCGAAGTTTTAGGTAAAGAAATCGAAGTTCTTGCTGCATCTGAAACTCCACCATTCCCATTGAATGATGAAAATGCCAATATTTCTGAAGAAATCCGTCTGAAATATCGTTTCCTCGATATTCGTCGTCCAGAAATGATTGATCGTTTACGTTTCCGCTCTAAAGTGACCACGTTAATTCGTAACTACTTAGATGAAAACGGCTTCTTGGATGTTGAAACACCAATTTTGACACGTGCAACACCTGAAGGTGCGCGTGACTATTTAGTGCCTAGCCGTGTTTCAAATGGTAGCTTTTATGCGCTTCCACAATCACCACAATTGTTTAAACAATTGTTGATGGTTGGTGGTGTAGACCGTTATTACCAAATCGCAAAATGTTTCCGTGACGAAGATTTACGTGCAGATCGTCAACCTGAATTTACTCAAATCGACATCGAAACATCGTTCTTAAACGATGATGATATTATGGATTTGATGGAAGGCATGACCGTTAAGATGTTCAATGAACTTCTTGGTGTGAAATTCGACAAATTCCAACGCATGACTTATGCAGATGCTATGCGAGATTATGCATCTGACAAACCAGACTTACGTATTCCTTTGAAACTTGTAGACGTTGCTGACATGATGCAGGACGTTGAGTTCAAAGTATTTGCAGGCCCAGCAAAAGATCCTAAAGGCCGTATTGTTGCACTTCGTGTACCAGGAGCAGGTTCACTGCCACGTAGCCAAATTGATGAATACACTAAATTCGTTGGAATTTATGGTGCGAAAGGCTTGGCTTATATTAAAGTCAATGAACTTGAAAAAGGTATCGAAGGTCTTCAATCCCCAATCGTTAAATTCATCGAACCAATCGTGCTTGATTTGTTAAAGCGTGTTGGTGCTGAAAACGGTGACATCGTATTCTTTGGTGCAGATAAAGCCAAAGTTGTAAATGATGCAATTGGTGCTTTACGTATCAAGATCGGTCATGACATGAACATGTCAACAACCGAGTGGGCACCACTTTGGGTGGTTGACTTCCCAATGTTCGAAGAAACTGATGATGGTAAATGGACGTCTGTTCACCACCCATTCACACTTCCAAAATCAAGTGTTGAAGAAGTGAAAAGTAATCCTGGTGCAGCACTTTCTGTTGCTTACGATATGGTATTGAATGGTACTGAAATCGGTGGTGGTTCATTGCGTATCTACACTTTAGAAATGCAAAAAGCCATTTTTGAAGCTTTAGGTATTGGCGAAGAAGAAGCTGAAGAAAAATTCAGTTTCTTATTAAATGCTTTAAAATTCGGTGCACCTCCTCATGGTGGTTTAGCATTCGGTCTAGACCGTTTAGTGATGTTGATGACAGGTTCATCGTCTATCCGTGACGTGATTGCTTTCCCGAAAACTAAAACTGCTGAGTGTCCATTAACTCAAGCACCAGCACCAGTTGAACCAAATCAATTGCGTGACTTGGGTATTCGTTTACGCGAAAAACCGAAAGCTGAAGAAGCTAAATAATTTTTAGCTGTTTCATCGAAAACCCTGCGCTATGCAGGGTTTTCTATTTTTCATATGCATTTTTTTAGATAGGTTCTAATTGAGATAAGTTCTCATAAATGGCATACTATCGCTGTTAACTTTTGAGGTGAAAACCTATGGCTATGCGACCTAATGTACTTCGTCATACAATTATTATCATTGTATTTTCAGTGGTTCAATGGGGATTTATGCGTTATATCCTAAGCCATCAGTTGTTTAATTTAGATACTTATCAACGTATTCTATATTTCAGCATGAGCAGTTTTATTGCTGGTTTCTTTATTATTTCAGCACTAATTTATTTGGTGTTGAAAGGCAATGCTGATCGCGACTAATAATAATTAAATGTATAAGCTACTTAAAACTTTCTCTCAATTACCTCTAGGGATGATACAAAGTATTGCTAGAGGTGTCGGGAATTTATTGTTTATCAGTAATTCTTCAGCAAAACGCACCACTGAATTGAATTTAACAGCAGCGTATCCCGAGCTTGATGAACAACAACGTAATCAACTGATTAAAGCCAGTTTAAAAAGTCAATGTATGACTTATGCAGAGTCAATTAAAATTTGGGGATCTTCTCCAGAATTCGCCTTAGCACAAATTAAACAGGTCTATAATGCTGAGATTTTTCTCAATGCCTTAAAGAACCCCAATGGCTGTATTGGTGTGGTACCCCATTTTGGGGCATGGGAGCTCATGAATGCGTGGATCAACCAACATACTCATCCCGTTATCATGTACAAGCCAAGCAGAAATAAAGACTTAGATCGGTTTATGTTAGAGTCACGCCAACGCTTAAATGCAACACTAGTACCCACTGATGATACTGGTGTACGTGCATTATTTAAACATTTAAAACAAGGTGGGTTTACAGCCATCCTTCCCGACCATATTCCTAAAGAGTCTGGGGGTATTTATTCTGACTTTTATGGGCAAAAAGCATTTTCTTCAACTTTGCTTTCAAAGCTTGCTGCAAAAACCCAATGTTCAGTTGTAGGTTTAACCTGTGTTCGCCGCCCTGATTTCTCAGGTTTTGATTTACATTTTACTGCACTATCTCAAGATATTAATTCTAAAGATTTACAGCTTTCTGTCGATACCTTGAACAAAGAAATGGAGCGAATGATTAATATCGCTCCTGAACAGTATTTATGGGGCTATAAACGATTTAGGAAGTTAGAAGGAGGCAGGAATTTGTATAAATAAGTTGAGCATTGAGCCATATTTACTCAATGCTTTGCACTTCCGTTAAGATCATTTTTCTTAGGTCTTCTCTGAACTTTTCAACATTATGCCTATCTTTAATATACTGGATTGCTTGTGTTCCAAGTGTATTACGCATCTCATCATCTGACATGAGTTTCTGAATCGCCTTAACAAATAGATCAATCTTATCAAATCCATCGCCTAAAACATCTCCGACATGAATACCAAATTTTTCAGTTAAATCCTCAGGATTTCGATTACTCACAAGTAGAGTACCAAAAGATAAAGCCTCTAAAAATGAAATCGGCAAAGCTTCATGAATAGAAGTGTTTACCAGTATTTTAGCATCTCTTAAATACTCTTCTTTTTTATCACCATCAACATGACCAGCAAAATGTAAATTTTCGATTGCATAATAATCCTTCATAATCTCAGAGTTTTTATCATCCTCTCTAAATGTTTGCCCTAATATATAGAACTCATATTGCGGCAATTTTTTTGCAATCTCACAAAAAAGCCATCCACGTTTAACAGATTCAATTCGTCCTAAAAAAATAATCATTTGTTTTTTTTGATAAGTCTCAAAATTAAACTCATGTGAAATATCAATTGGGTTCGGTAAATATTGAATTGAAACATCATCATTTAAAGCATATAAATCCTTTGCTTTTTGATTTAAAAAGTAACCTTGTGAAGCAAATTTTACCCGCCCTGCTTTATACCAATCATGTACAAGATCATAAATTTTTTGGTTATAATAATTAGTTTCTGGAAAAAGCTTTACTGTATTAATTTCGTCCCATTCATAATGTGGTCTTGGATCTTGAATCCATAGAATCATTTTTTTATTTTTATTCCGTTCATTTTCTAAAATATAGCTATATGTTAACTCAATACTTAAATAGATGTCGTAGTTTTGTTTTGCTAACCAATGTCTAGCAAACCATTTTCTTCTCGGTAAACGATAAACGTTACTATCATCTACTTGATATGATTCAGCAAAAAAATCTCGCTTACCTCGACCAAGTAATACGTCCACTTGAAAATCTTCATTAGGAATATATTTAGCAATATGTCTTCTCGCTAAAAATCCATAACCACCATAAGCTGTACCAACCGCCCCAAAAAACTCATCTATAATTAGACCGATTTTAATTTTTTTCTTTACTGAATGCATTTTATAACTTCACTCTATCTTTAAATTTCATTTTTAAACATTCTTGCTAAAATACAATTTTCATCAATTTTATCTATGTCAATTGCTCTCAATATCTCATTATATAAATGTACACAACTTGTTCTTGAACTTGTAACATCCTCTATATTTAATAGCGGATCAGTCAGTAAATTAATGCAATCATAATGAACAGGATAAAAGATATCGATCGGTTGTACTTGATTTAATAAGTTTAATTCTTTCACAAAATAAGTAATAGCATCTGGACCAATTACCCCCCATGGCATATCTGCAATGTTTTGTCCTATACCGAAAGTTTTCTTAAGTTTTAATCTTCTTTGTCTCGATTTTTTATACCATGGTGGTACAAAAAATGGATTATATGCAGCATTCAATAAAGATGTTAATAATTGACTTTCATGAGGTAATGCTAAAACCGCCCCATTTATTTTATTATTACTTTCAAAACCCAATAAATAATTTGATGGTGGAATTATTACAGGTTTTAAGCAATAGACATCACAATCAACATAAACACCTGAAACTTGTTTTAGTAATTCATATCGAAAAACATCGGAAAAAAGTGCATAACTTCCTGTCCGATTATGTTTAAAAATTTTATTTTTTGGAATTACTGCATTTGCATCAACACACTGAACCCCTTCAGGTAAGTCTAAAATCTCACCATATGTATGTAATAAAACCTTGTGCCCCCTCAACACAAATGATCTAAGACAAGAACTTGATATTTTTCCAAGTCTATCTCCGATCCATAAAGCATGAATTATTGGAAGTTCCATGGGTATCTCACTTATCAAATATATAAATAACTCTAAACTAAACGCCTTGCATTAGTCAAAATTCAAGCAATGTTTATAAAAGTTTTATTTCGTACAGAGTGCAAAAAATTGTACTTTCAAAAAGAACTATTATTTAAACAGTATTTTTACCTTTAAAGGGAGCCTATATACCTGCAATAAAAACCTTACCAACTCTCGATTAATTTTTTTTATAATATTCTGTTCTTTATTTTTACTACAATCTCTCCACATTAAACTAGATTTAAAAGTAATATTATCTGGGTACAAAAGATATTCTTGAATACATAACGCCGGATTAATTTGATAAATAGAAAATTCGCCTTTGCTTAAGTATTTTTTAAACATAATCTGATCTATATGATCAATTAAAACTTCATTTTGAATAAATCTTAAAAGGCTATGTGCCCCTTTATTTGATAAGATATATCCTGCCGTACCAAAATTAGCATTTAATAGTTTTGAAATTACTCTATTATCACTTAAAACATGTTTATCTATTAAAGACAAATAGTTGAATTTAGAGTTTTTTTCAACCTTAATAATATTCCAATTATCTTTTATCCACTCTTCGTTACAAATAAATTTTTCAACACCGTCCCCTAAATAAATATCATCTTCAAAAATGCCTATATATTCTATATTTTCATCAATTACTTTTTGCCAAAGTGTCACATGGCTTAATAAACACCCTATTTCACCATGACTTAAAGAACTACCAGAAATTTGAATAGATAAATTTATCGCAGTTTTTTCAACTTGATTCGGTTCAATAGCGTCAAAAAAAGAAAAGGGAATGCCTCTCTCTTCAAATTGCTCTCGAATATGTGCTCTACGGTCTTCTGCTGATTTTAAACTAATAACAAAACTTTTCATAAATTACTCTATTTATTTAAAACCTACCGACTTAAAAAATAGGATACATTTTAGCTGATGTAATATGCGATAAAGCTCTAAAATAATTTTACCCACTCCCTTCTTTTTATTGTATTTCCTTCTTGTCAAACGCTCTTTATATAAATGACTGGCAAACTTAACGCTATCTTTGCATGAATACAATGTCACATCCTGAATACACAAAGCAGGTTTCATTTGGTAAACAGAAAAAATATTCTCCATGATCACAGATTCAAACATTAAGTGATCTAATGCAATTAACTTATCTAATGTCTGAATGTAGCCCAGCAATGTCTTTGCGCCATCTAAAGACAATATATAGCCAGCAGTGCCCAGATTTTTACTCTTTAGTTGAAAAATAGCTCTATTATTATGATCATTAAAAGCCTTCACTTTTTTGCCTAATGCAATTCTATGTGTAAATTCCTCTAATTTAATAAGATGCCAACTTGGATCTATCCATTGACTATCAGAAAGAAATTCAGTTACATCCTCACCCAAATAAATATCGTCTTCAAATATCGCCATATACGGGGTATTGTCATCAACCATTTTCTTCCATAAATAGGCATGACTCATAAAGCAAGCAACTTCACCTTTTGTTAGAACTTGCTCATCAATGTTTAAATGCAGCGCTTGTGCGAAAATAGCAGCAGGTTCTGGAGTTAAAGCATCAAAAAAATCAAAATCTACATTTTTTTTACCAAACTCACTCAATATATGTTGTCTACGTTCAAGTGCTGTCGATAGGCTAATAACGATTTTTTTCATAGGGATGTGACTATAAGCAATAGCTCTATTTTACTATTTTTTTGTCGTACTAGCATCCTTACTTACATAGTTTCCTAAGAAATATCGAGAAAACTACCTTCGAAATACATTTTCTTTGAAAAATAATGACTGAGTGTTTTTCGTTCCTTCCCTGCCAGTTTTAACAATTTAGGCGCTTCGGCTGGCGGATAATTAATAGCAAAATCAATCAAAATCTTTTCTTTTACCCACTGATTTTTCACTTGATAAAAAAAAGCATTTTCATCGCAATCAATCAAAGTAATACTTGGGAAAGATTTTCTAAGTATTTTTTGGCAAGCAACATAGGCCACTAAATATTCTAAATTACCAATTCTTTGAAAAATATCTTTGCTGTTTTCTTGGGTATTTCGAATATTTTCTACATAACGTTCAGGTGTTTGTTGAATTGCTAAATATAATTCATCATACCAATATTTAAAAAAAACATTATTTTGAACAGTTGCCAACAACCAATTTTCCAATACTGGATAATCGATCTGCGTGGTATTTTTTTTACGATAATAAGAAAAACATTCCGTCTGATTCTTTCGCATCAATTCAGAAATCCAGTCTAGATTTTCATAGACAATAATACTGGCATCTAACCAAATCCCGCCATGCCGATATAACAGATCAAATCTGAGTAAATCAGCCTTTTGTTGAGGCGTCGCCCCCTTCAATAAAGAAAAATCAATATCACTATACTGGCTGACATTTTCAGGATTAAGTACATACACTTGATAAGATTGATTTTTTTCTTGAGTATTTTGAATACACTTTTCAACAAACTCAGGAAAATCACCTTCCCAATACACCCATATCTTTTTAGGTAATTCAATGGGTGAAGAAACAGGATTAAAAATCAGTTGTCCTGCATAATTATCAATTTTTTGATTGGTATGTCTAATTTTGTAATAGTACATCATATGAAATTTAGTTAAATAAAATAATTTTTTAAAAATTTTCATATAAAAAATCCAATATTTTTTACAAAAAAACAGAACCAATAAAATTTAAACTATACAGCATTTAAAATATTCATTACGTCATTTACTAGAACATCTTTGTACACTTAAAAATAAAGGTGTTTAAATGCATACATCCGATCACGCCACATACGTTTTTGCTTCTTAAAACCATAAGAATCGTCACGATTTTCTTTCTCTTTACGAGATATTCCTTGTGTTGCAACTGTACCTAAAATATCGCTATCTAGACCTGCTGGGCGAACAAAAGCAGGCCAAACACCTAATCCTTTTCCATTCTTACTCAACCAAGTTTGGAAAAAGATATCAACAGGCATAGCAATTGTTTTACCTTGTTCAATAAACGCTTCAGCACCTTTACGTGACCAAATTAAGCCCAAGCCACGAATAGGAAAATAATAAGCATGCCACAATGAATAGTCACCTAACTGAGTAATATCTTTGGCTAACTTTTTCTTCTTTGCCGCTAAATTTACCAGATACCAATCTAGCGCTTGATGGCGATCTAAATAAGCTAAAACTTGATCCATAGATTGTTTGAAATTAGCTGTAATTTTCATATCATCTTCTAAGACAACAAGATAATCCGCATCACTTGCTAAAAATTTCTGAGCGCAGCCATAATGACTGAGATAACAACCCAGTTCTGAATTGAGCAAACGTCTTCCAAGAGTTTGCTGCGTCAACGCATCATCATAATCCTGAAAAGATGACAATTCTTTGCCGCGTCCATCATAAGCAGAAAAACGCTCAAACTCCCAGTTTACCGCCTGTAATTGTTCTGTTGCGCGAGCAAGCCGCTCATCACTACCATCTAAATTGATCAGATATGTTTTAACTTTCATGATTGGCTTCCTACGATAAAACTTTGGCTGAAATAACTGATTTAGGTAAATAGTCATATAATTTATCGATCATTTTACGACGTACCTGTGCAGCATTCTCAGAATTCAGTTGATCTAAACTTTGGATACAACCATATTTAATATTGTCTTGGTTCAATGCGTCTACAAACGCAGCTAAGCTTTCAGCATTTTTCAAATAAGCCAAAGCTAAATCAGGCTTTAAAACAGCTTCATTTTTTTGAATCTTTAAATGATTCATCAATGAAATCGGATTTAATTGTTCGACACTTCTAAACTTATACTTAATCTGTGTTTCTAGTAGGTCTGGATGACACAATAAATATTCACTTAAAATTTTACGATCGACACAGTGTGGATAATGGTGGATTTCAAAAAACTCTTTAAAGCCTAAAATATCAGCACCCAGCATTTGTGCAATCACATGACCAGGTTGAATCGGTTTATTAAAATTACGATTTAAAAATTGACGGTATTTCAGCTTGGTCTTGTAACTAAAGCAACTTTTCCAGTGTCCATAGGTGACGATTTTATCGCTCTCAAGAAAATCTTCAATTTGAGCTGGCGAATTAAAAAAGAAGTCATCATTTAAGTAGATAAAATAATCTGAAAGCCCGTTGATATTCCATAACATGCTTTCAATTGACCGGGTGTTAAACGTGGGTAGAAATTGCGTATAACCGGCAAAAATCTCACGATGATCAACGATACGAATTTTATTTGCATCACAAAGACCTTGCGCTACAAATTCATTTAAAAATTCAGGCTGCTGATTATCTGTAACAATGAAAATATGACGGCAAAAAGGCACATACTTCAATATAGATGCAATGTTGTAATAGATCTCATCATTACTGGCAAAACGTGTATCGCTCACAGCATCTGAGGCATCACCACCTGTGAGATATTGCTGACGTTTACGTTTTAACTCAACATCATTGCCATCGACCCAAGCAATCACGATATCAAGGTTTTGCATCTATATTATTCTCAAATGTTCTAATCATCTAAATAAAGTTATTGCCAAGCGTCTTTAATCCAGTCTGAAGGCAACACATAGCGATACCATTTACCCCCACCACCTGTCACGGCATCAGGTGGATTAATTTCCCCATGGAAAATAATGATTTTGGCATCTTGTGGCTTGACTGGTGGCTTAAAATAAGCCAATGGTAGCTTTTGTAAACAATGGTATTTATAACTCTTACACCAATCTTTTGGCCAGTAGCTGAGTTTCTGCTGCTGATCGACATACCAAGACAGATATTCTTGTTCATTTCGAAATTTATGACTAATTTCTTTAAAGTTTTCACGAAAATAAGGCAAGATGTCAGGAAAAGTACCCAATTTAAAACGATAAACTGAACTATTGCCAGTCACACGCCAAGGACGTTTCCAGTCGTGAATGATGAGGAATTCACCTGGATAGCTAAAGAAGTCATCAATGTTGTCTACAATGACCACATCAAGATCTAAAAATAATAAATTACCTTTTAAACCATATAAATCAGGTTCAAAAGTCGATAACTTATTCCATCCACGTTCAGGACTTCCTTCAGGCAATGCTAACGGCGGAATTGGAAAGCATTGAACCTCTGGATTAATACCTTCTGTACGGTCAGTCAAACACACCATTTGGAAATCAATTGTGGTATGTCGTTTGACCATGTTATATAGGCGATTGACATAATCAGCACCATATTTGCTGCCCCACTTCATACACAAAACGATATTCTGTTCTGATTCAACTAAATTCGACTGTAAATTTGATTCATTGACCTGCATGCATCAATCTTCCACCTGAGCAATCCCTATATCATACCATTACCATCGCCAAGTTACTGTATTCGATTGCATATGCTGAACAATTTGTTTCATGAGAATATGCTATGATGCGTTAACAATTTACATTGATCATGATCATTTTAATTGTTCGATATTTTATTGAGCAATCTTTTTTGAATGAACGCTCTGTGAAATTGAATACAACTTTTGCAAGCACATTTTCTATATTAGGTTTTTATGAAAATAGCAGTCGCTGGAACAGGTTACGTTGGCTTATCCAATTCAATGATATTTGCACAACATCATGAAGTTGTTGCAGTAGATATTTTAGAATCTAAGGTTAACTTGCTCAACAATAAAATATCGCCCATTCAAGATGCGGATATTTCATTATTTTTAAAAGAAAAATCATTAAATTTTACAGCCACGACAGATTATCAAGCAGCTTATCGCAATGCAGATTTTGTGATTATTGCGACCCCAACGGATTACGACACCAAAACCAATTATTTTAATACGCAAAGTGTCGAAAGCGTGGTTCAGCAAGTCTTAGAGGTCAACCCAAATGCAGTGATGGTGATTAAATCAACTGTCCCTGTCGGCTTTACCAAGAGCTTAAAAGAAAAATTCCACACTGAAAATATTATCTTTTCTCCAGAATTTTTACGTGAAGGAAAGGCATTGCATGACAATTTGTACCCTTCCCGTATTATTGTTGGGGAAAAATCTGATCGCGCAAAACTATTTGCTGACTTATTGATCGAAGGCGCCATCAAAAAAGACAGCCCTGTTTTATTTACTGACGCAACTGAAGCTGAAGCAATTAAGTTATTTGCCAATACCTATCTCGCTATGCGCGTTGCCTATTTCAATGAACTGGATACCTATGCGCAAATTTTTGGTTTAGATACTCATCAAATTATTGATGGTGTTTGTCTAGATCAACGTATTGGTAACCACTATAACAATCCGTCATTTGGTTATGGTGGCTATTGCCTACCCAAAGACACCAAACAACTTTTAGCTAACTATAATCACGTTCCAAGTAATTTGATTCAAGCCATTGTTGACTCAAACAGTACGCGTAAAGACTTTATCGCAGACTCAGTGATTGCACGTAATCCCAATAAAGTTGGTATTTATCGCCTAGTGATGAAAAGTGGTTCAGATAATTTTAGAGCGTCCGCAATCCAAGGTGTGATGAAACGCATCAAAGCCAAGGGAATTGAAGTGATTGTCTATGAACCAACTTTACAAGAAGATGAGTTCTTTAAGTCCAAAGTCGTCAATGATTTAGAACAATTTAAACAGCAAAGTGACGTGATTATTGCCAATCGGGTTTCTAATGACTTAAGTGATGTATTAGATAAAGTCTATACACGAGATATTTTCGGAGCAGATGAATGAAAGTCCTCGTCACAGGTGCAGCAGGTTTTATTGGCTTCAATGTTGCAAAAAAACTTTTAGAGCGTGGTGATGATGTTGTCGGCTTTGACAATATGAATGATTACTATGATCCCGCATTAAAACAAGCCCGATTAGCAGTTCTTAGGGATACAGCGGCACAAACCCAGCAAACGTTCACTTTTATTCATGCCAACCTTGCTGATAAAGCAATCGTTGATCAATGTTTTCAAGATCATCAATTTGATCGGGTGATTCATTTGGCTGCACAAGCTGGTGTCCGTTACTCATTAGAAAATCCATTGAGTTATGTCGAAAGTAATTTAATTGGCTTTACCAATATTATTGAAGCATGCCGTTATGCCAAAACGCCACATTTAACCTATGCCAGTACCAGTAGTGTTTATGGTGCGAATACCACCATGCCTTTTAGTGAAAAACATGGCGTTAACCATCCAGTACAGTTCTATGCGGCAACCAAACGTGCCAATGAACTCATGGCGCACAGTTATAGCCATCTTTTCAATTTACCGACAACAGGCTTACGCTTTTTTACTGTCTATGGTCCTTGGGGCCGCCCAGACATGGCTTTGTTTAAGTTCACTAAGAATATTATTGAAGACCAACCTATTCCTGTATTCAATCACGGCAACCATACCCGCGACTTCACTTTTATTTCAGATATTGTAGAAGGTGTAATTCGTTCAAGTGATCAAATTGCGCAACCTGATCCAAATTGGGACAGCAAAAACCCTGATCTATCGACCAGTTATGCGCCTTTCCGTATTTTCAATATCGGCAATAACAATCCAGTAAAATTGATTGAATATATTCATGCTATTGAAAAAGCTTTAGGCAAAGAAGCAATTTTAGAATTACTTCCATTACAACCAGGCGATGTGCCGGATACTTTTGCGGATAGTAGTGCTTTAGAACAGATGGTCGGATACAAACCATCGGTATCTGTTGATGATGGTGTTAAGCAATTCGTAGATTGGTATCGAGATTTTTATCAGGTTTAATCAATAGTATTGTTCAGTTTAAAGCTTAATTTTAGCATTTGAATTTTGCTTTCAATTCTTTCAATACTCAAATTTAAGCACAAAAAAAGGATTCCACTAGGAATCCTTTTTAGCATTCAGCCACTTATTTTACATAAGTCAGCCAATGTGCATATTTTGGATCTTTACCTTGAACAGCATCAAAGAATGCTTTCTGAATCTTCTCAGTAATCGGACCACGTGCACCTGAACCAATTTCACGATCATCATATTCACGGATCGGCGTCACTTCAGCAGCAGTCCCAGTAAAGAATGCTTCATCACCAATATAGAATTCATCACGGGTAATACGACGTTCAACAACTTCAATACCCATATCTTTCGCAATGGTGATAATCGTTTGACGCGTAATCCCATCCAATGCACCGCCAGCAATATCTGGTGTATGTAATACACCGTCTTTGACTAAGAATACATTTTCACCTGAACCTTGGCATACATAACCTTGAGGGTCCATAAGCATTGCTTCATCATAACCAGAATGCGCCACTTCTTGGTGTGCAAGAATAGACAAGGTATAGTTACCTGAAGCCTTGGCTTTACACATAGTCACGTTAGGGTGATGGTGCGTAAATGATGAAGTTTTAACACGAATACCTTTTGCCATTGCTTCATCGCCAAGGTAAGCACCCCAGCTCCATGCAGCAACTGTCGCATGAATGGTATTATCAGTTGCAGCGATACCTAATTTTTCCGAACCAATGAAAATAATTGGGCGTAAATAGCATGACGCCAATTTATTTTCACGGACAACATCAATTTGAGCTTGTTCAAGAGTTGCTTGATCAAATGGAACTTTCATTTGATAAATTTTTGCAGAATTTAACAAACGTTTTGTATGGTCTTGGAGACGGAAAATCGCAGTACCGTTAGGTGTTTCATAAGCACGGACACCCTCAAAAACACCCATACTATAATGTAATGTATGAGTTAAGACGTGAATTTTAGCTTCACGCCAATCAACCATTTGTCCATCTTGCCAAATAAAACCATCACGATCAGCCAAATTCATGGCGCACACTCCAAATTTTTACACAATTATTCACTTTCCAAAGCGAAACTCGCTGTTGGATCAATTAATCTTTGCCATAACTTGCAAACGACCTCTCGGGTATCGTGCCAATCCGCAGCACTCACTTGCATATTATGATTTGCAAGTGCCAAACGGTGGCTCTCGGCGCGTTCACTGAGATAAGCTTGAATCAATGCGGATACATCGTCGCTGGATAAGCAACCTGCCTTTGCGGCATCTTCAAGGATTCGTACGTTGTCGGAATAATGGGCGAGATCAGGATTCGTCCCACTCCAGGCTAATACGACATACTGTGCCATAAATTCGATGTCAACGATACCACCTGCATCCTGTTTTAGATGAAAAATTCCATCTTTTTTCTGATCTTTTGAGGAACCCAAATGATCTTTCATTTTCTGACGCATGTTCAAGACTTCTTTGCGAACTGTACCCTCTTCTCTCGGTAATGTGAGAACCCTGCAACGCAATTCTTCAAATTTTGCTCTTAGGCTTTGCTCACCTGCGATTGAGCGTGCGCGAACAATTGCTTGATGTTCCCACAACCAGGCACTTTTGAGTTGGTACTGTTCAAATGCTTTTAAACTGGTGACCAATAAGCCTGCTTCACCAGATGGGCGCAAACGGGTATCAATTTCATAGACTCGACCATCTAAAGTTTGTGTGGTCATCAGAGACATAAATTTTTGCGCAACACGCATGGCAAATTCAAAGCCACTAATGGCCTTTTGACCATCAGTATCTGCTTGTTCATCCATATAATGAATAAAAACCAGATCGAGGTCTGAACCATAGCCCAGCTCAATGCCGCCTACTTTGCCATAACCAATCACAGCATAGGCCATGTGGTCTAATGAACAACGTAGGCCTTCTGCATCGACAGGATAACCATGACGCTTGGCAACCGTCTGATAAGCTAAATTTAATGTTGCAATCACAGAAACTTCTGCAATATCCGTTAAAGCATCCGAAACTTTCATCAACGGGCTTTCTGCTAGTACATCGCTTGCAGCAACGGTAAGCACATTGGATTTTTTAAATAAGCGCAATACTCGCATTTGATCTTCAACTTGATCGATTTCAATACGCAGTAATTGCTGGCGTAGTGAATCTTCCAAATAATCTCGTCGAGGCAGTTCAAAATCCATGGATAAAAACTCATCCAGCAGAACTGGATAATGTGTCAATTCCTCACAAATCCATGGACTGACTGTCGCCATTTTGACCAAACGTTGCAGCGCCCCTTTGCTTTCAATCAGCATCACCAAATACACAGTACGGCGCATTACAGATTCGACCAACGGCATCAATCGCATTAAAGCCACTTGCGGACTATTCGACTGTAAAACTGCTTCAACCAAATGTGGCCAAAATTCTTTTAAACGCTGTACAGCTTTAGCAGGCAGTTTCTTGATTGCATGACCATACCAAAACTCATGAATCAGATTTTGAGCATTACTGTCTAAGATCTCATTGAGCTGGCTTTCCAACTGACTAAAGCTTTCAATTGGAGAATCTAGCCCTTTTTCTTTAATCAAATGCTCAAATTGAAACGTTACTTTGCTGCGCTTTTGGTTGAGAAAATCAATAAAAGCATCCCAATCATCAAAAGCCAAGGTATCAATTATTCGCTGACGAAGTTCAGGCTCGGTTGGTAAAGATTGTGTTTGCTGGTCATTCAAAGCTTGAATAGCATGCTCTACACGTCGTAAGAATAGATAGGCATCTTCAAGATCCTCAACGGATTGATGATCGAGTAAGCCTGCCTCACCCAAATGTTTTAGGCTAACAAGGCATTGGCGGTCTTGTAACTCTAATTTTGCTCCGCCATAAATCAGCTGAAAAACCTGCACAATAAATTCAACTTCACGAATACCACCAGCGCCCAGCTTAATATCATCTGCAATGTTACGCCGAGCCACCTCTCGTTCAATCATGGCTTTCATTTCACGCATGGCTTCAAAAGCGGTGTAATCTACATATTTACGAAAAACGAATGGGCGGGTCATGTCCAATAAACTATCACCGTCTTGTCCACCCGTGATAATACGTGCCTTAATCCATGCATAACGTTCCCACTCACGCCCATGCTGACTTAAATATTTTTCTAAAGCCACATGACTTATTGCCAGTGCTGAACCATCCCCCCAAGGACGTAAACGCATATCCACACGGAATACAAAACCATCTGCAGTAATATGATCCAATAAATAGATCAGTTTTTGCCCCCACAAGATGCAAAATTGCTGTACATCAATACACTTACGACCATTGCTTTCACCCTGTTCATCAAAGGCAAAAATCAGGTCAATATCACTAGATAAGTTCAGCTCTTGTGCCCCAAGCTTGCCCATCCCAATGACGATCAAATCTTGAAGCTTTCCGTTATAACCCATTGGTTCGCCATGTTTTGCCAGCAAAGAAATTCGGGCAAAATCTTTTGCTGCAACGATACAGGCATCTGCAAAATCAGACAGTTCTCGTGTCAACTTCACCACATTGGTCAGTTGGTTGGCATCTTGCCAAATCCAACGAAACATTAAGCGTGCACGAAGAATACGTAAGACTTTCATCCACGTATTTTCATCTTGAATATTAACTAAATGATCGTAAACAAGTTGTTGAATTTGAGCTGTACTGAGCGATTGTTGAAATTGATCAATTGCATAATCATGTTCTAAAGTGGCTTGATGTAGACTTAATACTTGTTCTGCATACTGACTTGCATGTAATGTTTTTTGCAATTGCTCAATGTTCATTGAAAAGCCTGTACTTATGTTTTATCAGCTTATTTATAGCAGTTTGCTTTACATTTAGGGAGGTTTTTGTACTTTTCTTAAAAAACAAAGCTCAAAAAACCACCACTCACAATCAAGCTAAATTGTTCAAATATAAAATTATGAAATTTTTATTTTATCTTGCTTGATTTCAGGACAGACCAAAGTTTGATGGGTGTTTTTTGCAGCGGGTAAAGCAACAATAAAAGTCGTTCCCTCACCTGTTTTAGAGCTTACAGAGATTTTTCCATGATTGAGATCCACAAATCGTTTACATAGAACCAGCCCTAAACCTGTTCCTCGCTCCCCAATGGTACCTTTTATACTGGCTTTGATCTGTGGTTCAAACAGTTGCTCAATTTGCGACTGTGTCATTCCCAAACCAGTATCATGAATAATAATTTCTATATTTTTCCCTACTGGGTGCGCAACAATGGAAACTTTTCCAGAACCATCAGTACGGGTAAACTTCAAAGCATTTGAAACCAAATTTTGAATTACCGAGGTCACCATATTCATATCAGCAAAAACACTTAAATCCTCAGCAACATTTTCAATCAGTTGTATATTTTTATTTACTGCCAAAGGCTTAAGCACATCGTAAACGATCTTTGTGGTCTGTTTTAATTTAAAATTAATCGGGTGATAAACAAAGCGTCCACCTTCTGCCATCGCCCAATTGAGCAAATTTTCAAGTAAGGAATAAGTCGATTGCAAGGTATCATGCAGATAGTCTGCAATATCTTGTATACCGTCATCACTCAATGTTTCTCGTTCATTTGCTAAAACATCCGAGAAGCCAATTAACCCATGAAACGGCGCACGTAAATCATGTGCAATGACTTGGAAAAACTTGGTCTTACTAAAATTTAAAGCGCGTTCTTGTTCATATAACTCATAATAATCTTGAGATTCAGATTTACGCGCTAAAATCGTCACCAAACCTGAGCTAAGTTCTTCTAATAAAGCCTGCTGCTTAGTTGTAAATCTTGTATCTTTATCATCATAAAAATAAACATGTGCAATAGAGTCATCATCTTCTAACTTAAAGTCATAGCACAATAAACGTTGGTGTTTTATCCCAATTTCGCCCATATATTGTGAGAATTTTTCATAATTTTTATGGCTTTCTGAAACGATGAGCTGATTGCCAAAATACGGTGATAAACTCAGTTTATGCGGAACTGACGCAGCTTTGAAATCACTGCCTTCATTTGCAACCCAAATATAAGGCTCGTTATGAAAAGTAAAAAAAGCATTTTCTACATTGAGAACGGCACGCGCTACACGCAAATAGCGTTCAATTTTATTATTTGAGGTATAGACCCCTAAAATCAGCGATAGTCGACAAGCACTGAGCTGTTCGGTCTGATGAGCTTCTAAGAATTCTAATTTCATGTTTACCTCATTTGCACTTTCAGTTAACACGTTAGTTATTTAAATCGCCCACTTTTAAATATCAATTGCTTCCAAATACATCAAAACTTAAGACAGATTGCAAAACACAGCTTTGGAAGAGCACTTACAAATGTTCACATAAAACAATATAACAGCAATAGAATCAAATAAAAACAATGGGGTGAAAATTTCGATAAATTTCACATTTTTTTCAACATGAGCAATCAGTTACAACCTTATATATTTTTATGATTTGAATAGAAAAAACTAAGCATTTTATAAAAGCCAATGGTTTAAAACATGGTGATCAAATTAATAAATTAGATATCAACCTATTGGCGTCTATAGCCAAGTTTAGGGATGCAGAAGTCGCTGTAAAAGACAAAATAGTAAAATTTGGCATCAACCAGAGCAAGGATATACCTTGAATGAGTCAGGAAATACGTTATTTTTAATTTATTAAAAAGAGTATTTCAAATAAATAAACCACACCATACAAGATCATAAAAATCAGAGATAGCAGAGTTAAATTTAAAATGAATTTGAGTATTTTATACGTCTTGAAATGCTTTTCACGAAATTGTATTGAATACTGTCTAAATGGCGCAAAAAATTTAAAAATCGCACTATACAGCCCTCTTTTATCTTCAGGCGTGTTTGGAACAACGGTACCTTTGACAAGAATACGATAAGCACTGTTAAAAATTCGTCCGAATATGTTCATCGGACGATCAACATCACACATCAGAATTAAACGCGCTGAATTTGCTGTGTTATATGCAAAATGTGGATAGGTTTCATCAAAGACAAAATCTTTACCATCAAACCAAGTACGGGTTTGCCCATCAATATTAATTTGGCAATTTTCAGAGTTAGGTGTCAGCAAACCGAGATGATACCTAAAACTACTACCAATAGGATCAGCGTGTAAGCTCAGTTCAGAACCTGCTGGTAACAGTGAAAACATGGCACCTCGAATAGCAGGGACTTGATTAAGTAATGCCAAAGTCTTGGGACATAACCTTTGCGCGGAAACATGCGTTGTTCCGTACCATTTTAAGTAAAATTTACTCCAACCACGTTTGTAAAAAGTGCGAAAACCAACATCATAATAACCGTCTGCTCCAGGTGTCTTGATCACTTCAAACACACCCGATGACTCTAATGCTATTGCCTCATCTCTAATAGTTTTCCAATTGGCTCTAAGTACTTCAATATTTTCTAAAAAGTCAGCATCTAATATTGGCTTTTTTGCAAAGCTGCGTGTCGTCATATACAGAACACAATTAAATGGTGCAAATATAGGCCAACTTTTTCTTAAATATTGTGAGAGTGACTCATAACGTGCTTTTCCTCGCCAACGGTATACATAAGTCATGGCTGCTATCGAATACACGATTAAACCAATGATGATCATAATACTTAGATTCATTATAATTTTACTCCGATTATGATTTCTGTATCCTCATGGTGTGTCCTTGATTTTCCTTAAATAAAACTAATCTTCTTTACTAGATAAGCCGCACTGAGATCATTTAATTATTTTTCAAAATAGCGGGAAAAATAAAATATTTTCAAATTATTTAAAATACTTTTAACTATAACTAATTAATTTTCTTATAGGCAAGAAATATGTACACCTTTGGTTAAGTTTTAAATGATTGAAATTAAAAATATTAACTGTCGTTGTTAAGTGATCAGGTGCTATTTATCGCATATTAATATTTATTATAATAATGCGTCATTAAAGAGGGATCGAAGGAACACTAGAAATTACGTAATTTTAATTAAGCATCGAAACCATCATTTAAATGCCAATCTATTAATTGCGTCATACTGATCAAAATCAGTTTTTTCTTTTTTAAAGCATTCGCCTTGTTATTGGGTTTCTTAGTTTTTGATAGCACTAATTTCAGACAATAAAAAAAGCCCTCAAGTCTAAATATGCTTGAAGGCTTTCCATAATATATGGTCCCGAGGGTCGGACTCGAACCGACACGTCATCGCTGACAGTGGATTTTGAGTCCACCGCGTCTACCAATTTCACCACCTCGGGAGAGGTTGTGTGCGTATAATAGCGCGTTTCATTTTCTTGTCAACGACAAGTTTTCACATTTGTTTAATTTTAAGGCAGTTCTGGTTTTTTTGGATTATAAAACATCAATTTCAGCCATTAATTTGAAAAACGACTATACTAGCGGCAGTTTTTAAATCCCAAATGTCAGTTTTTCTTCCTCATGATGCAACTCTCCGATTTTAATTTCGAACTTCCCGACGAACTCATTGCGCGCTACCCACTTGAAACACGTAGCGCTTCTCGCCTTTTACATCTCAATGCAGATGGTTCATACCAAGATCTTCACTTCACCGATGTTTTTGATTTATTCAATGAAGGTGATTTATTGGTACTCAATGATACCAAAGTGATGAAAGCACGTTTAAAAGGTAAACGCGCCTCTGGTGGTGCTATTGAGGTTTTGGTTGAACGTATTTTTGATCAGACCATTGCACATTGTCATATCAAAGCCAGTAATTCGCCTAAAGCAGGTGCTGAGTTATTTATTGGCAAAGATGAAGTTAAAGTGACGGTAACAGGGCGTCATGAAAACTTATTTGTGGTGGAATTTTCTCAGCCTATTTTGCAAGTTTTAGATTTATATGGACAATTGCCTATTCCGCCTTACTTTAACCGTGAAGCAGAAGCCATTGACACAGAACGCTATCAAACCGTGTTTAACGATCCAACCAAATTAGCAAGCGTAGCAGCACCGACAGCAAGTTTGCACTTTGACCAAGCCCTATTAGAAAAATTAGAGCAAAAAGGCGTAAATAAAGCGTTTGTAACCTTGCATGTGGGTGCTGGAACATTCTTACCAGTACGCACAGATCAGATCGAAAATCACATCATGCACAGTGAATGGTGTGATGTGCCTGAAGCAACTGCAAAATTGATTCAAGAAACCAAAGCACGTGGCAACAAAGTAATTGCCGTCGGAACGACAGCAACACGTGCCTTAGAAAGTGCAGCGCAAGCGTCTGGTGGAAAAATTGCCGCATGGACAGGCGATACACAAATCTTTATCTATCCAGGGTATCAGTTCTGTGTGGTTGATCGCTTGATCACCAACTTTCATTTACCAGAATCTACCTTGTTAATGTTGGTATCTGCATTATCCAACCGTGACAATATTATGAACGCATATCAACATGCTGTTGCAAGCAAATATCGTTTCTTTAGTTATGGCGATGCAATGTTGATTGAAAACGCAAATGGCTAAGGTCTAACGAAGCTCAATCTCTTTAAAAGTTATTGCTTAGTCAGACTACCAATATGCAAAGTGTGGTTTAAACACGACACTTTGCATTCAAAATCATTTTTTCGTTACAATCAGGCATCTAAGCACTTGCCACAATAATGAATAAAGATGAATGATTTACTGACAAAAATTCAAAATGCCTTTAGTCAACAACACGCAAATAATGGCAAGACTCAGCACAATATCCATGCGATCAATCAGTTACTCTCTTCAAATCAAGATTTTGAACAGATCATTGCAAGCTTAAAGAATTGGCAAGATGATCCG